TATCATAGATTTGAGCCAATTAGCTTAATAAGTGTTAGCTTGGAAAATAATTAGCCAAGCTTTAATTACATAAATTTAAATAGGCAAAGCAAAAGCTACTTACTAATGTTATCTATTTATAAAATTAACATTGATTTGAATAATCAGATAAAAATTGTGACAGCATAATTAGAGCAGAAGTTATCATTAGGATAGGCTTATTTTAATTTTTAGCCAAGTTCTAAAATACAAATGCAAAAATGCTGGTTTTAGATATGTGTGTGTTAGCTTATTAAGAAAAATCATAATTAATTTTACTATTCTGCAATTAATTAAAAAAATTTTTTAACAAAAAAAAAAAAAAAATGAAATTTCATATTTCTTTTAATTATATAATTAATTTTATAATGATTTATGAAAAAATTAATAACTTAAAAATAAAATTAAGCAGATACTGAGCAATTTATTGTTGATAAAGTTACCTTAATCATACACTACCCAGTGTAAAAGTATTACATTTGTATAAATATTAATTAAAAGCCAAAAAAAGAAAAGACTAAAATGAAGAAAATAGAAAAATAATAGACCATTTCTTGGCACTTTTTTTTTCAGTGCATTTTTAAAATCTTTAAAATTGGTTAAAATCGGTATTTATTTATTTATTTTTTTTTTTTATATTTAAAATTTTAGATAAAGAATTTTGACAAAAATATGTGCCAAAAAAGCAAAAAAAAAAAACAAAGATCAGAAAGTAAAAATTAGGAATTTATTGATAATATGATGATCATTGAAGTTTTGTGAAAAATTTTAAAATTTATTTTAAAATCAAAAGAAATATTTTTATCTAAAAAAAAATATCATTTGAAAAATATTTTTGAACTTTTGACACACTTTTGATGACACACTCTTTGACAAAAATAATTTTAAAGCAAAAAGTTTTTTGTTCGTTTGCGTCGAATCGATGCAATTCATTTTGTTTTACTAAATAAAAAAACACACAATTACAAAGTTGTCGAGAAATAGGTTGCAATAATTAATTAATAGAGAATCTATTCTGATGACTCATCCATTTAATTGTTGTAAATTATGAAATTTATTGATTTGAAAAAGTTTATGCTGGAAAATGGCCAATTGAGAAGAGTAAAATTATAAATTGATCAATTTGATAAAAGATAAGACTATGTGATAATGAATGTACAGGTAAATTACTGAATTGAATTTACGTCAAATTCCCATTTTAATGTCACAATGATTATAAGTGACAGTGACATGACTATATTCTTTCCTTTTCTATCATCTTTATCCATAATTGTACCTTCATTTCGAGGTTCATTTGACAATTTTAGAATTTACTCTTTGAAATCTTACACATACATTTCTCCAGTGGTCACTCTAAAGCTATTAGAGAAAAGGTAGGTTAGCAATTAAAGTTACACAGTTTGTCCTTGGCTAATGCATCGATGGATTAATTTATGAGAATTTTAAATCAATTTCATTGCAACAAAGTTGAAATATACATTTTATACAGCTTTTAATTTTTCTTTTCCTACAGGAAATAACCTTCAAAAATGACCATCAAATAATTGAATAAAGAAATGTTCAATTTATTCTTCCTTTTTTATAAAAAAAGAAAAGAAAAAAAAAAGAAACCTCTGATATAACTTTCTTCTTTTTATGCATATATTTTCATATATTTTTTAAAAATTTTATATTTAAAAAAAAAAAGAAAGAGACCGTAAATGATTTAGTTAAAATGAGAAATCAAACAATTAAATAAGTAAAATCAACAAATATGTAAATAAGAAAATAAATTAAATGAATGCGCAACAAATTGAAAGAGATCGATGAACTAAAACGGAACATTGCGCTAAAACGATTTGAGTACTATAAGGTAAATTAAAGTATGCAAATTAGCTGAACCGTTACAAATGAAATGTATTATTGCTTTCAGAGCTTCAATCACTAAATTATAATTACCACCTTGAAAATATGAAATATATTCATCAATCTTTTAAACTATTTCCCTTTTTACCTTAAAATTTTTACATCTGCTTCCTCTGCAATTACTGCGGGACTCTTATAAGGGACACTCTTAAGAAGTAAGTTTGTTCCTGGTAGATTCTAGAAAGTTCTGTAAAGTATGATAAAATTGAGAAGAAAGCAGATTAAACTATTGTAATCGTATTAGAGAAGAAATACATCAAAGATCGAAAAGAATAAAAATTTTAGCGGTAAATTGACGTGAGAATTTTCCATTTTTTTTTTAGTATAAATGACACATTATTGATATTTCCATTGAGAAATTTAAATTAATTAACTAAATATTGAAATTATTAATTTCTATAAAATAATAAATTAAACTTGATGCATTGATTAAGTGAATGCTTAAATTTGAAATTGATCATATTCTGGAAAACTTTTCAACAGTATGTTGATAATTCGTTTTAAAATTTTAATCTAATTATGGATGTAAGCTTAACTAATATAAATTAGATTTTTGTTGAAAATATCACAAGCATAGCAATACGAAATGAATATTTCAACTAATAGAAATGACCTTTTTCTTAGTTGTAATTCTCATTAGTTCAATTCAATAGATTATCGGTAATTTGGGAAATAAACACATAAAATAAGTAATTAGTAGGCATAATAGTATAGCTTTAAGGTCATTTACAGAGACAATGTGGGTCATTTACACTTATAAATTCAATTAATTTCTATCTCAATTAATTTCACTCACAAATTTGAAGAATTATGGAAACGATAATCTAACTGTGTGTTTGTATTAAAATCAGAAGAAAAAAATTAAAATTAAAATCGGACTAATAGCACTTTATACCATTAGTCATTCAAACCAGTTGTTTAATTATCAGAGTTATCAGTTTTTTTTTTCTCTTTTTTTTTTCGGCAATTATAACAATTAAAGATTTAATTTTTACTTTAACAAAAATTGGCCATCATTTTGGTGAAAACGATATCGAATGGTGATGTCATTTCAATCAAATGTCCTATGAAATTTGATTAAAATTGTGACACTATAGTGACAGGTAAAGCAAACAATGATGAAAAACAGAGACATTCACAAGTAGTAAGCCAAAACAAAGTTCATTACACCTACCGAAAGGTCATACAAGTGATTTAGTTACTAGATCGATAAGGTTAAAGGTTTGTAGCATTGGCGGGATCAGAATATCTAAGAACTCCCACAGCTTTTGTGATAGTTGATGGCTTTAAATCCAAATGTAAACAAAGTTACCGGACGGTAAACAATGTAAGAGACAATTGATGAATTATAGTAAACCAATTCAAGCAAATTATTCCCAAACTTATAAGAAAAATGAGTATGATAGGGCATCTAGTCAAAATTTAGAAGTTATTCTTATCCGTCCATTTAAATTGAATAAAATACTCATTTTAAGACGGGAAAGGGGTGATATTGAGATAGTTTGGCTCCTATGAAAATTCAATAATAAAGAAGTAATAGTAATATCAATAATTAATAACAACTAATAATAATAATAAACAATTATTAATAATAAATAATGGTAACTAATAACATAATAATGATAATAAAAAAAATTAATAGTGGTAATAATTAATAACAATAATAAACAATGATAGTTAATATTAATAATAATAATAACTAATAATAATAAGTAATCATAATTAACAATAATAATATTTAACAACAATAGTAAAAATTAATAATAATGATTATTAATAACAATGATAATAGTTAACAACAATAGCAAAAATTATTAACAATAATGATTATTAATAATAATAATAATAATAATAATAATATATATAATAAAAATAATATATTATTATATAATAAAAACACTATATTATTATATAATAAAACACACATATAATAATAATATTATATAATAAAAACGCTCACATACAGACACACGAATTTTTTTAGTATTTTGTTTTTTTTTTTTAAAGTTATATAGTCTGATTGAATTGAAATTCTTTTCTTTTTTTTGCCTTTGATTGCAGACCAGCAAAATTAAATTACAATTTTCAATATTCGAACTAAAATTTAATTTAAAAATATCAACATTCTTCCATCTTGCAGCAATCATTGCAAAAAAGATATTAGCAAATTAATGGAAATGAGACAAAAAAAGTGTTCCCTAATTAGTATAGCTCCGAGATTTTTTCAATACTATCACAAAAAAGAAAAGTTTAAAAAAATTTTTTCAAAGAAAGTTTTTGTTATGTCCGAAAAGAAAAATAAAAACAGTTTATTAATGAAATTGAACTGAACTGTGAAATTAGTGAGGTATATTTAGTTCGCTCATCAATTTCAAACCAAAATATATTTGAAATATTTGTTTAGCAATAAAATTAAAATACCAGAAATGCAAATTAAAATATCAAAATAATGAATAAGATTTTGTTAAATTTTATGATTTTTTTTTTTTTCTTTTGTTACATATTGAGAAAATTGAAAATTTTGATTGCAGACAGATTGGATTCATTTTTAGCTATTTGAGTAGCTATGAAATCACAAATAAAAGAATTGTGGTGAAAATTTTGCGTTCAATTCTTCAAAATGCATTTCACATTGCTTTGATAATGCAAAGCTCATTAGCATTGCGGTTAGCTAACATAAAATCAGCTAATAATGTAAATTCAGAATTTAGAAAGTGCTGACCAATGGCGGATAAAGATGATTGATGAGCTTTAAAATTCCCAAAATTCTTGGCTTAAAATTTACTAATAAATTTTGCAATGTATTCCTTTTACTTTTCAATAATGAAATTTATAAACATACGACTAATTTCATTGATATCACATAGAAATATTTAGATAAATCATGAAATGAAATGAATTGAAATGAGACGAAAAATGTTTTAACAAACAATTTTTCTGTGATAAAATTATCAAATAATTCATCAACTGATTATTAATTACTAAAAATATTAATTTTTCTCTTTAAAGAAGAAAAGAGAACGAAAGAGAGAAAGAGAGAGAGAGAGAGGGAGAGAAGAAAGGGAAGAAAAACAAACCATTTTTCGCCAGCTTCCGAATCTTCATCGCTATCAATTTCACTTTCATCATTATCATTCATATCATTTGTCTCATCACTGCAACTGCTATCATAATTTGAATTCTTATGAACTGAATTTCGAAGTACCATTCCTTCTTCTATAATAAAAAAAAACATTGAATTATAAAATACTTTGACATATAATAACTTTCAACTGATTTATATAATCTCATATCGATTAAAATAACTGAAATAAATCTTAGAATTTGTAAGTACTAAATTTGAAATAAAAGTATTTGAAAATAATAATACGTGTAAATGATAACTAGTGTTAAAGAATGCAAAGAATTGATGAATTGAATAAAAAAAGTGAATCAGTAAATAAGCAAAGAAAAATGAATTAAAAAGTAATTAATAAAAAATGATATAAGCATTCTTAAATATGGTACTTATTATCTTTCAAAGTACATTTCCAAATAAATTTTTTGATAACAAAAGTGAACTTAGCTGGAAAGGTTAAAGATGACAAATTAAAGAGATGTGTAAGTGAATGTAAGATTTTTTACAATGTTTGATATTTCCACTTTAACATTTTTAATTTTATAAAAAAAATGAACGACCAATAAAAAAATTCGAAATTTTGATCTTTCATACAATTTCGTTGAGTGATATATCATAAATTAAACGTTCAACAATAGAAATTCAACAAACCAAAAATGAAAGCTTTAAATTTCAATTGAGAGATTTTATAATAATATATTTTATTCTATCTAATCAATGTTAATTAGCTAACATCAGGTATTATTTTATTATCTAAATAGAAAAGTTGTTTTTAATTATTAATTCATTTTATTTCTTTTTTTTGGGACACAATTATTCAAGCATAAATTTTGTAAAAAAAACTTTCAGTTTCATAAAAAATAAATTAAAATGTGCTTTTTTTGGTAGTAATATTAATGAAAATTTGAAAAGATAAATTAGAGTTCTTTCCAAGAAGGAATATAAACACCTGTTTGCTGTGCTATTTGCAATAAAAGTACATCTTTCTCTTTAAATTCTTAACTATTCTTTTTTTTTTCTCTTTTTTTTTCTACTACAAAAGGAAGATTGAATTATATCTGAATGATAAAAGAAAATGAAAATGTCCACAAAGTTTAAAGTATTTCAATACGATAATATGTTGACATTTTGATGGTACAAATTGCTGATATTTATTTATCGATATTTTCTTTTTTTTTTAAAAAAAATAAATTAAAATTAGCTTTATGAATTATATCTATGACTAACAAACTATGATGTATTAACAAGAAGATAAGTTATTACTAAAAAACAAAACAATCGTCAACTATCGATTGATTATTAGGAAAAACTTTTTCACTATTTAGTTTGTTAATTAAATTAAATTTTTCATGCAAATTTTCACTAGTGATCATTACTGCTTTTTTTGTTTATTTCATGAAACATAAATTCAATTTCAGTATTGTATTTTAAATTCAAACTGGAAATTTTAAGTAATTAGAAAATTGTTTAAATCATTAAGAGGATGTATCATTTATATAGATTTAATAAGAAATTTAGAAACTTGTTAAATATATAAGTCATTTTAGAAATTAAATTTCTCTTTATGGTAGAATTATCAGATTAAATCAGTACATATGCGATAAGAAATAATTCAAAAGAAAAAAAAAAGAGGAATTATTAAAAAAGAGGAATTATTTAAAGAACAGCAATTGCTTGATTAAAATGTAAAATTCAAATAGGAAATTTTTTTCTTTTTGCTTTAGTACAGTTAATCAGCCAAGATTATTAAAAATAATTCAACTTACAAAAGTGAGTAATGATAATTGTTATCAGTATGAACAAACCGAATAAATTGATCATAAAATGTAAAGAAATTTATCTTTAACAATAAAATACTAATAGATTCTAACCTATTTTGTGCAAAGATATAAATGTTAAGGATTAATGATAACAAAATTAGTGAAAAAGATAAGTTTTACTATCTGCCACATTTCATAAAGTATTTAAATTAATGAACAAAGAAGACTAAAATAAAATGAGAGTATAGCAGGACAGTACAAAACGATAGAAAAGTAAATAATACAGTCTATTTTTTTTTTATTTTTTAGTTAAAAATAATGCATCGATAGGAAAAGAAAATGAACAAATATGATTCATACGATCAAAGTAAACAATAAATAAGTAAACAAATCAGTAATCATTTAGAATTGAAAAGCCGACAAACTGTTTTGTCCAACGAACACTTAAACTAACGAATTTTCAGAAAAAAAAAATAATAATAATAATAATGATAATGATCGAATTAACTATCAGAATAAGATGACAGGAAGTATTCAAAAGTGAGATAAGAATTCAGAAAAAAAAAAAAAAAAACGAAGTCTTTCCGATTTCGTTCGATCCGGTGGGAATAACAGATGGTGGGGTTAGCGTTGTCATGTCATCATGATGTAATAGACAAGAACCATCTTTTCATTTAGCTATTTGCTTCTGTCACTTAATGAACTGACAGCTAACGATGAGCAAAGATTACGTAAGTTCATGAAATTAAACAAATTTTACTAAAAGTTTATATATCAGTGCTTTTTGAAATTTCATTAGCATTAAATTTTTTTTTTTTTGAAGTGAATTTTTCCTTGTTTTTCTTATTAATCGTAATGTAATTAAATAGATAATGTTAATCTTTTCTGTTTCTTTCATTGTGCCATCTCGTAAATACTGCAATTTTTATTGAATTTAAATTATTAGTTAAATCTGAAAGAATCATTTTTTTTTTTTTGAAAAGAAAAAATTTAGAGAACAAACAGTTCCGCTTTAACTATTAATTGTGAAAACATGTTTGTATAATTGAACGAGAAGTATTATTATATTAAGGAGACACTTGACCTATCGATGACATTTTCTTCCCTTTCACATTTCATTTACCATTTATTATCAAACAAAATTTACAATTTAAAATGTTTATTACATGTGTTATTTTTGCAAAATTTATCGACGGTTAAAATAAAAATGAAATATTTTGAAAATTTTATTTATGAAAAAAAAGAAAAACTTCAAATTTTGATCGAAATATAAATTTTATTACCATCTGTTATTTATTGTAGCTTATTTTTTAAAAAGAAAAAAACTAACACAGCACGATAGACATGATTATCTGCAAGTTGTTGTATAGAAAATTGATGAATCATCTTATAGATAGCTGCTCATTTTTGTAAATTATGCTATCAATATTTGCATTAAAAATAGATTTCTTTTTTTTTTTCATCGAAATGATAGAGTAAGTGATACATTACTCTAAGTTACATTACTTTATTACTTCTACTATTTAATTAAGTAAAATGTCTTTTTACTACTTGGAAGAAATCAATTCTTTAACTTTATTTATTCTTTAGATCCGATTAAAATTTCAATATATCTTCAAATTATGCTTATTTTAGATTATAGTAATATGAGATAGCATTAATCGAAATATTTTATATGCAATAGTAAGCAGAATTTTTTTTATTATAAATTAGTTACTCTTTTTTTTCCTCTTTATAAACTTTTAAAATCTGTGAACATTTTAAATATCTATTTAGTGAATATTTTCCAATAAATAATTGAAATTTTGAAACTATTTTTCATTCATAAAAGATTTCCTACTGTAATAATTTGAATAATTATTGTAGATAGATTTTTCCGATCAATCAATACGATAAATAAACAGTAACAATAATTTGTAACAAATAGAAATGACAAATGAAATGAGTGAATGATTTGCATATAAATGAAACAAGTTTAAGTTGAAATTTAAGTTAAAAATATTCCAATGTCACATTTTGAAATAATATTGAAATTTTTTGCTTCATATATACATTCATCTCATTATTTTAGAAATTATTATATTGACATCTGTCGTAAACAAAAAGCGATTTCAAAAATTATATTTACTGCGCCATCCCATAAATAGTTTTAACTTATTGAATAGCTCTTTAATAGACTAAATATTTATTAAATTGAATTTCAAGAAAAAAAAAAACTAAACATTTTTTTTTTTGTTGTTGTTGTTGTATTTTGATCTAAAAAAAAAATAAAAAATATAAATGGAATTTTTTTTCGCTTTTTTTTTCTTTTTTTTTAAAATTAAATGTAATTAAATTAAAATAAATAAGACTAAAATAGGTTTATGATTTATTAATTTCTTAATTTAGCTAAAAAATAATTTCAAAATTCATTTCAAAATGTAAAAGAATTTTTATCACAAAGAAATAATTATTCCTGAAGAGGCTGAAATGAGGTACAATCATTTGTACAAAATGATGTAAAATGTCTTTCTCTTGCTATGTCACCAACCACATCACTAACCAATAAGAAATTTTCGAGGACATTTCATCCAAATGTAAATAATGATTACAATTAAGAAGTAAAAAAGGAAAAATGATGATATTAGTGATGCGGAAGCGGAATGATTGCAAAAAAAAAACAGAAACAGAAACAGAAAAATATATATATTTTTACAAATAAGGAAATATATATATATTTTTGTTTGTTATCTCTCTCCCTCTCTCTCTCCCTCTCCCTCTCTGTTTATTCGTCTCTTTTTTTTTTGTTTACAATCATCTCCGTTCATTTCTTTTTTCTTTTTTTTTTTACACAAAATGGAAAGAAAATATCGTTAGAACCGATTTGCTAATTTGCATAATACATAGATATTCTAAACAGAACGATCAATTCTCTTTGCTTGTGTAAATATTCGATGAGATGAGAAATTGAAATACTAAATAATATATAATTTTGGAATTTTTTCTTTTTTTTTTCTTTCAAACTAATTTAAAATTTTTAAATTAAAATTTTTTCCATCGTGAAAATATCATTTCTGTTAAAAATTTTGTTTTATGAAAGATTAATTAAAATTAAATGATGATTAATGATGATAAATTAACAAAATTTATCACATAAATGGTAAAAAATATTACAAATGATCAAAATGATAAATGATTTATTTGTAAATTTTATTTTAACAAAATATTTCCTTCTTTATATTTCACTTTTTTATTTTTAATCTTAATACTAATATAATCTCATTCTCTAAACTAATTCAGTCATATATGAAATTCATTCATTCACTTACTACAACATTACTTATAAGAAGTTATCTCATATTACTCGTCGATTCGATTGCTGTCATTGTCATTTAAGCTTTTTGGATGAGACACTAAAGTGAAAACAATCATTTTGCATATAAATGAGAAAATTTTGATGAAGAATTAAACCATCTTTCAAGTCCGTAAATTTCATGAGTACCAGATGTTTACACTGTGCAACTGCTGAAGGTCAATTGTCAATTAAGATAAAGTCAATCTTCGTTTCTATCTCTTTCATAATAAAAATGTATTTCTTATAACAGTTTATTTCTAATTTTTATTTGATCAAAAGTAATTGAAAGACTATTGTCTGATAACAAAGTGATAATTAGTATGAATATCAAGAGAAAATTAAATAATCTTGGAAACAAGTTTATTAATAATTATACAACGATACTAATTAATAGTGCAAAATAATAGTTTCTACTTCTTTTTTTTTATTGCATTTCATAAATTGCAATCCGAAAAATAAGAAATTAGACAATGCCAAAGAACTGCACCAATATTTAAAAAACACTCAAAGTGTATTATTAGAGCAAAGAAAGACAATTAAGATCAAAAAATGACTGATAAATTGCTTTTGGACACTCTGTACAGCGACAGCAGTCTTATATCTTATTGTCTCTTGCCTTTTAATCAAGGTTGAAAATAAATACGAAGTTTTGTTTTTGTCCAATCCATTCATTCACTTTCATTCCAAAAATTTTCAAATTATTTTCAACACATGATTATAAGGATACAAGAAACAAAATGAACTGCTTGACAAAGATCACTATAAAAACGAACTCAAACAAAATACGCTGCTTAAGTTGAAATCAAATCTAACTGGAATGACAGCATTCAAATGAGCGATTTACTAAAAAACTGTCCAATGAAAACAAAGGCACAGCTTCTCAAAATTGGTACATTGCTATAATAAAAGTTGTATATATATTAAAAAAAATGCAACACGTAAAAAAAAAAAAGAAAAAAAAAAAAAAAAAAACAGTTAGTAAAATAACTGTTCTTATACGAGTATCTTTTACTAATAAGAATCAAATACATTTAAATCCAAGATGAACAAATCATAATGCACAGGATAAAAAGATCAAGAATTTCGTCTCAGTAAAATAATGATTAAACAAAAAAACCAGTAGAATATCAGTCAATATTACATGCATGAAAATCTGATATGTATTGTCGAATCACCCAACAACAAATGACAGGGAGATATTCAAACTATTTTCAAAAATAATCGTTAAATTTCACAGTTTCGATAAAAGCCAGTAAAATCTAATCGCAGTGCAAGTTCAACATAATGGATTTTGCGTGGAGGTGCCGTTAAAATATTGAGTATATCCCGTATAAGCAGCTGAAAAGCATAATAATTCCATGCGATAATATTGAAATAAACACTGCATCTATCTGATAACTAATCATTAATGAAAATTTCATGCTATGATTCTGTTCAATGACTACAGCCCTCACATTGCTTTCATTCTTTACTGGAAAAATATCTAATCTAAATGGTTTAACCTTTAAAAATTCAAAAAACTGCGCAAAGTAAAAAGAAAATCTAAATTAAACATTACTAAACCAACCACAAATTTGGAATTTAGATTTTTCACTTTTGGCTGATAACATTCTTCTAAATGTTGTTGCAATTCTTCCAAGCGAATCCGTTCTTCCTCTTGTTCGAAAAATTTGGTATCATAAACATCTTTGTGAGCCAAAAATTTCTGTTGTTCATTGAAACGTTTACGAGCCTCAATTGCATCGACCATCTAAATTAAATTAAACCATTTCGGTCTCAAAATGCATAATGATGCTGAAATTTTTATATCATGTACATAAAGAAGAAAAAACCAGTCTTAATATAATTTACCTTTGATCGGAAAGTGCTGTAGTATCTGAGAAGATCTCTTATTAATGAGAAAAGTACACAAAACAAGTTATGCACCACCTAAAAAATAATGTCATTTTAGCCAAAATCAAATATTTAAGAAGTAATATCAAGCAGAGATAGAATAAATTGAAAAAAAGATTAAAAGATTTAAGAAACAAAATTTTACCGTGGTTTCTTCATTTAAGAAAAGGTCTTCTTCAAGTTGTCCAAGGTAACGACTATGTGCCTCTATGATACCATCTAGATCATCAACATCATCCATTTCAAGAAACAAGGATGTTCGACGACGTAACACAATCTGCAAAATAATTACAAAAACATTTTTCTTTTTTTGTTTTGTTTTGAAAATAAAGCAAAATTATACAATATCTTATAGGAGTACTTTCTGACTCAAAAGTATATTATGAGATTAAAAAAAGTAATATATAAAGTATATTATGAGATTCTGACTCAAAAGTATACCATAAGATGTAAATCACTGAGTATAACATTATTTATCAAATTTGCTTCCAACTGAATGATTTAAGAAAACTCTGTCATAAGAAGCATCATGGATGAAAGAAAGAAAAACTTACACTATTTGAAATATAGGAACGCACAATACTCAAAATTTGAGACATTCGAGCAAAAGAAACTGTGAACATATTCACCACTAGTGTAGCATCTGAAACAATTAATCGAATAGAACCATTTTTGAACAGCTATTATTCAACAACGCATAAAATAGTGAGGCAAATAATAAAAATAAAATAAGATCTATAAAGCATAAAATACATAACAGGACCTGCAAAGCTCTTCTTACCGCTATCTCTGCAAACTATCTGAATTATAAAAAAAAAAATAAGTAACGTTCTGAATCATTTAAATAAACAATTTCAGCGGAGAAAGTAAGCAATAATTTTTGAAGAAATCGCAACAGTTAAAACAAACCAGACAACGGTTCATTCTTCATAAAACAGTAGTGATCCAACAAAGCAGCAGTAAGTTGAAAATCAGTTGAAAGCAAAAGCCATATAAATTCAAATGCATTATCGTAACGTTCCATTGCACTAAAAAATTATCAATTTCATCAAAAAAAAAAAAAAAAAAAAAAAACGAACTTGAAAACAAAAAACTGCAATGTCATAAAATTGCATAAATCAAATATCCTGTAAATTACAAGAAGTAAAAATTCTGGCACTCGATTCCGAAGTATAGACGGAAACTAAAAAGTTACAATAAAGAATTGTTCTAAAAATTGTTCTTTTTCAGTAAGCCAATTAAACAAAGGTTGTTAGCTGACTTAAAATTAATGTCCTATTTTAAGTTGCAGCAAGCATGTCTGCATAACAAACTTTAGCTAACTCAATTTCTATCATTTATGATTAAAATTTTTATTATGAAGCTTAGTTTAGTATCCAAAAGGACATATGTATTCATAATATAAAAGATATAAGTTCAAATTCGTAGTGCACACATACAAATTTGCAAAAGCATCAAAATGTACGAACAAGTAGTTAAAAATGAACAAACCTTTTGCTCAGAACAATTGAGATCGGAATTTTAGACTCATAATTCAAGCGAATGGTTGCACAGCCATTTTGATCTCGAGGACTTGCAATGATACATGAATCACCTGCTTCATTAATTCCTTCTATTCTACCACAAGTTGCATCAATCGTTGCTCCTTTCAAAATATTTTTTGGCCAACTCTTACACTGCTGAATGGCTGCAGTGAATGCATCAGAAACTTGATTCGAATTCAATTTCAACATATCATCGTTATCACTTGTTTTTTCCCTGAAATTGATCGAACTAACTCAAAAGCTAAATTTTTACACTAATATACATTAATCGTTATTGAAAATGCAGTACGGCTAAACTCATTATTAACACTGTGTGATTGGTGCAATATTGGATGTTGTCGGTGATGATGCAAATTAGTCTTAGTCATAAGATCTGTCTTGGATTATCCTTCTAAGATTATTTGAATTATTGTTTCATCCGAATTTACCTGCTTTCATTTTCACAATTCTGACTGCTCTATACTGAATATCAACTACTACTGAGTTAATGTATTAAAGAAGGAATTTTTTAGTACTCAAAGATGTATAACACAGTACAATGCACTACAGAATAAGACTTAATACTTTGAATTACATCAGTCTTTATCAGAAAGTAATCCATTCCATTAACTGAATTAAAGAACTCATCAAAGAATTCACACTAACATCAATTTTGCATAAAAGGTTAATGCAAAATTTTCGTCGCTCAACAAATAATGCTGCTCAATCGCCAATATATGAGCATGAAAGTTATATTTTTGAACGATATTCTGTGAAACTTTGCCACTCATTTGACAACATAACCTAAAATTCAAAAAAATTTTAAAATAGAAATTATTATGAAATAAATTGAAAGATATTGTTTGGATAAAAAAACGGTATATATTTTAAAATTTAAAACTATTTTGAATGCAAAGTAATTGCAACCAAAATTTGTCGAATAAGTAAAAATCAAAAATAGTGTTGACATATTGGAAAAAAAAAAAAAAGACAAATCATATCTGGCAGAATTTTTGAGGGACAATAAAGAAAAAAAACATACTTTTTAACAGTACGCCAAAGATGATGACCAGCTGAAACAAATAAATAGCATTTCAATGGATCAACCGAAGAAAATATGCGTTGTCTTTCGTGCAAATCGTCATCTTCCATACCCATCAAATTCAAAAGGGTTACGCTTTTCCCAACAATAAAAATCTAAACAAATTTATACAGACAGTGAAAATCAATTAATTTTATCAGAAATTTCCAGAAAAAAAAAAACTCAAACAGAAAACCAAAACAATAGAATTTTCTTCCAGTGGATATCAAAGTATGTTCAGCTTCAATTGCAAACAAAATAACTTAAGCCTAGAAATTTGTAAGAACAAGATTTCAAGAAATAGCTCCTTCTGATGCACCTTTTCTTTTAGTCCTTCAAACTGTTGGAAGATTGTTGGTACTGCATCATCTATTATTATATATTCATTTAACCAATTTTCTTCCACAGCCCATTTGTTTTGCGATTCGATCATCCACTAAAAATGATTCTGCCAAATTTTATGTAAAACCATTCCTTTCAAAGCAAAAAATTGGAATTTCTAAGGCGGTCATAACTTTTTATAATTTTAATTTATCTTATTCATTAAATTTACTACTGTTTGTTATTTCCTTAATTCATTATTATTTTGTAAAGTGGAACAGATCAATCGTTAAAACTGTATCACTCTTAATCAAATATAACTGATAGTTATTGATTTCGTGGTGTAAACTCAAACTCAGCTAGATGACTAACAACACAAACAGGTAAAAAGTAAAAAATACTCGGAAACCAGGATCCATCAATCGACCATAAACAAGCCAGTTATGAAGGCATTCATGAAAAATATACATCATAGGGCGCAATATCACGTGCAGAAATTGTGTTATAAATTTATTGGAGATACTCCTAAAGCAGCAAATTTTTAGACTGATATGAAAATAAATCTTCGTACTCTTTTAATTCAGGTGTTTACAAAAATAGTAAAAATATATTTGATCATCATATTGAAAAATAATCAAATTTCGAATTACCAATAAAATGAGCAGAGCATATTGAAAATATGCATCCCTTTGAGATCGTCAAAAGTAAGAATGAATTTCGAAAAAAGTGGCAACAAAATTTCCCAATTAGACAATGCAACCAAAACATCCAAACAAGTAAACGATCCTCGATTGGACATGTACTAAAAACCATTTTAAGCTCATTTATATATATTGACAAAGAAATGCTTGAGTGTCTTATAATGTTCTGAATGTAGTAGTGTAGCAAAAAAAAAAACCTGAAATTTTGTTTATATTTGCCAAACTAAAAAAGACTACATACCTTTGTATATAACATGGAGACGAGGTTCATGTAACTTGATAATACTTCGGACAAACCTGTGTAGAAAGCCTGAAATAATTAGTCAGAGGATGAATTTGTCTCGTTATTTACCATTCATTTCGTTTCAATTCTGTGTTCCAGCATTAATTAATATGATAGGTATCTTAAAATGAGCTGAAATAACATCCAGTAAAATTTCAAAACTGAAACGAATAACGGATTCTACTTAGCAAAATTTGTTCATGCAGATCAAATTAGTAGATGTTATCTAGCAGAATTTCATTTCAAAAAATCTTATAGAAGATCCAAAACAGGATCTGACTGCATCGAAATTTGACAAAAAAAAAAAAAAAAAAACAGAAAAGCAAAGTGAAAGTATTACTCGTATACCATAGCGCTCATAATAATTATGTATGCCAAAATTTTTTCATCTTAACTTGTCTGTAAAACGAAAAGCAGAAAGAAGTAAAACAGACTAGAACAAGACGATCCGAGGACGGTTTTTGTGATTCATGTTGTAAATGCAAATAAGCACTTGCGATGGGCAACAATCGTAACAGCTGAAATCGTAAAGTGTCGTCGATTGCAAACATTTCGCCTAATTGTAACTCAGCATGCCTGTGATCGCGACATATAATGTAAGTACCTTCGATACCTTGCAAAGCCATCAGTACATGTCTTGTCAGTTCGTCTTCAGATAAAACTGCAAATTTTGTTGATTAAAATTGCCCTTTTGTGCGATCCCCTCTTTACATATAAGATAAAGAGCAAATTTTTGCAGTTCCTATTTCAATATTTGATAAAAAAAGGAAAGGAAAAACAAATCCAAAGATTCGATTGTCGACAAGAATACGACAACAATCAAAGAAGTGACATTACTTAACTTATAATGGTTACGCTTTATTTAGAAAAAACAAAAATTATCATCTCTTACCAAAATTTGAATAACACTGAGATTATACAACAGGCTTTAAAATCAAACGTAATCAACACTAACCTGAAGGATGTGCCGCTCGTCCGGTAAGTGCAGAAGTCTGTGGACTTAAAAGCTGTACGTGTTCGGGCCTACAAGAATTCTTCAAAAAAAAAAGCATCAAAGCTAATTTTTAATTAAAGTAATGTAAAGATTTTTTCCCACAACTTTTATTTGAGATAAACTACAGAATAATCATCAAAAATGCTTGCGCTAGTATTAATACCAAATCACAAAAGAATATGAAGTAAAGCATAGTTAAAATTACTTTCAATATGAAATAGAAATATAGAAAAAAAAAATTTAAGATTAAAGGCGTACGAAAAAAAGCTTTCATCGCTATTCCTGGTACTTGGTGTCGTCGAATGGCTTAGAGCAAATCTGGTGGTACGTTGTCGGGATATCGGTGTTATCGAAGTAGTACTGGTATTTGCATTTACTAATCTCAGCTTTGCACTTCGCTCAGCTTTCTTAGCATACTGGAAAAGATTGCATTAAGGCATTTGTAACAACAAATTTTCTTGCATTTTTCTAGTTTTGATATTTAGTTTTTTAAAAATTCCAATAAGAATAGACGATAAATATGAAAAAATAAAGATGAAGAATAGTGATCATAAAGATAAAGAATCATGAAGATCATAAAAATTGTTCTTTTTTCTGGATATCTGTTTAAACAACTCTAGTTCTCTATGATTCACTTCTTTTCCATTCTTTTTAAGCATGAAACGTATTATTGTTGATTTCAACATTTCCAAAGCAACAAAAATATTTGTTCAGTAGAAGTGGAAAGACCAATTAAAAATATGGAGCATATGAAGAATGCAGTGTTGAGAAATATTGTAGAAGAATTAAACTAGGACATAAAGGCTAGGTAAAATTCGCTCCATATATTGAGCATACCAGATACTACGTGATTATACGCGACAAACTCCTACATCAACTTTCTAACTAAATATTAAACCACATACGGAAAAAAGAGATTGCAAAACAAATCAAGGGAAACATGAATGCTTTTAAAAAAAAAAAATAAAATAAAATAGGAGTTCAACAAAAAACTCGTGCAACATAAAAATAAAATTTTTCAGAATTATTTCAACCCTTCTAATAATAAGTGCATTAAAAGACCACTGCAAATTGGTAGCACTCTAAAAAAAATGATTATGAAAGAAGAACACTTTTAAAAACGCCTAAAGGCATGTTTTAAAAACTCTTCCTGCTTTATAGTACCAAATTTTCTCAAATGACGAAAATGCGAAAAGCCAAATGTTTAAAAGTAATAAAAACATATATGACATAAAAAAAGCATGTTTAAATAATGAAATAAGACTTAAAGAAATATTAAGCAAAAAGTCTGATGATAGATTTCGCAGTTAACATACCCGATCGCCCGCAGCATAGGCTACAAGAAACAGAACTAATTTGTCTGCATCCATCAAATCTTGTCGTATTTGCAGTCGATGTACTATGTCCTCAAAAAGGGCAGCCTTTCTTCCATTTCGTTTTATATCTGTAAAAAACACTTAGTTAGTATGGATAAATTGATCAATGAATCTATGCATATACATTCAAAAATCTCCGTGAATAAGTTATAACAAAATATATTAAAAAAACTGAAACCAAATATTCTATTAAATTTTGAATAGTCTAATGTATAATTAAAATGATCACACATTTTTTTCGAACTCGTTCGATTTCTTTCGCCGCATCAACTTGAAAAGCTGTACAATGTCCCAAAAGAAACAAAGATAAATCTTCACGATCAGAAGCTGAAATTAAATAAATAAAGAAGAATATTAAATTCAATATTATTTTACTCACAGGATCATGACTTTATGAAATATAGTCAACTATGTACCTTTGGAAAGTATTATACGTTTGACAGCATTTCAATTTCCAATATGTTTCAGTACTTATTTCAGGCACTATTTATTATTGTTTATGGATTACCAACTTATCACTGAAGTCTAAGACATGAAAAGTTTTTGATTATTGTATTAGGAATAGCAAAGCAGAAAGTAAGTTTAACACATAAGGCTGTATTATTTTATCGTCGAATGTGAGTACTACCAATATGCAATCAAAAATAACAAAAACTATTACAGAAAAATCCAAAAAAAAAAAAAAATGAAAACATACGGTCGCAGTTAAATTCTTGTATGAAATGATCTAAAAGTGGATTAAAAGTAGACGCGCTAGATTCCATCATGCATTTGGTGTTCGAACTGCAAACCATATGTTTTTTAAGCGATACGTTTCTCGACAATATATAGGCAAACAAATAAGATTAAAGAAATTACTGAGTAATTTAGAATCAATAAAATAAATGGATGAGCCAAATTCACAATTTGTCGGACTAAATTTCGTCTATTCAATGTAGTAACATGACCTGGAAATTATGTAAGTACATTTATATGTATATATGTTGATATTTTAACTTGAGAAAAATCTTCATAAAGTAACTTCTAATCATAACGAAAGTAGAATACTTCTTCCCTTTTAAAATTGATCAGCAAAGTAGTCATAACATAAAATAAAACAATGTATGCTGCATTATAGAGCCATGTGATCAATATAAATCAACGAGGCAAGTATGAAAATGAAGTTTTACTTTTAGACATAAAAATATAAATAATGACAAGTAAAATAAAGCAATCAACAGAATGCTTAAATGACCAAAAATTTTTTCATTCAGTAAAAAGCAACTGAAAAGTGAACTTTTAAACAAAAGAATTTCACACTTTTCTTAATAAACGATTTTCAATTAATGATCGCAACTACAGAGATGATGTCAAGACATACTTGTAAACTTATAAGAATACATCAAAGGCTTTTGCATACAATATAATTAACAATGAAGACTAAAATCAAAAGATCTGAAATACCGGAAACATCAACAAAAAAAAAAATTTTTTTTTATTCAAACTTAATAAAGACGGCAATAATTTAAAACAAATAGCTCTAAGCAATATGCACGCAATTATTTAAATTCAAAAACAATACACGCTATATGCGCTGTATATAGTAATCATCATTCAAATAAAACAAACATAAACAGATGCTATCCATTTTTTTTAAAACCATATTTTTTCCTCTCATAAAAGAGATCTGTTTTGGCACTTCCTAAATTGACTATTTTTGGACAGCCATCTCGATCTTTTTCCATAATCGTACATTCCTTGCAATAATAAGCATCACTCACTCCCGAACCCCCACAAATGACACAGCGTCCCTAAAAGCATGTTATCGATTAAATTTGATTAAACTTTAAATCAAATAATTTCAAATAACTCGAAAAACTATCATAAAAAAATAACAAAAACATAAAAGAAAATAATCATGAAAGTTGCTACTTCCAAAATTGAATATTAAAGAGTTATATTATTAATGAAAGCAAAAAACTGTTAATTACTAAAGGAAACCAAGGTAGTACTCTTTGTTTCTCATTTCAGAAATTACTAATTCAAGATGAAATTTAAAAAAAAGAAAAACCAAATGAGAAACTTGAGACAGATGGTAAATTCTGCTTAATAAAACTCCTTAAGATAGACTTACAAAACTTAGCATTTAATCTACTAATTTAGATATGTAAATTTTTGCAAGGATAATGAAATACTGTTCAATAAAACAATTCAAACATTCATTAGCTCTCACCTGATATGACCCATAATTACATTCATCACAAATCCTTACTAGCGTACATGGCCGAACATACGAATCACATATAACACAACGACCATCACCTACAAATAAAACTAATGAAATTAATATTGCAAATAAAATTGGAAATGAAACTAATCCTACAACGAAAATAAAACATCTTGCAAATTGCTAAACAAATTAGATGAAGTAATACAGTAAATCCCAATAATATAAAAGTGTATTATTGGGCTTAACTGATACAGAATATATAATTATCCTGTTCATTACACTGATTAATATTTGAATAAATAGAAGACCAATTAATGATTGAGCAACTATTAAGGCAGCATGCCAACCAAAACCTGAATACTATCAAGCTTCTAGAATCATTTAATGTCGCATAACTAATACTATCCGTCAAGGTCCTCTTTTTCAAGCCCTGAGAGGATGCTATCACCAGAAACAATACTATCAGGCATCACAACTGATTCATTTCAGACATTTGCTGCTTAGTTTTAAATGCTAGGCATTATTTAGTAAAAATAACAGCTTATTAAAAGTTTCAAGGATTATGTCAATAACAAACTTGACATTCCTAAGAAAGATCTAAGAAAGAAAAAAAAGAAAATACATTTTTCGCAAAGTCGACCAATAGCAACACCTGGCTGTTTACGACAAAAAATCAAATCTGGATGATGTTTCGCCATCTCACACAACTTCTTTTATCGTCGCAAAAAAATACTTTTCTAAAGAAAACCAACGGTTACTTCTCAAAAAAATACAACAATTCCAAATCTCGTGAATCGTTACACTTTTATCAACAAAGTTTAAATGAATTAAAAAGCATTTTCTATAAAAATTTGATAAGACTTAATCGTCATGCATAACAATTTCCTTCTGCGTTACGCACTAAACACACCAAAAAATCAGTTTCTATAAAACATCCCACTATCAATACAAAAGCAAAACATTGCAATTCCTTTGCATATGACTACAGAATCATAATTCCTGTCAATATAACCGGAACATTGCTGCTATCCGGAAAGACACCAGCACACGCATGGCAATCCGTAAAAGATTCATCTTGAATTCCTGGCGGTAATGCAAATGATGTTCCCATTGCATGCAACGATTTGCTGTGAGAGGGACTCGAATAAATAATTTAAGGAATTATATGCGTTGTGGAATTAAAAGTAATGTAATGAATTTGGAATAAATTATTTAAAATGAATGGAATTTTTTTTTTTAGGAGAAGTGATAAGTAATTGGGATTACCTGTGATTACAGGTGGTGAACAGGTAGGTGAACAGAAATGGTTATCAGTGTTGCAATCATTGCCAATGATGTAAGTTAATTTTAATTATATAGCATACTATCTTTTCTTCCTACTGCAAACTTTTTGCAATTTTCATTGAATTAATGTTGATAGATTAATAATTTAGTAGTAATCAATTTATGAGTATTAGATAATGTAATAAATAATTAAGAAATAATTTAATTCACTGCATGTCGCATTTGCAGTTTAGCAGTATAGATTCTTAATTGAGGTAAATTTTGAGTATAAATGGATCAAGCATTTAGAAATAATTTTGGTATTAAAATTTTCTCTCTCTCTTTCTCTCTTCCTTTTTCTTTCTTCATCTATTTTAATAAGAATTATTTTCATTAATATAGAGTGCACCTTTATATCTGAATGTAAACGAGAAAGAATCATCGCGACGATTCGATATACAAATGTTCATTTATTGTTCACTTGATATTGTTGATGAAAAAGTATTTGGTGCAAATAAGACCTTGGAATTGTATTTGGGACCACTCATATCAGATCAGAATTTCAAGGTTCATTTTTAAATTTGATGAAAAGAAAATCAGTCGAGTAATTTAGATATTTCATTTTAATTAAATTGCTTCAAATTACCATTTTACACGAAAAAAACTTATTAATGCGGAGAGAATAAATTGTGATCAGGATTTGATCATATTTCTAATCGTATTTTCAGTCATTTGGTTATGTAACAAGCACTAATGTAAAAATGATTATTGTGACGGAAATAGGTGATACTTCACTGAAGGATCAAGATATTCGTTCCGTAAGTTATTTGCTTGAATTTTATGAAAAATGATCAAAATAAATAGTTCCGCCTTTTATGATAATTCGTAAAATTAGAACCAGAATTGTACTCTCATTGAAACATATAACTTACGATGTGTAAACTGCATTACTATTTATTAAAATAACAGTTGAAAATTTGCTGAATGCAGTTACTGTTTTCAGCGAAAAGTTACCAAATTTCTTATCTACAAAAATTATCTTCAGATGTTCAAAAGGCTTCATAATGCTTATTGTAACTCACTCTCAAATCCTTTCTATGTTCCCGGACAACTTATCAAATCAAGGTAAGTTTTAATTCTGAGTAGAAATGTACTTCTCCCTGTTAAATTTCATGGAAAGAATTTTTCTGCAAATTCTATTTAAAAAAATGTCTTTTTCAGAGTGTTAGACGAAACAGCAAAAGAAATATTTGCAACGTGATGGAAATTTATTTACTTAGGCTGACTTTGCCATAATGTATTATTCACGTGATATGTGTTAACAGTTTCTGATCATGATGATGTTTGTTATTTTTCTGCCAATAATTCAGTTTGAAGTGATATAATGATAATCTGATAAATTTTCGAAATAGCACATTTGTTGTGAAAACTAATTTAGTTTGCGTTGATAATTTGAAAATATCTGTTTTTTTTTCTGACTTCTTGTTATTTGTGATATTATACCGAATTCTTTGGCTTACGTTTTTTTTTTTTTTTCAGGTAAAGTACTTAACTGATAATTCAGTTGATGTTGAAAGACTTTGATATTTTATCTTACAGCTAGTGTTTCGTCAAATATTTCTCCATTTAACGATCGTATACTTATATTCCCACTGAGTAGAACTATTTGAATTTGTTAAAGGGGTGATTTTTAGGAATGAATGATGATGATTTTGGTTTCAGTGGGATTATCAAAATTGCAAACGTCAGCGATTTTATTGCTCCTTCACAGGTTTGTTTGGTTTTTTTAAAAGTAGGTTATTATGAATTGTCAGATTTTTAGAGAGTTAATTGAAAATTTTTCTGGAAACTCTAATTGTGCGATATTTTCTAGGCATGCATCTTACCACTTCAGTCGAAGGAATCAGATGTGGAAGTTCAAATTCGAGTTAGAAGTCGAGCAAAGAAAGTTGATGATAGTGCAGTAAAGAAAGTAGAGGTTACATTAAAAGATTGTTTGGCATGTAGTGGATGTATTACAAGTGCAGAAACGATACTTATTAAGGTTAGCGATACTTTGAAATTTTAATGATTTGTTTACACTGACTGTTATATTGCTTTTTCCTTTTCTGTTGAGATATTTCCCATATCATAAAATTTGCATAATGTAATTTTGCACTGCTTACTGTAGCAAATTGGTTTATTAAGGAAGAACGTAATATATATCATAGTATTTTCACTATAGTTTAGGATGCTACTAAACAGTAGAAGCGAAAATAAATAAAAATTTTTGTTTCTGCACATACTATTTTGCATTAACGTAAATAAGTAACTTATATATATATTAGGTTCTGAGATTTTTTAATGAATTTTCATTGTTTTATTCAGGAACAATCAAAACCAAAGTTTTTGGAGGGTTTGAAAAAGGCGCAGTTGAGCGTAATGACCGTTTCGCCGCAGTCAATAGCATCCATTGCGTATAAACGTGGATGTCATCTGTCAGAAGCAGCGAGACTCATTGCCAGAATTTTCATGAATATGGGGATGAAATATGTCGTTGATTCAAGCTTTGGGAGGCTGTTGACTTTATCACTTTCTTATGATGAATTTAAGGAGTCTCAGTTACAGCGACCAATTTTTACGGGTGTTTGTCCAGGTTTTGGTAAGTTATAACCTTTAATCTTAAATTGATTAGGAACTTTATTTGATTCTAATATTTTACTCATTATAATCTAAAAATCGTTTTTGAAAGATTTCATTTTTTTCTCTACTGCTCAAACACAACGTTTTTATATGAATTAAATATGTGCTTATAACTTTTTGACTTAGTTGCTAACTTTTAGTTTTTCAGTATGTTATGCTGAGAAAACTCATGGAACATTACTTATCCCTCATATTAGCTGTGTGCGGTCACCACAAGCCATGATGGGCGCACTTGTGAAAGACTATTTAGCAAGGTTGTTTTCAAGAGTTCTTTTTGATCTTTCTCTGTTCTTTTTTCAATTTCATGTCCTTTGCATGTTTTGACAAGAAATTGCACAGTAAATATTTTTCATATATCTATTTTGCCCAATTCTGGAATTAAATGCTAGTGTTAATTTGAAATCATTTTAAACCTTATTTGGTTTTTTTTTTTTCTAAATCTATGCATTAAGATTAAATCTTGGGTTTTGAAAGCTATCAAGTGAACCTCTTTACTCAGTATAGGTTTTAATTTTCAGGAAGTTTAACGTGAGACCAGAAGAGATATTTCATGCCTCTGTTATGCCCTGTTTTGACAAGAAACTTGAGGCTGCACGCTCGCATTCCGAGAATCACTTTAACTGTCGTGAAGTTGACTGCGTTTTAAGTACAGGTCTGCAGGTTTTTTAAATATCTATTCTTATTTCATTTACAATTGCGAATCTCATTCTTTGTCTCTCCACTTACAGCTCATTATTTTCTCAAATTTGTTCTTACCAGTGGTATTTTAGGGGAAGTGGATGCAATTTTAGATGAATGTAGCTCAACAGAGAGTTTTCCTGTCGATGGAAAAGTGGGTTGGCTAAATGCGCTAGAGAATGGGAAGATAATAAGTTCAGAGGGAGGTTCTTCGGGTGGGTACGCTGAATACATCGTGAAACGATTTGTCGAAGAATCAAAAACACCATTGAAATTAAAGAGAACCATAAAGTAAGTTGAAAATAGAATTTTTTTGAAAGTTTTTATTTTCTTAAGCCTCACTATTTTTTGATTTATGTTCGAGATACATGAAACAAGAGATGATATGATCTAAGATGCAGACTGTATTTTTGAAGACTGAAGGATAGTGATAAACTAAGTTTTACAGGGACAAAAATTGGGAAATCATAGAAGCAGTAGATGGTGAAACAATTGTGCTTTCCGTAGCAAAATGCTATGGATTTCGTAACATCCAAAACCAAGTACAGAAATTGAAACGTTCTAAATGTAATTATGATTATGTTGAAATCATGGCTTGTCCATCAGGATGTATTAATGGTGGTGGACAAATTCGTAGTGCATCAATTGAAGAAAGAAAACAGCTCTTAGATACAATCGAATTGCCATGCTCAGAAGATAATTCAGAAATGGAAGAGCAACTAGAACGTGTGAAAGAAGAATGGTCAATATTGAATCCAGATTGGATGAATTTGCTTTATACGAAGTACCATGCAGTGGTGAAAAGTGATGCTGACAGAATAAGCACGAATTGGTGAATTATCTGGGAATTAATATATGAAGTCAGGTCGGCATTTGATGATGATTAGTTGATATGAAGTCGAGCATATGAATACATCGGTCAAAAATGAGTAGAAGACCAAATGGCATCTGTGATATGATATTAAATGTGATTAAGACGATCACAAAGAATAAAAAATCCTTCATGTATCTAACACATTTTTAATGTGACAAGGAAGTGATCAATTTTTTTTTCGCTCGGAAAAGCATGATATTATGAGTAGTAACAATATCTTCCAAGCATTCCTTCTAATCTTTTAGCAGGTTTTTATGAAATATGAAAGAAAACTGTGACTTAGAAAGATTGATTTAACAACATTTATTCATAACAAAATTAAAGCTGGTTCGACACATCCATAAGTCAATCTGACATTTTGAAACCAATGGGCAACGAACCAACAAAAAAGAAAAGGTACAAATAACAATCTGCAAAGTAACTTTGTGTAAAGGATAAATCATAAATTTGTCGGTTTAAATACGTTGAAACCGGATAACGCAGTTGTAACCGCAAAACCCGGGATTTGACTATGCCAATGCACCTAAAATCAGAACTTTATTAGCCACCAATATGATGAAGCAGTAAAGGTTACAAAATGGAGATTTTCAGCCTGATTTTCCCAAAAAATACTTCCTAGTTTATTTTTGAATCCCTTTTATATGAAATATGATGATGAACTACTCCATTTTTTGCTTCATTTTCCATATTTATTGCTAACATTAGACCATTCCTTTCGAAGGACTGGAATAATTTGGGACAATAAATTTCTTGGAAACTTCCCTCTATATTTGTACCTTAAATATTTTAAAAATGTCACCTCTTTCACTTCCTGCTGTCCCATATGAACAAACAACAACTGTGGAGGTACTTCTGCAATATTTTCGTTCGAATCGGCTTCGAGGGCTAAATCCCAAATAGTAACTTGATTATCTTCTCCAGAAGCTATCAATGTTGTCGTTTCATGGGGAGACCATTCCACAGACGTGATGGGTGCTTTATGCTGTTTAAATCGAGCAACGGGTTCTTTGTACTGAAACATACAAAATGGCATCCACAAACATATATTCGACTTAACGAAATCCTTTCAGCAGGTTCGTGGAATCTGTTTAAATATTTTTATTCGCTGTGATGTAAGAAATTCCATATAGCACTTTTTCATTTCTTTTTTTTTTTTTTTTTTAATGCATAATTTTGATAATCTCTGCGCACTAAGCATATCTAATATAGCATAACAAAATTGATTTTTATTTCTAGTCAGTGAGTTTTTTTGTGCCGAGTCATGTATACTGTAATTTGATCTTATATAAGACAAAAAAAATATATCGATTCATCATGAAAGTCAATAAACATTAATAATGAAAGATTCATTTCAACCTACCTGCATAGTTTTAAGTGACCATATATTCAATGTCGTATCGTCACCACCACTTACTATCAGCGGTTCAAATTTGTTCCATGATATAACATTTGCATGTGATTTGTGAGCATTTTCTACAGTACAAACACAGGCATCCGATGGTGGAGACCTTAATAATAAAGCTCGACATTAATTACTCTAAAAAATTCATAGTTTTTGACAAGTCCTGAAATGAAGTTGAAATATCTGATTGAGATTCTGCGAGAGAGATATTGAAATATTTCCCTTCCACTTAGAGAAAGAGAACGAATCCTGAAAACAATTTCCAAATAATTTTTAAAGAAACCTTGTATCCCAAAGTTTGATGCTATGATCGGCCGAACATGAAGCAAGCATTGTTTCTTCCGTTGGTGACCAACAAAGATCCTCTACAGAATCTATGTGTCCGGTAAGCGGTTTATCGTCAACAACCCACTGACCACCTTCAGCCATCGTCCACAAATGTATTTTATGTCTGATGTCACCAGATGCAAGTCTTCCTGAAAAAAAATTGCAATTTTCTATACTACCTTTTATTACTAAGAAGCACGTAAAAAGCACTGTTACTTCAAAGCAGTGGAAGAAAGCAGCAATTCATTTGGCTTCTTAGAAACATTCCTCCATACAAACGATAGCAAAAAGAAAAAAAGAGATGTCGAAACAAGAAAGGAACGTAAACACAGAAATACAAACCCATTTTAAGCGGTGACCATGATAAAGCATATCCTTCAGCCTGATGACCAATGAATGAGAAGAAAGGTCGTTCTTTTGGGCGTTTCATAATACGGTCACGTCCTTCCGCACTGGATATTTCTTCCATTGCTTGAGTGAGATTCCATAATGTTACTTTTCCTTGGCTACTAAATGCAGCACACACTTTGCTTTGACCAAGAGTAACTGACTGAAATGTTTCAAATGTATAAGATTTGCAGTCTCGCAAATTCGAATAAAAATCTTGAAATTATTTCTCAAAGTTCAAAAGTCTTTAATACTTCTGTTCTTGCAGACGACATTAATGAAGTGACAAATTGTGAAATGATAAAGTGAAATTAAGGTGCAGTAAGTGATGGCATAACACATCCTCATGTCAGAAATGATTCTTTCAAGAGATATTATTTCAAGTATTACAAGTAGAAGATCAAAATTAAACGTACTTTCACACGATTGACAGTGCCAATATGTGGAATAGCTACAGCGTGAAGTTTAGGTTCTTTGTTTTGAGGATTTTCTTCAGGCTCATCTTCGCTATCAGACGCTTCATCACCTGAACCAAAAAAAGAAACATTATTTTCATTATTGAAATAATTTTCCAAAACTAGATCGCTTAAAGTTTTGAGTCAAACTCATATTATACTACGCAAAGTGCTTGGAGATATCCAACGGAGAAAATATGACGATTTCATTTGCACATGGAACAAAATGAATATTAGCACCCATATATATTGCAGTGCTTCCTTCACTATCATATATGTGAGAATTAAATGTGCTCATGCAAATCTACACGATTTTTGATAGTTCGATTCTTAAATAAAACCTTCAATTGGATTCAAATTTGACAGCTTCATCACAATTAACTCGTTGTTTGTTGGTTTCTCAGCTTGAGTTCCGCCAACCAAATAACAGCTCATTGGGAAACTAGTACGATTATCGCCAAGATCATCAGTAATTGTGTCAAAGCTAAGACAAGGCCACTCTAAAAGTAAAACTTCATATATACAAACATAAGAGACACCTACTTATCCAACAATCTATTAGTTTCAACTGATATTTTATGTTTAAAAAATGAATTGACGCTTTAAATTTCTCAGTGCTAACAGTTTTCAAATAGTAGCTAAACTTCCTAATAGCAACCATACAGATCCTTACATTCGATTGTCTGCTTTGTACTGACGAAATAGCCAGAAAAGCACAACAAAGGAATATTACTTGTTTCAAAAAAAAAAAAGTCCAGAAAAGCACAATAAAGGAATATTACTTGTTTCAAAACTGTGATATAAGTTATATGCTTCAGGATCAAAATCCCAATCTTCATCTTCACGCAATGGACGACTTACACCAGGAATGTAAACCTTAATTTCAATTAATTTAAATCAAAAAGGGCACAAATTTCAAGATTATCCATTCATCCGTCCAACAAAAATATATTTTTTATTAGTATTTTTTATTCAGTAAAGTAATTTCGAGGTTATCAATAAAAATTTATTTGTTAATTCGAATTTCTCATATTGAATTACCTTTTTCTTCCCATTTTTTGCCTTTTTTCTTCCCTCTTCATCATCCATCATTTCGATTTCATTATATCGTTCTGCTGAATCTTCTTCCATCCTGTAAAATTTTTTAAGTACAGAAATGATTACTCGTCAAATTTATATTTTTACTTTTAACTACTTTTCAAGTGTTAAATCTCAACAAATCCTATAATCAGTTATGTTATGACAATATCCCTTTTCACGAACATTTAACATCATCAAACTAATTACTATAAAAATTAAGCTAACATATAAACCACCCGAAATCTCTACCACACGTAAAACTTTCTCGTCTCATACGTAACCTTACCTTTGTCTCATTTCGTTGCATTACAATGAAAACGTTTATCCCACGTAGTATTTCCTCACGTTTTCCAATATTTCCGTATAATTCGTAAAATTTATCAAAAATTATACTTAGTGATAAATGCTATTAATATTTAATGTCATTAGCTTATTATATATTCTTCTAATTTCAGAGAAAGAAAGAAAAAAAAGCTATTTTAGGGACGTTTTTGTTTTTTCCCATTACAATAAATATTATTGTGAACATTAATTATTCCATAATATTTGTTGTTTTTTGTTATATTATTTTTAAATTTTATCTAAAATTTCACTCAAAATATTGCAAAGAAATGAATGTTTAAATTTATAGAAAATGGGAAGAGAGAGAAAGAGAAAAGGAGAAAGAGAGAGAGAGAGAACTTGAAAAATGTGAAAAAAAAAAGAAGTTCCAAATTTAAAAGATATTGAAGAAATACTAAAAATGGCCAATAATCTGAAAATGAAAATTTCATAAATTAATTATTGCTTGTAAAATATTACATATAAAAATGAAGAAAAAGTGCTAATCGATATTGTATACTTTATTGTCTCTCCGATAAAATTCTCTCTCTGATAAAATTCTTTCTCTGATAAAATTCTCTCTCTGATAAAATTCATTCTCAACATTCATACTTTTAGTTTTATAAAAACATTTAAAATTTCTTTTAAGAATCTCTCTTTTTTCTTTTTCTCTTTCTGTTCCCTTCTAATATTTATTTATTATATATATATATATATATATATATATATATTATATTTGTAATATATATTTGAAGCATAATAGCAATTGTAAATTAATTATAATTGTTGATTTGTTTTCTTTTTTTTCTTTTTTTTTTTTTGAAACTTCAAGAATTAAAAAGAGAGATTTTCATATTATTAATTGAAGGAAGAATTCATTTTAAATATATTTTCAATAATATTTCAATGATATTAATCACTTCAATTTAATACTTTTAATATATTTTTTTGCTAAGAATGAATTCATTCATTCATTTATTTCTCTTTGTCATCTTTCAATCTTATTTGCTATGTTTAGTTAATTTTTTAGAAATAAAAGGAATGAAAACGAAAGATTGTTAAAGTATAGTACTATTTCTAAGCATTCCTCTTATTGCATTTTGATCTAAGGTTTAACTTTTAGTCTTTTTTTAAATATCTGATTGATATTAAAAAATAAAATAGTAAATTATCGATTATTTAAATGATCAATTAGTATCACTTTTTTATTTCTTTAATTAAATCACTACTGCTCTACTCTTTGAAAATTTCTCATAATTAAAGTGACGGCGAATTTAATGAAAATTTATTTTTTTCTCTTTCTCTCTCTCCCTCTCTCTCTCTCTCTCTGAATGATCACATCTTTTAATATATGAAAATACCAAATAAATTAAAATCTATGATTTTGTAGCAATCAATTTAAATTTGTTAAAAATAAAAAAAAAAAAAAAAAGAATGACAATAGGAGGAATGCATTTGCACAAATTGAACTGAAAAGGTCAAAATGGTAAATGATTTGACGGTGCATTTCGATATAACAATAAATGTCAGATATAATTAACAAATGCATACATATCATTTTACTATTTTTCACAAACTATTAAACCGTAATGAAATGCAAACTATGGAAATAATATGAATTGACCTAATTAATTAATTATAATTATACTTCTTTAATAATTGATTACAAAAGAAGCATACTGTCATAAGGTATTATTAAATTAAGCTTGTATTATTGAACTAATCACATCTATCATTTAATCAATGAATTAATATTTTTATATTGTTAATTTTTATAAATATTTAGTGCATCAATAAATATTTATAAAATTTGTTATTTGAACAAAAAATTTAATATACCCATACTGTTTGTCATATCAATTTATCAGTAAGTATATATCCATACTGTTTGTCATATCAATTTATCAATAAGTATATATCCATACTGTTTGTCATATCAATTTATCAATAAGTATATATCCATACTGTTTGTCATATCAATTTATCAATAAGTATATATCCATACTGTTTGTCATATCAATTTATCAGTAAGTATATATCCATACTGTTTGTCATATCAATTTATCAATAAGTATATATCCATACTGTTTGTCATATCAATTTATCAATAAGTATATATCCATACTGTTTGTCATATCAATTTATCAATAAGTATATATCCATACTGTTTGTCATATCAATTTATCAGTAAGTATATATCCATACTGTTTGTCATATCAATTTATCAATAAGTATATATCCATACTGTTTGTCATATCAATTTATCAGTAAGTATATATCCATACTGTTTGTCATATCAATTTATCAATAAGTATATATCCATACTGTTTGTCATATCAATTTATCAGTAAGTATATATCCATACTGTTTGTCATATCAACTTATCAATGAGTGATTGTGCATCAATCACTAACTATCATTTTATTTAACTAAAGAATTCTAATTATCATATTATTTGCATAACAATAATATGTATTAATCTAACAAATGTGCACTTTTCTTTTCATTTTCTTATTTTAATTTTACTTACTAAATGTTTTATTTATTCCTATTTGTTAATTTGAATTGCTTACTGCGACTATTCGATATTTGATAAACAGTTGGAATATTTATTCTTGTTGACTTCCTCACGAATGTATGTTTATGTATGGATGGAATAAAATGATAATGTTGAAATGATATGATTGATTGATCTTCTTCCACTATTTAAATCTAATTTAACTTTTTTCTTTTTTTGATCTCAAAATCAAGCACTGAATGCTAATTCTTCATTATCATTTCTTATTATATTAGATAATCGATTACTCTCCGTGTATCATTAAATTTTAGTTATAAAAATTATATTTATTGTTAATATAATAATTGTTATTAAAAAAGAATGTGTCACATTTATTTTCTTCCCATGTATGTCACATTTTATGAAATATGAATTAACACATTGTTATGCATTTTGCACTTATAAATTGCATTCATTTTCAAATGTAAATTTTAAATGTCATTTTAAATTTAAAATGTAAATTTGCATTATTAAGACATTTTTGATAATTTTTCTTCATTTTGATAATATTTATCACTGGAATCTCGTAAGAAGTGATACTTTCTATTTGATAATATTAAAATGCTTTTTTTTTTCGTGCAAAAAAATTCTTAAATTAGAAGTGATCGAGAGTGATTTATTTTGAATTACACTTTATCAGAAGCACAAAATTTCATTTCTTTTCCTTCAATTCATCTAATGAATTAATGATTTCTTGAAATAAAAATTATTAACATTCGTATCATCTTCTTATCTTCCATATCTTTTTATCTGATATCATGAATCTCTCTCTATTCATATGATTCAAATCACATTCATATCAAAATTGATTTTTTTAAATATAAATCATAAACAGAATGAGGAAATATTTGAATTATCTGTACGGAAAATATTTACGAATAAGTAATGAAATGATTGAAAATAAAAGATGAATTTTTATTTAATAATTCCACTATTTAATTTAAAAAAAAATTGTAAATTTGAATTTGAAATTGTAAATTAATTCAGAGTATTGATAAGATATTTTTATTAAACAATTCTACAATGTACACTGTTTTCTTAGATGATAAATTTGTTTAAGTGTTTTAAATTCAATTATCATATCATCCTGTAATTTAAGTTCTTATCATTTCTATTTATTATTTTGATTAGTTTCTTTAAAAAGCTAAGCTTTCATTTACAGTAATCGAAATGAATGAACAATAATAATTAACCATTCTCATATGTACGAGAAATTCATTTTTCTAGTAGATATTGTTGTTAATATTAATAATTATTATCATAATAATTACTGTGGAATAAATTTAAATTTGAAATTGTAAATTAATTCAATACTGTTATATAGAAATGATCAAAGTTAAATTTGTGATGCTAACAAAGTTTTATTTTGATTTGTGATAAAAGTATAATAAATGAATTTTTGTTAATGTTATGATTTATTCTTGAAAAAACAAGCAAAAAAAAAAAAAAAAAATCTTTGATTTCTTTTTTTATTAAAAGCAATTCTTCAAAGATATTTAAGCATTTTTCTTCCTTTTTTTTTTCTTCTTTTTAGTGCTTACATAACATTTATATTATAATCGTATCATCGATGGAAAAATCCATTTTTATGAGTCATTTTTTCATTCTGTAATTTTTGAACTAAAATTAAAATACCTTTAACACTTTTCGTAGTAATCATTTTTTTCTTTCCTTTTTGTTTTTATTTTATCACACATCTAAACCAATTAACTCTTCCAGCAACTTTCACTGTTTAAATTTATTTTATCATATACCAAAAAAAAAAAAAAAAAAGCTATAGTTTTTCAGATTACTTTGAAATTAAGCAAATAATGTCACTATTTTTGGACTTAAAAAAAAACAGAATAAATTTGAAATATTTCAATAATAATTTTTAAAAAAAAAGAAGAACTAAGTTATAAGAAATGATTTATAAATTACATATAAAAAAAATTTTTTGATTTTTTCAAAAATTAATACCATTACTCTTTAACTTTTTTTTTTTGCAGTAATTTAAAACTGTATTAGTAAAGTAATAATACTCCCTTGAATGAGCTCTAAATTTATTAAATTAATGTTAGATGTCAAAAGGTAAAGAGCACACAGTTTCTTTCGCTTTTGTTGACGCTATCAATTCTTGCCTACAGGTTTGCATTCCATGGTTCAGGTATTTGCAGGTAACTGCACTCGCTAATCATTAGATTTCTCGTCTTTTCAAATAAAATTCTCCTCTTCTTTTCTTTTTTTTTTTTATTTTCTTCCTCTATAACTACCCTTTTCATCCAGTTTAGTTCCCTTACATACCTTTTACCTTTACCTTTACGGTTCTATTACCATCTTCTCTTATGATATATACTTTTGATGCTTTTCTTTCTTCACTGTTAAATTTTTCTTTTTTTTAGCAAAAAAAAAAAAGGAAAAGAAAAACTATTAGTAATACTTTTTGTATTGAATAGTATTTTTATTAATATAAAATAAATGTTTTTATATATTAGTAAATAAAAAAGTTTTAAATTTACAAAAAAAAAATCATATATGATTATTAATAAAAATTTTGCTTTATTAATTTTTTAGAATAACATTTTTCTATGAAAAATTTAACAGAAATATAATTGAGGATATCTAAAACATCACTGTAATGACCTCGAAATTGTCATATGAAGAAGTCATTCTGCGCATCTCCTATCTACTACTATTACTACTATCATTGATTTCAATACCGCTTTTACTGACATTATCAAATATTTGTATCAGTAAACAATGATCAATAACCATCTAAGTATCACACATTATATTTATATTTGTAAACAACGATCAATAACTATCTAAGTACCACACATTATATTTATATTTGTAAACAACGATCAATAACCATCTAAGTATCACACAGTATTTGTTTGAGAGCGTTAATCAAATTTTGTTATGCTCAAAAAAAGAAGAAGAAAAAGTTTTGTGTTTGAAATAACAAACAACATATGATCATTTAGGCTTTTTTTCCATTTCTATTTTCTGCATTGCCTCATTTCCATTCTTTTTCTTTTTTTTTTTTTTTTTTTCATAGTTTTTTCTGATAAAAAACTTTCAGTGTTATACAATTGCACTTTTTCAGGCAAATTTTCAAGGTTTTCCATTTTTTTTTTTTTTTTAAATGATCTAGCAAAATTTCATTTGCTAAAAATTTATTTCATTATAATGTCATTGGAATACTGAAAAATGAAAGGAAATTTTTGCCTTTCAGAATTACCTTTTACTCTTACATTAATGAAAAAAAAAAAAAGTTTTTAAAGAGCTGAAATATAAATGAAATAATCATACCATATTATTAAATTTTATTTTGTTAAAGAATGAATTTATTTCATTTCAAAATAAATTTTTAATTTCCAAAAAAAAAAATATGATGTTTTTTTGTTTGTTTGTTTTTTCTTTTCTTTTTGTCATATGAACAATTTGCTTAGAATGATAAGAAAATGATAATATGGTTTAGAGGATCAAACGGAAGAAATATTTCATTTCATTGCTCAAAATATCATTCTATCAAATTTATTCATTTTTTTTCTTGCATTTACAATTGTGGAATAAATCGTTCTTTTTTTCTTTTTTTTTTAGTGAATTCTCATGAATCTTTTCTTACTACACATTGATGATTGTGATTTTGTGACATCACAAGCATTTATCGTCATCTGTTCTAATTTTCTATTTCAAATTTTTGAAATGACCTTCTTCTTACGGTTTGAATGCTTAATATATGATTTGAAAATGTTAAGTTTATGCAAGAAAATTATTCCACTTTTGGTTGATTAGCAATTTGTACAAATCATATGAGTGAAAAAGAAAGATTAAATTACCATCACATTTTTTTTTTTTTTTTTTTTAATCAAAACATATGGCAATAATTAAAATTGTCCATTTACTAATTATTATTGTTGTATAATTATTTCTATTATGTTAAATTCAGTAACAAAAAGGAGGAGTAATTATGACAAATGCGCTAAATGGTAAAATGTATTAGATTTTTTTTTTTTTGAAAAAGATATATGATTATCTGATTTTCGATTGAAAGACCGGTTAAGATCACTTTTAATATCTTTTTAGCGTACCACTTTCAAATTTTGACAACAAAAAAAAGAAAAAAAAATGCCTCATTTTGGGCGCTCTTTTCTATTCGTAATGTATGGCTGAATTATTGCATACTATTTTCTAATTTTTACTAAGAATTGTTTGTTTTTCTATTCTTCCTACTATCCATCCATTCATCGTTTAGAAAAGTGCGTCTCTTCAAATTACACTGTAATTTCTTTAAACTTTAAATTATAAAAATTAACAGTGAGGCAAAAAGAAAAAAAAATATATATATATATTGATGCAAAAATTTGCCTCAAGCTATGACTAAAAAACATATTAATATTTGATACGTTCATACTGAAATTTAATTTGAAAAATTCCATTCAAAAAAAAAAAAGAAAAAAAACTGATGAGAAATTTTACAGTTAATAGAATAAAAATTGAGAATTAATAAGTGAATCTGATGAAGCAAGAGAAATATTTCGAATTATTCTGTAGCAGTGAAAAGATAAATGATGCGACAGATTTGAGAATATTTGTAGTGAAATTCCTTCTTAACCTATTCATCAGGAAATTAGGACTTTGATTATTATGACTAAATTCTTTACATTTTTATATATGACAATAACAAATTACTAAAGAAAAACATAATTATTTATTGCTAATAGCTCAAAATTTTCAAAGTAAAAAAAAAAAAACTTAAAAAAAAAACTGAAGAATGATTAATGGTAGATAAAAAAGTAAAATTAGTAATAAAGTTACTTAATTGATTTTCATTTCAATTTACAATGTACAACAAAAGTTACTAAATTGTATTGTTTTAAGTTAAACAGTAAGAGAGAAATGGTCACTCAAATTGACACTCTATCATGTCATTATAATTTATATTCTCGACTTTTATTTCTCGATGTCTTCATAATATCCGTTTCATAGAACTCTAGTTATCATTATCATATCATTTCATTAGTAATCTAATCGATGAATATTATAAGTAGTAAACAAGGAATATAATTTGATCTATTATCGAACTAAAGTAGCTATGTGATCAGTCAAATTATAAGAAATCATATATGTTGAGCTAATTTAGAATTTTTAATTTAAAAAATTTTCGGATGGATATGTTAGAAATTTCTAATTTAAAAAATTTTCAGATCGATAATTTTTTTGTAGAATGTCATAAAGGTTACACAACTTTTATATCTATCGATAAAGCACGTAGAGAATTAGCAAATAATATGCAAATTAAGTTATTCCTCAGAATATTCACCGTAGATTCCATAGTTCTAGATGATCTGTGATAAAAAAAAAAGAAAAAACTATTTGCTTATCGTAGAATAATGGGAAGAGAAAATTATATTTTGCATAAACTATAAGATAGTTTTATTCATTTTATATTTGGGCAATTTTTTTCTTTTCTAAAGGTAAATTTGCTACTTTTTCATGCACTTCTTCAGTTAAATCTATTTTCTTCCTTAAACTTTATCAAAATTTAGGCTTTTCTTTTGTTGAAATGTTAATTCTAAGTGACAAAAGCAGAAGATGTTTTTTAATAATTAAATTTTAAAGCTATTAGATTTTGGGTAATTGTGACTAATAGGAAATCTAGGAGTTCAGAGAAATATGCTAGAAATGAAATGTGTTAGAACTTTATTTCAATTATTCCTGAAATTTTGGTTGTCTGTTTGAAAATTTGCAGATTTTTTTTTCCTTTTTCTTTTTTTGACTAAGATTAGGGCATATTATTACTTTTAATATTAAAAGAAAAAAAAAATGGGAAAAGCAAACATTTTTAAAAGTGAAAGATTTTTGACTAATTTTTTAGTAATTTTTATTTTCCTAGAAATGTCAACTATTTTCCAAAAATATCAATCTAAAAAATTTCATTTTCTTTTTTTTCCAGAAATATAAGTCTATGAGTCTTTCAGACTATCAATTTTTCTTTTTTTTTTTTTTTTTTTTTTTTTTTGTTTTTTCTAAATATCAAATAATTTTTATCAATGAGTAAAAATAATCATAGTTGATTTGATTTCTGATTTCAGATATATTAGATTAATTTATTAGCACTTTTCGTATAGCTTTATTAGTTCATTTGTTTGATAAAAAAATAAAAATTAAATGAATGAGTTATTCAATTGAATTATTTAAATGTGTTTGTTGATTGATAATCTCAACTTATCATCTACTATCATTGCTTGTATTATTCAGCAATTGATGATAATTATCATTCATTAGATAAATTTTATCAATTGATAAAATCTTTTGCTCATTTGGTAGATACTCAATCAGTCAGTTCAGTAGTCATTTCATTGCGCTCATCTACGATACCCGCAAAATCAATTGATGGCGGTGCTGGCGAATGCTGGCGGTGATGGCGGTGGCAATGCTGCTGATTGTTGTTGTGAAGATAAATGCGCGAGGAAGGGCAATGAGATGTCGTGCTTTTATGTTGTATTAAATTCTGTCACCGATCGAGAAAGGATACGAATGTAGAAGGAATGGTGACATGAAAAGTTTTACCTACCCTACCAAACCCTAAAACTATACAATCATGATTCATGTTCATTTGTCATCAAATAAATAGTAACTAACAGTAGGAGGTCAATCTTGCGCATTTTGCTACCGATATAAGTATTTTCTAGTTTAATTAATCTTAATTGACATTCTTTTAATTTTTATTGGTCAACTTTTTTTTTTTTTTTTTTACACCATTTTGCTTTCATTAAGAAAATCTATTCAGATTTAATTAGTTTTTTTTTTTTTTTTCAGTTAAATTTTGTCATTGGCAAAATTTGGAAATTTCATTTTTTTTTTTTGATTAATAGAAAATATGGAATTGATATTAAAAATGATATAAGTTTTAAATTAAGATTAGAATAATTTAATTATCATTTAAGAATATATAGTTATTGCAAAAATTATTGATAATTATACTTTATGTGTGAATTTTTTCAATCTAAAATTAATTAAAAGAAGTCATTTTTAAGAAAATTATCATTTTTATCACTATCTTACATTGATATATTTATTTGCAGTAATTGAACAAATTGATAATATATGTAAAACTTATGTAAATTGTCTAAAAATAAATAAATAAATAATTTTTTATATGCATTGTATTCTTTTGGGAATTCAACTAATTCTCACTTTCTCACTATGAAATGAAAGAATTTTAATTTTATGAAATTAAATTAATTTAAAAAAGGCATAATCATTGATAATAATTATTAACATAAATAATATCAATTAGGTTTTTCTTTTAATTTGCACAGGTGAATAATAATAAAAGCATTTCATTAAGTTTTATCAATTAATTTACTTTTATATCAGATTTTCTATTACATTTTATCTATCAATTGAAACTTGGAAAAAAAAAAAACGAAATCTTTTTCATTTAATGTTTTAAATTTCAATATTCAAATTGTACAAGTTATTTTTACTTTACTATTGTTTTTTCATCGCAAAATAAGCTTAACATACTATAAAAATGAAAATTCTTCTTGTTATTATTTTTAAACTAACTGTTCTCACTTATTTCATTTTTCTGTTTGTACTTTTCAATGATGCAAAATTCTATCGAAATGAAACATTCAGCAAAATTGTCATCATAAAAAAAAAATGAAAAATGAAAAAATGAAAATGAAAAGAAATGAAATGAAACTTGTCAGGAAATATTTCTGATTCATATTTTTCATCAAAATATTTTAAAACATTTATTTCAATTCCCATTTCATTTATTCATTTCCTCATCCCATCATTCTTTTCAATTTCACTTCCACAAAATGCAAGCATATAAAATTTTTTAGTTGATTAACATGAACTTGAATTGTGATCTATCTTAATAAATATGAATATTTTTTGAACTTGTTCCAATTATTATCATCTTTTTCTTCCTTATCTTTTCCCTCCCTCCCTCTCCCTCTCTCTCTCTCTCTCTCTTTCTCTTTCTTTAATTCATAATTCAAAAGAAAGAAAAGAAAGGAAAAGAATGATGAGCTTTTTATCAATTATCATTTGATATAATAATGAAAATTAATTCCAATTTATTTTTCATCATTCTAAAAATTTAACAAATGAACCATTAACAATGAATGATTTAAAAGTTTGAAAGTTTAATAAAATAACTTTCTAAAAATTACTTTTCTCTTTTTTTTTTCTTGTTTTTAAAAGTGAACATTTTGATAGCAGTAGTAATTTCCTTAATTTTGATTTCCTTGTAGCATAAAATGATATAAAGAAAACAAAGATAATAAATTTATTTTCCTTTAATTAACATTTTAGTATCTTCATTGCTACCGCAATCTTTACGCATCGCAAATTTTTCCGCTTCACTAAATATTGCTAAATAAAGCAATATATTTTGATAATCGAACAGCAAGCTAAAGTAATGTAATTGATTATTTGATAATATCATAACCTGTTATCATCGAAACTTGTTTATTTTGTTTACAACTATAATATCACTTAGGTTTTGTTCAAATCAAAATTTATACCATGCCAAAAGTCGAAATAAAACGAAAGGATAGATACTACCAACCTGCTCATTGGAATGTCATTAACTAGTAAGAATGATATAATGATAAGAGAATTATCAAATGTGATAAAATTGTGATATTTCACTGTTTAAATCCATTTGTATAATTTTTATTGCTCATTAAAAATTCATTTCATCCATTAAAACTCTCTCTCTCTGTCTTTCATTAATTCTCTGAAATTTTTATAATTATCATTTCTTAACTTATTCATTTATTTCATTATTTTTTGTATATTAAAAAAAAAAAAAGATTAAATAAAAGTAAAAAATAATCGTTTGATTATATTTTGTAATGCAAATAGTAAGCATTAATTTGTAATTAATTAAAATTTATCATCATATTTGTCATTTTAAAGCAACTTTTATCTTTTAAAATTTGCTGCTGTAAAATTTTTGAAATATCTTCTCTCTCTTTATTTCTCTCTTCTCTTTTCTCTCCCTCTCTCTCTCTTCTCTTAACTTTGAACTCATTAATTGATGCTACTTTAAAGAGAGAAAAAAAAACCTTTTATTTCTTCTAATTTCATTAGTTTCCGAAAAAATTTTTTTTGCAAATTTAAAAATTCGAAACATAACGACAATTGGTAATTTCATTTTGTTGTGTAACATTTATTTAATTTTAGTATTTTTCATCAGTTTAAATGCAAAAAGTGAATAGGTAATAAAATTGATTATTTGTGAATCAATAATTTAAAAAAAAATTTTTTTTTAATTTTAAAAATTAATTTTTTTTTTCTATTTACTTTTTGATAAGGTCATAAGTGCTAATGAACGAAATATAAACATTTTGAATGTGACAATGACAATGTATTGCTCTAATGTTATCAAATTTTATAATTTATAAGATAACATTGAAATTTTCATACTTACCTTCTTCGTTTCAATTTAATTAAATTTTACCCATCTATTTAATTCCAATTATATTAACTTTTGTCAATATGAAAGTTTAAATAAGGTATAACAGAATAATTTTTCAAAAATACTAACTCAAATACTTGTACACGCTTAAATTATTTGCTTCATTTTCCATCAATAACGTTTTGTTTACTTTTCTTTTTTTTTTCTCTCTCTCTCTCTCTCACCCTCTCTCTTTAATCTATATGAAATTTTTATGTTTAAATTTAAACATACCACTAGTTTTTATTTACCAAAAAATAAAAATGATAATAAAAAAAAAACAAATTCGAAAAGAAAATGAAAATGAAAAAATGTTTTTGCATGAAATTTTCTTTTCTATTTATCAATGTTCTATTTTAAAAAAAAAAGTTCACTTTCAAAATGAAAAATAAAAGGTATTTTCTTTCTTCTTAACTAATTCACATATTTGCTAATCATTTTCTCTCTCTCTTTCTCTCTTTCCCTCTCTCCCTCTTTCTCTCCATCTCTATCTCTCTTCATTCTATCATTACAATAAACAATCTCAAATATATCTTTCTTTCTTTCATCCCATACAGCAATACTTCAATTTAGCATTTTCAAAAAAAAAAAAAAAAATCCCAGAAATATCTAAAATATTGCATTGATCAATATTTGTTGTACGGTGTGAACATAATTTGTACATAGCATTGATCTTTTTTTCTTTCTTTTTTTCTCTTTCTTTTTGGCTCAATAATTCTTGGCTTTTTTAAAGGTATTTCAATTATATGTCTAATATACTTTACCTAATTTTCATTTTTTTTCTTTTTGGCCCAATAATTCTTGGCTTTTTTAAAGGTATTTCAATTATATGTCTAATATACTTTACCTAATTTTCATTTTTTTTCTTTTTGGCCCAATAATTCTTGGCTTTTTTAAAGGTATTTCAATTATATGTCTAATATACTTTACCTAATTTTCATTATTCATAATTTAATCTCAATCAAATATATGTTGTGTATGTAATGAAATTATTTAATTCAAATTTATAATTTAATTTATTACAAAAAAAAGAAATAAATTTTTTTTTTTTTTTTTTGGAATGGAAAGTTTACCTAAAATATTTGAGTAAACTGCAAAAACGTTAAAGTACACAAATACAATTATTTCTATTAAATAAACATTTTTCTTTGTTTTTTTTCGTCTTTCTACCAAAATTGATTTTGTGTAGTTTACAAAATATATTTGAATAAAACTATGTAATACAAAGAATAAAGAGAAGAGATGAGAGAAAGAGAAATGTAGAGAGAGAGAGAAGAGAGGGAGAGAGAGAGAAAAAAACCTTACTTTGTTACTTATTGAACATAACGTCTATTATATAATATCTATTAATAAAACTCACTGTTTGCACTTTTTTTTTGTCAAAATTTTTTTGATAATTAAATTGTATTATACAATTTAGGATATTTCACATTTTACTTTTTATTTTTAATTTACTTTTTAATATTTACTTAACATCCACATTAACAATTATAATTTTTTTTTAATTGATCGAAAATTTAAAAAAGAAAAATTTATTTAATCTAATTTACTTTGGCACTTTTTATACAAATTAACTGTGAATGATTAATTTAAAATGTTTTGTTATATTATAAGCCCCAATTGGCAATATGTTTTAAATTTTGACAACTTATTTGTCCAATAATAAATTTTATAAAAATAAATAGAAAAAAAGGACAAATTAAGCGCTAATGTTTTTATGGAAGAATTATTTTTATTATAACATGATAAAATGATAATTAAGTATAGCAAAAGAATTGTGATAATTTTATAAATATCTTAACTAGTTGATATCAGATGATAATATCACAATAAAATTAATAACCATATCAATTCTTTCATTTTTTTCTTCTATTTTAGTTATTACATTATAGGTCGATTGTTTTTTATGCAAAAGATTACTTATAATTTACTAATTTAAAAAAATATTTTTTTCTCAAATATTCAAATATTACAACTATTTTTCTTACATATACTACTTTACTGCCGAAATGTTCTTGATGGAACTATTCGTCTCAACAGATGTTATTTATAGTTGTTCATATAAAATAATTGCATATTTGTTGTTATTATTGTTAACCTTGACTTATTTATTTCATTCTTGGAAATAACATTTGACAGTTATACCGTAAAGTAACCTTTTTACAATACATCACTATGCCTTTTATTATTGTTGTTGTTACTGTTATAGTTTAATAAACAAATATAATAGAAAGGTCATATGGTTTGTCCTCTTATAGTAAGTTTTTTTTTTTTTTTCTCTTCTTTTCATGACATTGACAAATTCAATCAGTGTCAGATTCCATCGTTTTGTTGATGGAAAATTTTTCATATTCCTCAAAATAAAACTTTATGCTTACAATATACAAATGATTTTATTCAAAAGAAAAAAAAAATAAATAAAAACGATAAATAAAATTTAAGAAAGTATTTGGAAATTAACAAATGATAAAAAGATAAGCTGCTTTATTAAAATGAAATAAGAAGGTAGAATTAATCCTTTTTTTTGATAAACTTTGATTAAAAAAAAAATATAATATATACTTATCATTGATAGATTATTTGATTATATTTATCATTGCATGATTATTTGAAAAAGTTTTTTTTGTTACTGATAAGTGTTAGCTGATACGTGATGAAAATTTTTTAATTATACAATGAACTAAACATTTTCTATTTAACTTTGATATAAACATTGCTATTGAAATGTGTTCTATATGAAGAAAGATTGTTTAATTTCAAAGAAAAAAAAAGATATTAAGTGATATGATAAAAAGATTAATGTTATCAGTGATGAAAGTACGAAAATATCAAAGTTATAAATATGCACTTAAAATGACATTTATTAAAAATTTTCCACTGAAATGAACAATGGAAAGTTAATATTTCTATTGCATATTTTCATTTCTTTAACAATTTTTAATGGCTACAATTTAAAATGTTCAACAGTCCATGAAATGATAATTTATTATTACTTTTTTGTGCCATCTATGAAAAATATATGTCTTTTCTTTCTTTCGTTTTTTTTTTTTTTTTTTTTGTTAGATTGCGCTTTTGGGGTTTTTTTATGTTTTTTTTTTTTTTTTGATGGTACAATGCCTAACATTAATATGAATGATGGAAGAAGGAACAGATGTTTTACTTGAATTATTTTATTCACTAATTTTCTCTTTTTCTCTCGAACATTGTGATCACCCTCCATTTTTGTAGTATTTTTACGTAAATGCGCTTCATATATCACTCTAGATCACGTAAATACATGCGTGTATTACTCTAGATCACGTAGATGCACTTCGTATATCACTCTAGATCACGTAAATGCACTTCGTATATCACTCTAGATCACGTAAATGCATTACGTGTATTATTCTAGATCACGTAAATGCATTACGTGTATTATTCTAGATCACGTAAATGCACTTCATATATCACTTTAGATCACGTAAATGCGTTTCATGTATCACTCCAATCAATAAGCTCTTCATTACTTGAAGTATTGTCTAGTAAAGTATCATAACACGTAAGTAAAACGTTGTTTTCTTTACAATTATACCTAGGGATTATAATAAAAATAAAAAATTAGTTTAATAACAATGCATGGAATGGAACTTTAAAATTTTCATTTTTAAAAAAAGATATTCTCAAAAAAAAAAAGTGTAAAAATGTAAAAATGGATTAAATTTAATGTCCAAAAACTTTTCAAAACAATGCATATATGATAAAAAATCTCAAATTTTAGTGCTACAAATGAATCCTTTACTAATCGCATTAACATTTTATTAAAATTAAATTGAATAAAACCATCGCTTTATGAAAAAGATTTATTATAGTCCAAAATTGAGTGTGGAAAAAGTACATATATGGTAGTCTCAGTATTATAGCAACTTAATTAACAATCATTAAAATATTTTTTAAAAAATTTAATCGATCAACGTAGTATCAACTACCTGAAGTGTATCCTTTTGCTTTTTATCATTGGATTTTTTCTGAAAAAAAACTATGAAATTTGCATTTAATTGAAAGAAAGCAAAATTATAAATTTATTTTATATTATTGTTAATAATCTATAAATTATGAATTATATCAAAAAAAATTTTTTTAAATGTAAATTCTAATAATTTGTCTGTCTGTTATGTAATCTCAAAATTTATTCTTAACATCGAATACAGTTTTTGTTGTCATTAAAAAATATTTTTTATTGAAAATTCTTGTAAAAACGAGAAAAAAAAAAGTGATAATTTATGAATTCGTTGGAGATAGATTTAGCAATATTTTTTCATTTCTTTATTTTATTTTAATTTAAAACTACAATTAGATGAATTCAAGAATAATTATGAAATTTATTTTAATGTTATTTCACTATGAAATGTAAAAAATTTGCAAATTAAAATTTTATACAGATAAATCTCAAATGAAAATTAAACAATAAAAACTAACATCGTTTTAATTTTCAAAATTTTTAATAGAAATTTGTTAAATTTTGCAATATTCTATTTTTTTTTTTTTTTTTTTTTTGTATTTCAACAATTGCATTTGTATGCTTAAAGTACATACAACAAATCTCTAATAATACCAAAATTTCATTTTCAAGATTTATTACTGTTGAAAACTTTCAATCTATCATTATTCATCGATATGAAATTGAATGGTTGCAAATATTTTTTCATTTTCTCTCTCTCTCTCTCTCTCTCTCTCTCTCTCTCTGCTTATCATCAAACATACTAAAAGGAAATAAATGATTCAATCAATCATTTTATTTAGCGAACATTATCATTTGTTTTGCTTTTTTTTTTTAATTCTTATTTAATTCGTTCCTAAACATTTATTTTTCATTATGTACTATTTCTATTCTTTCTTCTTATCTTTTCTATCAGTTGCAGTATGTTAAATCAATTCATTGATTGAATTCAATTAATGTATTAGTAAATAAGTGATCTTATGTGATTTTATTCTCTAAAAATAATTATATTATTATTATCGAAATATTAATTACTCAATTTCATTTCCATTACATCGTTTCTTTGTAATTTTTGAATAAATTTATTTGAAAATTAAAACAATGGAATTATTTATTTATTTTTTTTTTAAATATAAGTGTTTATAAATTAATTCTAGAATAGATTTGTATCATTCACAAATCATTTTTTGATAATTATGCAAAAAAAAAAAAAAAAAAAAAAAAAAAAAAACGAAAATACATATTGCTTAAAAATGCTAACAAAATATATTTTGGCGGAAATTAAATTTCGAAAATTCATTCATTCCAAAAATTTTAATTTTGTTGCAGCCATTGAGAGTAATAATGAGTTTTTAAAAGGAATTTTTGCATTTTTATTTGAATTTATTGATGAATTTTTCATTTTTTCTTCTTCTTTTCTTTTCTTTTTGCACTATTACAAAATTAGTAAAATTTATCTGTCATTTTTTTCTGTATTCATTTGTTAGAAGAAGTTCAATTTGTAAAAAGTTCACTATAAAAGTTATTTGAATAACATTTTGCGCCGCTATTTGAAGTTGCATTTTTTTTTCACTACCGAAAATAAATTATATTATGCATACATAACTAATAATAATATCTTATAAATATTTCGTTTAATCCAAATTAAATTTTAATAATGAAAATTATGAAAAAATATTATTTGCATTACTTACAAAATGTTTTGCAATGGAAAAACTTTTGAATAGCTAAACTCATTGTAAGTTATAATTAATGAAATTTAGTTATTTTCTATTCAAAAATTAGTGGGAAAAAAAGAAAAAGCGAAAAATTTTGGACAAAAAGAAAAAAAAATTAATGAAAATTATAAAAAGAATTCTTATCACTTTGAGTTTACTAGCATTTATCATAATTTCTTTATGATACTTTTATTGTTTTTGTATAAAATTGGATCTTAAAATTAGTAAAATATTCCTGCGACAATTTCCCTAAATAAATGGCTGCTATTAAAAAATGATAAATTTATAAGTTTTTTTTTTTTTTGTTCAATTTATTTTTGTTTTATAATCATGCAATTCTTATAATTGATTGATTACGCATTGATAATAGAAATTATTAAACTTCAATTAAAATGATTATCATTTCACCAATGGAATTTCTTCTTCGTCATAATTTGAAGAGTGGAAATGAACTTGAATGGGTAATGAAAGTTGTCAAGCAGAAATATTTTCTATCATTTCATATTTACAAATTAAAATGTTAAATTCCACGCACGTAAATAAATAAAAAATTATCAAATGATTCATCAATTTTTAAGCGTTATTTACATATTTATTTCAGCAATTTCTCGTAGAATTTTAATTATCAGGAAAATGATATTATCATAGTTTTAAACATTTGTACTGATAAATTGAATAAATAATCGTGAATTAAAATTAATTCATTAATTGCATAAAATTGAATGTTGTAAAAAAAAAAATAAAGTATTTTACATTTTATTGTTAGCTAGCCGTTTCATTCCATGTAATTTTTATCTTTGCTACCAAACATAATTATCAAATCTGTCAGAATATTTAAATTTATGCTTTAATTTAAATTAAAATTCTTAATTAATTCTATTAAAAAGTTATTAATCAAAAAGCAATGATAATTTAAAAAAAAAAAAAGTAGCAAAGAAAAATTATAGAGAGGCAACTTTTTTTCTTTTCTTTTTCTTCCTTTCAATAAAATTTCCTTTAATATAACAAATAAATTAAAGAAATTACAAAATTTAAGACTTTATTTTTTTCTAAATCTGTAAATTTAATTTTATTGTAGTAGCATTGATTTAATGGTTTCCATACTTTTTTTTCATTTATTTTAATATTTTATTAGCTAAATAAATCTCGCTTATATGTTCAATTTAATTTAAAATGCATTACTAAAAACTAAATTTTTTTTTTTTTAATTTCAGGATGAGCGCGTATGCGGCGAGCCTTCAAAAGCTCATCGTCGCGTTAATTCTCATTTATGCGATAAGAGGTTTTGTTAATTTGAATACTTCTTCAGCTTTTTCTCTCTATTTATTTTTGTAAATAACAACAATTTCCATATGTCTTCTCTATTTATTTATCACATACCATATGGTTTCAATAATTTTTTTTTAAATGATATAATTAAAATGAATCATTTTACAATCAATGGTATGTGTAATAGTTATGTCAACTTTTCATCCATTTATGGCTTTCATCCACTTCAAATTCTTTTTCAAATTTCTAAAAACTTTCGTTTATTCCAAAAGAAAAAAGAGAAATAAAGGAAAAATAGAATTTTAATTAATTAATATGACAAATAACAAAGGTAAAATGTGAAAAAAATGATAGAAAATGTTGACTTTTTACATGCATATAACATGCTAAAAGCTAAAAAAGTAAACTAATACTTTTGATTAATTAGAGGAAATATTTAATTGTTTAATATATCACTAAGGTATATTTCATTTATTCAAAGTTATCATTCATCGATGAGTAAATCATTTAAATTTTACTAGGTAACGAACCTCGCATTCGATTGCGACGAGAAATTGGTGGATCGCAAAGTTTGCTAACCGTTGAATGGGAGGGTATTCAAACCGGTGATCATCCGGATGATAGTGTTGGAGGATTTGCGGTAGAATATCGTGCCGAAAAAGACACACAATGGCATGTTCATGATGGTATAATTCCTTATAAAGGACCTAATTTACAGTATAGAGTGCAGGTAATTCTCATATTCTTTTAAAAAATAAAATAAAATTATTTTTTTTTTTTTTATGAGAAAATTTATTTGTGAAAATATCTAATGAAAAAAAATCAAATTTTACATTTATCAATCATAACAAAATTTTTTATTTCTTGCAAAAAAAGAAAAAAAAAATTACTTTACATTTATTATTCCTCATTAATTTAGTTAAAATTATTAAACTGAAGAAGAAAGAAAAGCAATAATTAAATTATTTAATCATTTTTGAAAAAATTTTTAGATTCCTCGTCTACCAACTGGTATAGCTTACTTTGTACGTATCAAAGTATTAGGTAAAAATGGTAAAATTCTGGTTGAGACGCCAGAAATACGCGCACGTAATGAAATGGTTAGCATTAAATGTGAATCAGGTTTGTTCACTCTGATCATTTAATTTTTAATTTTCAATTCTAATTTCTTTAATCGATTAATCCAATCATTCTCAAATGATAAATTTAATGTTTATTTAGTAAATTATTACGTTTTCTGATTTTTTTTTTTAGCTTAATTAATTGTGGCTAATTTATGAACTTTTGATATGAACAAAGAGATTGGATTATTTTTATATCAACAAATGTTACTAATTCTAAAAATACTAAATATTCACAATATTTGTTTTTAAAATTTTCCACTACTGTATGTATGCTTATTTTGAAATTTCAGATGAATTGACAGCTCCACGAAATCTCGAGGTGACACAAACAGGTCAATACAGTATTGCAATAGCATGGGAACCTCCAGAATGTGGCTCTGTTGGCGAATATCACATTGAGGTGTGTTCTTTTCTTTTTCCTTTCTCAAAACACAATTTTTTTTATTTTTACTTTCAATTATTAAATTATACTAAAAATTATAAAAACTTTCATTTTTCAATCATTGGAATTCTACATATAAAGGTATGAATGAAATTTCATCTCTTCAAATCTTCACTTATCTTTTTGTTATTTTCGTATTTCTTTTTTTAATTAGAGTTAATTATTTATTTTGTTGTCGTTCAAATAATTTGTTTTATTAATTGAAATTTGATAGATTTGTTCTAGCTAGCTGGTATTGAGATGAAATTTGACGTTCATCGCCAAACAGTAACGCATCCGTCAGTTAGTGTTACCAGTCTTTTACCCGGAACGGAATATCAAGTTCGGGTTCGAGCCGCTGATCGTTTACGCATGTTGGGTCCATGGAATGATTACTTACTTGTAGCAAAAACTGAAGGAGAAGGTTGTTTAGATATTGCTTAAATCTGATTTAATACTTAATCATATCTTTTGTGCATCAATTTTTTTTTTTTTTTTTTTTTTTACTTTAATCTGAAAAGTTTTAAAAATATTTTTCAGCTCCGAATGAATCAGATGAAATAGAAATCGATTATCGAACAGATTCAGAATTACGCATTAGTTGGCAACCATATGACGATGAAAGATTACAACACTATGAGGTATAATTGAGATTAGATTGTAATATCAAAAGAATATCAAAAGTAATAACAAAAGAATTTTAATCATTAATTTTACTTTGAAATTATCTTATTCTGATACATAATTATTGCAATTTTACTTAATATTTTTTTCTTTCTATTTTCATTGTTGCAGCTTAGATAATAGGTAGATTAGAGGAGAAAAAGTTAAATTCAATGGATTTTTTTAAATTTTATCAATATATTTCAGGTAACAGCGGTTGAAGTGGATGGTGAGAGTCAAGCGGTTGAACGAGCACGTGTAAGTCCCCTGGCTAGCAGTCATATTTTTGTTAGGTTAAAACCTGATACCCAATATGATATAGGTGTAGTAGCATTTGTGGATCATGAACCTAAACTAGTTTACAAACTACCTGCTAAAACGGTAGCTGATCCGGGTGTAGCATGGAAAGAGAAACCAATGGTTACGCAAGAAAATGCACAACAATTTGCGGTACAATGGAAGAAACCATCACTACCTGATCAAATTATTTCCAAATTTATCGTTGAATATCGTCTACCAAATGAAACTGAGTTTGTTTATTTTTGTTAATAGTTAATTACTTTTGATTTTTGTTAGCAATTAATTACTTTTGACTGGTTGAATCATTAATATTAAAAGACATATATATATATAAGTACGTAAAATTAAAATTTTGAATCATCTAAGAAATCAGTATCACATAAATTGGTATGATGAATCATTTATGCCATCTGAAAAAAAGAAAAAAAAAAACAAATTCAGAAGATTTGAAATCGAATAACAACCAAAAAGTGCTAAATATATTCTGTGTTAACATATCATAATTAAATGAAACTCTCTTAAATAATAATTTCAATTGTATCATTGTAATATCATTTGTTTAATTTAGTGATAAATATTTTGAGTGCTTCAGATGGCGCAAATATGATGATTTAATGATAGAGGAAGAGACAGATGATTATCATATTCAATTTGATGGAATGTATGATGGTTCATTGTATTCATTTCGTATTTTAGCAGTGGATGATCAACTTAAAGTAGCTGCTAAAACAACTGAGGTTTTTAAATTTTTTTTTCTTTTTTTAAATTAATTAGTGATTAAACAAAGAAAAAAATTTAAGTGTATTATTTAGAAATCATTTTCTTTCCTGTCTTTTTTTTTTTCTGTTTGATATTTTATTAAATTTTAGATTACGGTTGGATCAGCAGCGTCTAGCTCCTGCGTTGGTGACGCTGGTATCCCGCAAAACGTACGTACCAGCGCCGTATCTGAAGCAACTCTTCAGTTTACGTGGGAGAAGCCACGTTGTGATGAAACATTTGGACCAATTGATGGTTATGAATATACGGTTGCAGTTTATTTAATTTTCTAAATTTTCTCTTTAATTAATTTAAGTGTAGTTTAATTTGAAAAATGAATTCTTTTTTTTTTCTTTTTTCTATCATCAAGGAATAGGAAAATTTAATATGTGATTGTATAAAAAGTAAAACTTTTATAAGTAAAAAATATAATAAAGTTTTTTTTTTTTACTTTATTATAAAAAACATTAACTTAATTTTTTTTTTTTTTATTATAAATGGTTATTATAATTGATTGATTTTCATGTAGAAATATGCTTTATTTATTTATTTATTTTTTTTTTTATCATTTATTTATTTTTTTTTTTTTAATTTATCATTTATTTGTTGAATTCCTGTGGAAAAAATGAATATTGCTTTTAGTTTTGGAGTATAGAAACAGATATGCAACCTGAAACCGCATCATATGTTGGACGGAATACCATAGAATTGGATGACTTAAAACCGGCTACACGTTATGCATTCCGAGTTCGTTCACGTGCTGGACACGGACATAGTTCATGGAGTGAGATTGTGAATGCTGAAACAGAAGCACATTCAGGATCAAAAGGTAAATTTTAAAAATTTTAAATTAATAATAATATCTTTTAATTAATAATAATATTACACTAATAATGCAAATCAGTTTTATCTTATCAAAAAAAAAGCAATCATAGATATATTTGAAATTTTATGAATGATTATTGTTATTTTTGCTATATAATGCATAAAATGCATAAGTTTGACATTATTATAAAATTTTTTTTTCTTTTTACTTCAACAAACACATCGCAGATTTTATGACATTTTTTTCTCGTTCTGTTAGATTATGCACTTTCATTGATCAAAAAGAAAAAATGTGTTTTCACATATTAATCTTTGTAAAATCATCGAAAGTTTACGCTAAATGACGTACGTCAGTCGTTTTTATCAGGTAAAAGCTATTTTATATTTCTATTCCAATATGATTTCTATTTCTCTATGTTCAATTTGCTTTTCTAACTAATATTTCAATAATTTTCTGTCACTTTGGAGATTGCTTATAGTATCAATTTTAACTTTTTTTAATAACTAATTTCACGTCACACAAACATGCTTAAAACTTCTTTAGCTATGGTAAACAGGTGTAATAGTTAAAACTCTTCGTCCGCTTTTTTTTTTTTCATAACTTTTAGGAAATTGTCTCTCTCTCTCTCTCTTTAGTTTTCTAATAATATTTTTTTTTTACTATTTAATGAGGCTGTATATTATTGTAGTGAAATTTGAAATAGATTTTAAAAAGCAATGAAATCATCAAATTTAAGACGATTCTTTTAATATTGTTATTTAAAGAAATATTCATTAAGGTAAAATGCTTTACTTACTTTTAATCAAATGTATTAAGGTAAAATGCTTTACTTACTTTTAATCAAATGTATTAAGGTAAAATGCTTTACTTACTTTTAATCAAATGTATTAAGGTAAAATGCTTTACTTACTTTTAATCAAATGTAATGCCTTCAAACTTTAACTTTTTGAATGTAAAATGACGAAGTGTTGTCATTGTGTCACATAATTTTGTTTTTTGTTTTTGTCTGTTGATAATGCTATTTGTTCTTTTTTAACTTTATAGTAAAACTAACATTTAGTATCCACCAGTAATGGCAATTCTCGTCGATATCACTATCAATCACAATTAACCACAAATAACCCATTATCATTTCATTCAATGTTACACGAAGTACCAACATTTGCACTTCTTCGACGTTTTAAACGGCAACAAAAAAATCAAATTACAGGTAATTTAAGGTAAATTATACAGTGAAAATGTAATGTTAAAAGTTTAACGAAGTAAAATTGAAATATTTGCCAATTAATTCTTAAATAAATGTTAGTAAAACGCTTTTTCTATCCTAATTTTATGTAAATTACATAAATTTGTTTTTTTTTTTCTTCAACTATGTCTCTCCCTCTCTTTCTCTTCTCTTTTGTCTTTTCATATTTATTCTCTCTCTCTTTCTCTCTCCCTTTTGTCTTTTTATAGTGAAAAAAAAATGTAAATTGTTATTTAATTAACAAAAAAATGAGCATATAGCGTATATAATTCACATTACTGATAAAAATATCATTTCATTGCTTTTTTTTTCATACTTTGGTAATTAATAATAATTTAATAAAAATACAATGTATATAATTATTGCCTGAAGAATTCAATTTCAAAATTGCCAAAAAATTATTTCATTCCATTACCAATTATCTTTTAAAGAAAAATTTTAAATGATAATTGATAAGAGAAAATTTTTGATAGCAAAAGAAGAAAGTAAATTGTTATATGAAAAAGTAATAGTATAACTTTTACTTTCACTCTCTCTAATTTTATCATTTCTTTTTTTATTAGCTATGATAATATTTCAGATGATCATAATATCTATCAACTTCGTATCATTTTGGCACCACCAAAATCATACCTAGCTTGGACACCATTACCTGAACATGCTGAAGAAATTGTTAAATTCAAGTAAATTAATTTTCCTTCTATTGTATGCTCTTTCTCTCTTTATTAGATGTATTTTATTTAAATTAACATTTTTGTATTGAAGTGAAAGTATTACTACTACTACTACTACTGCTATAGAAGTTTGTTGAAATTTCTTGATCTGATCAAAATTTATTTTAGATTATCATATAAAAAGAGTGCTGGTGATCAATGGACACGTATCATCGAAATACCGGAATATTTCAAATGTCCAGAAGGAATTGCTGATCCGGAAGATTATTGCTATGATTTATCCAAACTTTCATTCGGTATACAATACACTGCTGATGTAAGTTAGAATTTCTGTTGCATGTAAAGAGAGAGGGAGAGGGAGAAAGAGAGAGAGAGAGAGAGTGTCGTAATTCTTTAACTTTTTTTATTAGTACATAAATTGGAAATTATTTTCAATAATTTCAGTTAATATATGAAATAGAAAATGGTGAATGGACAGCACATGGCAGCCCATTATTCTTCATCCTTGTTGAAGCTGGTACCATTTATAATTTCCATGTCTAATCACATTTGACTTATACATCACCGCCCGGCGCAATTCTGTTTCATGTTACGCATGCAGTTTCGTTTATGAAAAAGCATGCAATGCTATTTGTTTCTGCTATTTTTTTTTTCTCTTCTTTTTTTGTTTTTCACTTTCTCAATGTAAACAAGAAATACTTTTCCAACAATAAAAAAAAAAAGGAAAAGCATGCCTTGATGTAGTTGCAATAGTAAAATTTTGTCCGTCCCCTTGGTGCTTTTTTTTTTCTTTTTCGAAATTTTTTTTTTTGATAAAAATTCCAATCTACGATGCATTATGAAATAGATTTCAAAATTTGTGAACCACAGATGAAAAGGATGCTTCGGATTATTTGTAGATTGTTCTGTGGTCCATTTCAGGGGAGCCATCTGTGCCGACATCACCGCACAATCTTCAGATCAATCCTCATGATGCATCAAGTATTGAGCTTCATTGGTTACCACCCCTAAACTCGAAGCATATTCCTTTTTATCAGGCACCATTTTCTCTACTTTTAACTTTTCATTTTGCACAAATACTATTTTGCATGATTTATACATGTTCCTTCTTGCATATTTTCTGAATCATTTTGATTCATTTTGGGATATTTTGGGATACTTTTATCAAAAAGTTATTATTTGTTTATATCACAGATGAAAGCACTCTTTCCCTAGAATTATGCACAAGGCATTATAAAAAGAAAGGAAAAAAAGGAAACCAAATCTAAAATTAGTCGTATTTTGTTAATTAGTTAATTAGTCGGTTCAATTTAGATTGAAATAGAAGATCTGCATACAAGGAAAGTACGAACTGAACAGGTACCAGGGTCATTTTTTTCCTCTATCCTTAGTCAACTATCACCATATTCCATTTATAATGTTTCTGTTCGTGCTGGAACCGATTTTGGTGAATTAGGTGCACCTATATTCAAGGTTATTTCTTTACAAGGTAACAAGGATGACAAATTGTCACATCATTTATCGGATGAAGAAGACAGATTGAAACAACAACAAATTGAACAGCAAAAACAAATGAAAATGAAAGAAGAAAGTGAAAGGAATAAATTTGAGAGAGAACAAATAGAGGAGGAAGAACGGAAACGGAACAGAATAAAAGAATGTGAGCGTAAAAGATTGCAAATGGAATATGATAGGTTGAATAGGGAACGTGAGCGTAATCGAGTCACGTATAAGCATGAACGTCCACGTGAACATTTAAAATATGAACATATCGATCGAGCAACGGAGCAAAAACAGGAATATGAGCAAACGAAACAGCAACAATACTATGAACGTCAACAACAGCTCGAACGTGAACGTATGGAATTATATCAACGGCAACAATGGGAAAGAGAACGTGAACAATGGGAAAAGGAACGTGAACGTAATCATCGATTGATTCATCAACGACAAGAGCATGACACGGAACAAAGGCGGAACTCAGTAGCAAAAGAAGAAAATATTGAAGGGGAAGAGAAAGAACGTTTAGAATTGGAACAACAACAACTGGATCATATTCAGGTGTTACCGGAAACAAATAACAGACGAGGTGAGAGGACGTAACAACGAACTATGCTGACACGTGTGATTGCTAACAACGTTTAACAAGCGTGAAATATGAATAAACTTGAGTGTTTCAATAATTTACTACAATGACAAATATTTTTCATCTTTTATTCGATGACATACGTTCATCAAATCTCATCCACTTTTCTATTCTTTCATAACTTATAAGTAAAGGTGTACTTTCTGTTGAAAAATGTTTTAATCAAAGTGTGACAGTAAATATTTGCTTATTTATTGCATCACTGCATGCATGCTTAAGTATTTTCTCTATCGCTGCATGCTTATTTGCACATTTTTGCATGCTTTTACACAAATTTGACATCTTTTAATTTATTAGAGTTTTTTTTTTTTTTTTTTTGTGTGTGATAAATTTTGCTATCAATTTAGACTAATTTAAGTGAAAAAAAAAAAAAGCAAATTAATTTCATTTTGAAATTATTTATATAAATAAGCTAAAAATAATTTACTTAGGTGACATACAAAAACCACTTCTTGGTATTGATAAACCACGTATCGAGCAACGTGGATCACGTATTCTGCTATACTGGACCGTCGGCGGTGATACGTCAAATGTAATAGCATATCAGGTTTGTTGTAATTTTTTATGAAAATTATTTACAATTCTTACAAGTTCATTGTGCAAAATTTTATTGGAATACCAATCACTCATTTGTTATTTAAATAATCAATATAGCCTTTTACCTTATTAATTAATATTAATTTTAAAACAAAGTTAATAAAATTTCAGTTAACAGTCAAGTTTTCTTTTTTTTTTTGAATTTTCAGATTGATCTTCGTTCAGATTCAGATAATGAATGGAAAACTATTGATGGTTACCTGTCTCATTCACCGTCAGAAATTCATTTTCGACAGGAATTAATTAATTTAGAAACTAATAAACATTATTACGTTAAAGTCTCAGCTATTGATCAATCACGACGCATTCTTGCGACATCAGAAGCGACAAGTTTTACTGTTCATTGCCAAGGTATATATATTTCTTTGCATTTGTGATATTATCTAGTAAAAATGCTCTCAGAGTATTCTGTAATGTTCAAAATGCACTTTCACTTTAAAATCACTAAATTTAATTAATTTAACTATATTCTAAGTCGAAAAGCAATTCTATGCATCAAATATTTGTAACTTCATTTTGTCTCTTTCACAGTTAATTGTTTAAAATTTCAATATATTAGGTATTTAATTTTAACATAACTTTATCATTATAGCAATAATTTTTTCAGTGCCTAATAGCTCACCTCAAGATTTACGATTGGAAAATGTAGCGGAAGGAATTCAACTTACCTGGAATTGGTCAGATGAAGAGAATCATGAATGTGAATCATATTTTCTAATAACAGGATACCAAAATGGTGTACCATTTTCGGAACGAGTTACGGGTAGGCAGCGTCAATTTACTTTCCGGAATACAAACGCTAACGAATGGCATGTGGAAATGCGTGCTGGAAATCGTGCCGGAACTGGACCCAGTAGTGGTCCTGTAAATTTGCAAAGTAATTCAAAAGGTATTGTTCAATTCATATGATGTTATGATGATTTTTGCAGAATTTTTTAGCGTTTTTGGCTCAGTATAGTTTTTTTTTTTTTTTTTCTATTTCTTAACTGTAGGAAAAATGGAGTAATTACTGTTAAAAATAGAATAATTAAATTTTAAACTTGATTAGATCATTTTCTAATCGTAGAGGACGATTATGAATTATGTGATATTAGTAAGAGACAAAAATTAATTAAGATTAACGATTTGTTTAAAACTAATTAATCAATTAAGCATTAATGATTTGTTTAAAATATTCAATCTTTAACAATTTATTATACTTCAGTTTTCTATTTGTATTTATATGCAATTCAATTGTCAATTTTTAGTCTATGCTCATTCAATTTACTAAAAAAGTTGTTAAATTTTGATTGTAAAATTTTGATTTCTTCTCAGTTATCAATCCTAATCTTTGATTATTTGATGATTTGCTAATAGTCTTTTGATAATAGGTTATTTTTGTATAACATCTCGAAATTAAACAGTAATCGTTTTTTGTGTAAACAGAAAGACAAATTAAAATTGTAGAATTAATAAGAGGAACAAGTAGATAAGACAGATAAATGTTAATAGTAGAAATATTATCTTTTCAGTGATTAGTATGTAATCATAACATAAAAAGTAGATAACATTAGAAAATTGAGATTTATCAAACAAAGTTACTTTTCTAATTATTTTTCTATCTCTTTCATCCTACTCCAACAATTCTAAAGCTATATGTGAATGAGAAGAAGCAATGATATCTTCCAGTGATTTTAGCGCTTATTGTCATCATTAAGTCATTTGTCCCCTTTCCAGTATCCAAAGGTCTTCGTGTTCTACGTAGCATCTGTGATCCACGTGTAGATTTCTGGTGTCGTTCACCGGATGAAACTTACGAAGTTGCTATATCTCGTCATCCTAATGAAGGTTTGATTACGTGTGCTGTGGCGTGTCACCTTGATATTATGTTCGCTCCTCTTATCCTATGTTTAAATTAAATAACTTCTTATCCTAAGCAATCACCTTTCTTTTTTTTTTTTTTCACTAGAATTGCAATTTTTTTTTAATTTTAATTTTGTTTATTTTTTGCATAACTCGAAATAATTTATTCAATACTGGCTTAATTGCACTAATTAGTGCTCATCCATAAATTAAGCACTTTATTTTTATTTATTTAATTGTTTTTCTTTTTTTTTTTAGTTCTGATTATGATAAAGCATTCATATCATTTGATAAGGAAATACAATATAAGCTGTATAACCCATTTAACATTTAAATTATCCATTCCATAGTGCTGCACTGATTCATCATTATGAAGCAAATGACTTACTGATATGTTATCATTTATTTTTACCAGTTGTGATAATCAAATTTTTGCGATTCCTATGATTTCATTTCTGTTCTTGAAAATTTTTCGCCATCTTTTTTTTTTTTTTTTTTTTTTTTTTTTTTGAAGTGATAAATATAAAAAGATGGCAATGCTATATAATTTGAAAATTATTACAGATAATATTAGCATTTTGAAATTATTCTTATTTAGAAAGTATTGTTATATTTTTTTTTTCTTAAATATTTAATTTCAAATATTTGAATTGATGAATTATTGTGATATTTGATTTCGTATTATTATATATATATACATATATCATTATATATTTTTCAATAGGAATGATCATAATATTTTCTTGTCTAATGGTAAGTTATTATATGATATGAACTAATCATAGCATGATGCAATCTATGATATAATATTGATTTATATGTAACATTAGTACTTATTGTTTATTGTTACTGTAGTTATTGTTATTGTTATTGATGCTATTGCATGCTCATTATTTTCAAATTTTTTAAAAACAATTTTAAAGAAAACTTCAAATTTATGAATTTTAGAGCTTATTTCGGATCTACGGGTATTAGCACATGATGGTGATTTATCTGTTGAATGGAATAGTGAAAGAACCAGCCATGGTATTTTTGGGTATCGTATACAGTATCGAACAGATAATACCGGTTGGACATCTTATGGGTAATTTTTCTTTTTGCATAATTTTATTAAATAAATAATTATTTTAAAATTAAAATTAGTAGTGGAAAAGAAAAAGAAGAAATAACATTTATAAATTAATTAAAAATTTTTTCTCAAAATTTTATTATAGATTCTTTTTTTTTTTGAAAAATTTTTGGTAATATTTAAGATTTTTATCATTTTTTTTCAGTCAAATTGTACCATATGTGGGTGATAATAAACGTTATATGCAACAACTAACAGGTTTACAGCAAGGTAGCATGTATTACATACATATTCAAGTACTTGATAGAAATTCTTATGTTATGTATACTAGTCCGGAAGTATCAGCAAGAACTGTTTGTTCCGGTATGATTTAAAGATTTTTTTTTTTTTTGATATTAATTACATTAATAGATTTGTTATTATTATCTATGAAATTTTCATTTTAAAAATAATTTGCTAATATTTAATTTGATAAGCTTTATGTTATTATACAAATAATGCAATAATTATAATATTTTTTGCATTATTGCATTTTTCTATCTTATCTTTACTTAAATTATAATCTTTTCAATTTTGAAACTATTTTTTGAATTTGAAATTGTTTATGTAACTTTGCAAACTTTCATAAATACAACAGAGATTAATTAATTGAAGTCTGAATTTCAATCTTAAAAATGTATAATGAACCAAAATAAGTCTGTCATTAAGGTTGTTTTAAATTAAATTTTTTAATTTCTTAAATTTTGATTTCAACAAATTCGGTAATTTAGCACCAACGCATCCTCCATCACATCTACAACTTCACGCTGCTGACCCACGTCATATCCGAGTTAGTTGGGCGCAACCACCTCAAAGCACCTGGCAATGTAATGATATACAGGTGGAACTTGAGATAACAGAACCGCAAGGTATTGCACCGGTGCTTCTGAACGGATATCAGACGTCTCACGTGTTTGATTCGGATGCAAATCAGCAATGGTCTGTTCGAATCCGTACAAAAAATTCAGCTGGCACATCAGCATGGTCACAAATTGCTTCTGTTCGAACGCCACTTACCGGTGAGCTAATCATTGGACCATCAGTAAGCTATCGACACGGAATTCCGGTGCTTACGTGGACGAGCAAAGAGCGATTAGATGATCTCATCCGAACCTATCAAATTGAATATCGAACTTCGGTTGACTCAACCTGGCAAAGGCTACCTGAGCAGGTATGATAATCAATTTTACGTCTTACATTTCAACTTTTCAATAAACTATGACATGATTATGCTATTATTCAGGTGCCATACACAGGTTGGCAACGACCTTACAGTATCGATCTCAGTGAGCTACCTACTGGTCATAACTATCAAATTCGAATTCATGCAATTGATGCTAATAATGGTGTTGCTTATACCTCATCAGCAGTTAATGTGCAAACTCAGGTGAAATGTTCGGTACCACGTCGTGCACCACTTGACGTACAAGCTACCTCACTTGGACCTACACAAATTCGTGTATCCTGGAAGGTTAATTTTGAAATATGTAACAACAAAATTTTAATTGAATTGTAATATTAATGTTAAGAGATAAGAAATGTTAGACATTAAACAATTAAATTCATAAAGATTTTAAAAATATACAATCCAAAATTACTGTCTATTTTGATATATAATATGTTGACGATATTATATAAATTTTCAATTTATCGATTACTACCCATTTAGCTTATCATTTTCGATGCTTATCTTTGCCTAAATTCATTGTTAATTTCATAATGCAATTTATTAGGTGCATATAAAACAGATAGCAATGTTAGATGGATGTGTTAATGTTAATAGATAAGAAATATTAGAATATTATCATATCAATGATATCACAGGAATTACATGAGTCAGAGTGGAACTGCAATCGATTGTGGTATGTGGTTAAATATAGCACTCCACATAATCAAGGTTTCAAAAATTTAACACGTGGTGAAAATCATGTAATTTTTGATTCGGAACCATATACACGATGGACTTTTGAAGTACAAGCTGCTAATCCGGCAGGAGAAACACATTGGTCACGTCCGGTTACTGTACAAACTGAAGGAACCGGTTTGATATTTTTTTTCTTTTTATGACTATAACCTTTAATTTATATAATTTGCTGGAAATTTTTTAAAATTTAAAAACTAAACTACTTCTTTTTTTCCTTTAAATTTAGAATATTTGAGGAATTATAGTCGTAATTGAACGAATATTTTTAAAACATCATTTTTTTCTTTTTTGAACTAATACACAGTCTTCTAATTTTTAAAGCACCTGGACCAATTTCTGATTTACGAATTTATCCACAATCATCGGATACACTTCAACTTTCCTGGAGACAACCTCAAAATCCCTATGGGCAAATTACAGGTTATGAAGTGACCTATCAGTTGTTATCAAAGTGAGTTATCTTAATTATCATCAATAAATTCGAATAATAAATATCATATATAAATTCGTACTTAGCCAGTAATATTTTGATCATATTAGCTAGGATCCATTTCAACTATTTTTTAAGTGTTTCAAATAAAATTTTGACATGTATGTGGGAGTTATTTCAGAGGTATGTGTGACCAAGTGACAGAACGACCAATAACAGTGACAAGTGATAAGCCTTCATTTACCCTTCAAGGTCTACTGCCACATTCGAAATATCGTATTTCTGTTGCTGCAAAAACAAATATTGCTGGTAAGTATTTCTGATCTTAAATAGATAACTATCAATTTGTTGAAATTTATCTGAGCAATTAATACAATGTTTTATGATATGTGGTATGATATCATATAATATCTAAGTATTTGCCGCAGTCCTTCTAATGACATTTGCTATGATCATAAATATTTTAGGAAAACCTGTAAGTCAGGAAGTGCAAACTCACGAGGCTACACCTAGTGGTGCCCCAGTGTATATTCGTATAATAAATGTACTACCTACTGAAGTAGCTGTGATTTGGCAAGCACCTGCATGTTTGCAAACAAATGGTGAAATAACAGAATATGAATTTGAAGCAACACCTTTGGAACGGCTTGATTATGGAGCTGATAGTACAGTTAGACAGGTTGTCAGAGGTACCAGAACCAAAATCACTGGTCTTTCCCCATACACAAAATATTTGGTACGGATACGAGCATTTACACGAAAAGGACCAGGACCATGGTCGGAACCGGTTCAGTTTCAGACTGCTGCTGCACCTGAAGTATGTTTCATGTAGTAAACGATGCTAAATTTATGAACTGATAAATCAAGGATATATTTTATTGATGAAATTTTTTCTTTTACAGATTCCAGCACCACCGATGGTTCGAATTCTAAATACTGGAGTGGATAATGCAGATTTGATTTGGCAAGAACCCTATCCATCATCCGGTTTAATCGACAAATATAAATGTAAATATGCAGTAGCAGGTACCAAGCAATATCAAGAACGACAATTTCCCTCATATAATCCATGTGGTGAAGAAGTGATTCGTATGCAGCAATTGTCACCATTGTCACCAACACCAAGCGGAGCAAAATTACACTGTGGTAGAATTGATGGTCTACAGCCTGAAAAGCAATATACTTTTATGGTTTGAATTTTCAAATATTTAAATCTTTTTAAAAAAAATTGTTGGTAATGGATGGTATTTTTTTTCTTTGACATTTCGATCATTGTACTAAACACAAAACTACATACTCATAACAAATTGATTATGTTGAAGGTATCAGCTGGTGATCGCAGTGGTACCTGGTCACCATGGAGTGAGCCACAAGTTGGTCATATTAGTGAAGGACCTGTTCAGGTTATTTCACTGAATAAATTAGGTGGAGGAACGAATAGTGTCTTAATTGCATGGAATGTTCGTCCCACTGATGCAGCTCGTGTTGTTGGCTATCGAATTCATGTGACACCGGTGCTACAGCATGGTGCTAAACCGATATCATTTACGGTAGATCGATCAACACTGCAGTACAATATTGATAATTTATCACCTAACACACGTTATAATATAACTGTAGACGCAACTACTGATGGTATTCATTATCATCCTGGTACAGCGATTGAGGTACGTACCGATTCAGTACCAGTGGACAGTTTAATGGTTACTCCACGAGTAATTGAAGAACAAGCAACCTCAGTAACTTTGGAATGGAATGCACCAGGTGGTAATGTAAGCGGATTCGTGATCGAATATTGTCTTGGTGATGGTGTATGGCAGCAATACAGTCGACGAATTCCGGCATATCCTGGACGTCGTGTCTACACCGCTCAGGTTGATCAGGTATCATAATTTTTGCACATTTTCATTAATTTCCAATGTTTATCAACAGTGCATATAAATATAATATTGGTCAACGTTAAAAAGAGCTGCTATAAAATATTAATCATTTTTAGATTTTTTAAAATTAAAATTTAAAAATATTACTGATAAAATTATAAACTAAATCAAAATAGATTTTCATATAAAAACGCTGGAAAATTCTGTTGCTTTTTGCAGTTTTTCATTTTTCTGTTTTAGCTTCCAACAAACAGCGTAGTGGATCTTCGCGTACGTGTCGTATCACCTCAAAATGAACAATCTGCTCCAAGTCCAGAAGTTCGAGCTCGTACTCGATGTTCAGCACCACCTGCACCACCACAGGCTATTCGTCTGGATGCACCATCCACCAATGAAGTTCGGGTTTCATGGGCTCAACCGGCCAAAGATACATGGCAATGTGATCAACTAAACTATGATCTTGCTTATCGGGTAGGTGGACAAGCAGAACGTGTTGTACCAGTGCCAGGAGACAGAACCGATTATACTTTTCCTTCAGAAGCCAATACTCGCTGGGCTGTTAAATTAAGGTGCACCAATCAGGTAGGATCAAGTCCATGGAGTTCAGAACAAGTAATAACTACTCGGCAAGGAACCCCAGGTCCGGTTCGAGATTTACGTTTGCGTGCTAAAAGTCCTAATGAAGTACATGTGCAATGGCTTGCACCATTGGTACAACGTGGTTCTATTGTTGGCTACGATATTAGTTATCGGTTGAAACATCGATTAGCTTGTCCGGATGAGGAACCACGTGACGTCAGTCGTGATTTCGTGACTGTCTATAATCATAAAGATTTGGAATATACATTGACTGGATTGCTACCTTTTTCTTTATACGAAGTACGAGTACGTGCACGTACCACGGAATTAGGGCCAGAAGAATCAAAAGATATTGCAACAGAACAACAACCACCAAGTGCACCACCACTAAATTTACAACTAAGTTATGCTCTGGAACGTTCTATCAGTTTTCAATGGGAGGAAATAGAATGTTCACAACGTCATGGACATATTGTCAACTATGAATATGAGATATTGGGACAAGATGATTGGGCAAAATTAGAACGTCAGATTGCGAATACAACCAATACTAAAATAAATATTGAAGGTTTGACACCATTCACCAAGTATATTATGCGTGTGAAAGCTTACAATAGTATTGGTGGTGGTCCAAATACCGAGAATTTGGATGCAATGACGGCAAAAGCGGACGCACCATTACCACCACAGGATTTAGTAGTAGCTCAAGAAGGTACTGATTACTTCATGATTTCCTGGCTACCACCTTATCCACCATATGGACCACATGATAAATATAAAATTCGATATCAAGTACTGAATGAAACTCGTTGGATGGAAATTGAAAAAGATACCAAAGATCGATTATTGAAATGTCCAGCTGAAAGTCCTCGACATTGTTTCAATGTTACAAATTTGGAAAGTGGACGTCAATTTCGAGTTCAAGTTGCAGCTCATATTGTTGGTGGTTCGTATGGTCCGTGGAGTACGGTGACTATTGCGAACACGTTACAAACTTTACCTGATGCTCCACGTGCTATAGAGTTAATCAAGAAAACTGATCATTTACTTCACATTCGTTGGATACCACCGCCCGATCCTTTGGGACAAATAACACAGTATAAAGTTGGAATTGTTTCGTTAGATGATCCGCACGATCAATTAAAAACATTCCTTGTAGATCATCCAACATTGCAACATCTTTTGAATAATCTTCAACCTGAAACTTCTTATAATATCAGTATTTCCGCCGGTACCAAACGTGGTTTTGGTCCACTTTCTTGGACACGTTATTCCACGGATCCATTCAAGGTACCACCAATAGCAAATGCACCACAAGTTACAGCAGATGGAGCTGATGCATTGAATGTTCAATGGAGTGGTATTTTGGATACGAAGAATCAAGTCCATGGATATATCATAGAATTTCGTTCCAGTGATAATCCAACATTTACGGAATACGATGGAATCATTGAACATGACGCAAACCGACGTAATTACCAACAGCGTTTATCCTTACTGGATGCTGATACATTATATTTCGTTCGTATCAAAGTTGTTGATCAGAAGCAACGCGTTAGTGAAGCAAGTCCGGAAGGAAGTGCACGAACCGGTTGTGCATGTAAGTACGTTGCATCGATTAAAATAAATTTTAAAATTTTAAATATTTCAAAATTTCAGCAGTTCATTGTTATTTTATCTTATTATGCTAGTTCTCTAGTTTAAAATTCAACTAATTTCAAAAATGTTGTCATTATATAATTTCAATTAGTTTTTCTTTTGTTTTGAAAGTAAATAATTAATTTAACATTTCTTCAGTACCTCTTGCACCACCATCAAATGTAAATGCTTCTGCACCATCGCCTTATCAGGTGCGTATCAGCTGGCAACCACCTAGTCAATCCTCATGGCAATGCTCAAATATCAAATATAGACTGGAATACACCAATGGTTCATCATCCCCCGAGGAAATTGATGTACCCAGGTTAAACAGTTATAATCAATAATTTTAAACTCTTGAAATTTATCATTTATTTTAAGGATTACATTTCATGAACAAAAAAAAAAAAATAAAATAATTGTTGATTTAATTCCTGAATTGAGCGGTGAAATATAAAAGCATTTATTATCATTGTTATCAATAAAAAATTGAAATTGCTTGGAGTTAATAAGATTACAACAATATTACCAAGTTAGCACTAAGCAATTTGATTATTTACTAATTTCAGCGGTATAACTGATCGAGTGCTGGACGCTTCACCGAACACATTGTGGCGATTGCGGGTTCGGGTTGAAAATGAAGCTGGTGCTTCAGATTGGAGCAAGGAAGTGACCATTACAACCGCTGAAGGTACCATAAAATAAAATAACGATCATTAGCAACACAAACATATGTAACCTCTAATGATAATCTGAAATAAATCATGATATGAAATATCAGTTTAAAAGATAATCATAATTTTTAATAAATTAATAGCTATTTCGTTAATCGTTAATGACAAAGCTTAAATCAATTGTAATCATTTATGGAAATGATTAGGATCATATTATCATTACTATCGAATATGATCAAAATCATTTGTGATCGATTATGATTGATATTCACATATTATTAATGAGTAATAACAAATGAAAGTTTGATAAGTTTAATGGAGAAATTAATTTTTAATTTGACTTTATTTCAATTGTTTTAATGTAGCAAATGATTGTTTGATAAATTATTGTTAAACCTACCAGTACTCTTCATCCCTCATTTATTTGAAATCATTAAAAATAATTTAATAGTTCTTTTTTTTTTTTTTTGAATTATGCTATAAATGTTAGCTAATTACAGGTGCACCAAGTACAGTAGAAGATCTTGATGCTCGTCCATATGGACCGGAAGCTGCATCAATAACGTGGCGACCACCTGCACAACCTAATGGACAAATTACCGGTTATACCTTAGTATATAAGCTTAAATCCCGCGGTGAATGTGGTCCACGTTCTTCACAACCAATTACTCGAAATACTAAGGAAGAAGAAATTACATTGGAAGGATTATTACCTGATTCCACTTATGAAATACACGTAACAGCACATACCTCTGAACCTGGACCTCAATCAAATATTATCACTGTTACAACTGATGAAGCTCGTATGTTTCATTTTTCAGATTTTAAAGTTTAATTGAAATTTTAATTGATTGTGAGCAAAATATACGTTTCTTTCTGCAATGTCAACAAATTAATGAATTTGTTGAGTTTGAAATTGAGGGACTTTAAGTTTTTCAAAAGGAATTATCTTTAGGACATCCATAATATAAGTTTTTTTTTTTTTTTTTCGATGACAGAACAGGAAAAAAAAGTGCTTTCAAGTTAGATTTAAACTATATTTAACAAATTTAAGACTTAAAAGGTTGTTCTAAGAGAATTAATGACATTTCTCATGCGACACTGTATGTTCTGAAATTCCTTGAAACATTTCGAGAATTGACAAATTGAAAATCACAATTTGGATTAAATTTTCTTTTCATTATTGATTAGATTAGCAAATTGAAGAAAATGCTTACTTTATTTCTTTATTTGCACTTATTTTTATTTGCAACAGCTGAATTAATTTTAGATTCAATGATAAACATATTGCTTTCCTGATATGATATTTTTCATCAAAATTTTAGTAAATTTAATTTGCAGCTCCTACCGGAGCTCCGTTAAATCCACGTGTAAGTTCGATAACGCAAACACGAAGCGATTTCCTGTGGAACGAACCGGATTGCGAGCTCCGTAACGGCAAAATAACAGGTTATGAATGGCAACTAGAAAGCCTGGATCCCTGGAGTGAAAGTAAAACTGGTCAAAGTACCACACAACGAATATCCTTCGATGATTTGATACCGTATACTCAGTATCGTTTGCGAGTTTTAGCGGAGAATTCAGCTGGACAAGGACCGTGGTCAGAATGGGTTTCATTTAGGACGCAACCTGCCGGTAGGTTGGTACTTCATTTAGGTTAGGTTGTTTCAAAAGGACAACAACGCTAAGGACAACACTTTTCTTTTAAAAAGAAAAATCGAAATTCAAAGAATAGAAATTGTAATTTGATGTTAAGAAATTAACTATAAATAAAGATAGTTAAAAAAAGAGGTTAATATAAGCAAATTATATATATATATATATATACGACTGTTTATTTTAGCACCACCGGCACCAACAGATTTAACCGAGGAGCAATCATTCCCACATGCCATCGAGATTTCATTCCTGCCACCATCACCGCCTCATGGTGTTATTAATGAATATCGAATAAGACATACACCATCTGGCCAAGTGAGTAATTTTGTTATTTCGATAATGTTTACTTTTGTATCTTTTTTCAGTCATACTTAATTTTAACTTCAAATTGTGTAAATCTTTCTGTCGTTACGGAATTGTAAATCTTTCTGTCTTTCTGTCGTAAAATCTTTCTGTCCTTTTTTTTTTTTTATGTCATTGTGGATTATAGATTGAACTAAATTCTGTTCCAAGTAAGTATAAATATAATATTGTATACAAAATTTGCTAGATGAAGGACTTAATTTCTATATTATTTCCGCTAATTAAAAATAATTATTTAGTAGTGAGATAAAAAGAAATTGAATAAATATAAGATTGAAATTGTTTGAAATTTAAGAACTTTTTTTTTTCTAAAGATGAATTACAAAGAAGTTCGTGTGCTTGCAAATCGATTGCAATGCTCGGATATATCGAAACGTGATCGGTTATGTTATCGAGTGGTAGATTTGGAACCGGAACAGGAGTATGAAATTCAGGCATCAGCCCATACTGAAGGTGGTGCTTGGAGTGATTGGAGTGAACCGTTAGGTGCTCAAACACATGAACAAAGTAAGTTAATAGAGTTTAAATTGAATAAATTTTTGTATAAATGAAATGAATATAAAAATGAAAATAAAATAAAATTATTTAGATATACCGGTATTAGAACGTGAGCTAGAAGTAGTGGACAGCAAACCAAATAGTATAACATTACGATGGCAAGGATTGGATGCCGATCAGGTAATTTAAGTAATTGTTTACTTGATTACGCTTAATTAGTCTAGCTATAAATTCCTAAAAATGTTGTACTTATCAAAATTTACTGCTATTGAAATAGATGACATTTTTTAAGATAGTTTTTATTCATTAATCAGAAATTAAAGTATATATTTTAGTCAAAACATGTTGTTGGCTACATTCTGGAATATAAATCGGAAGATGATGATTGGAAGGAATATGATGGTATCACAAAACATCGTAGTCGCCAGAATGATTATCGTATTCAGGTTAAAGATTTGGAACCTTCAACGGAGTATTTCTTCCGGTTGAAAGTTGTTGGTAAAAATGAAAAACGTGGTTCTTCAGGACCCGAATTAAGAGCGATGACAAAATGCGGACGTTAGTGCTACTTTTTCGTTTTAGATTATTTATCACTTTTTTTTTTTATTTCTCTTTTCACTTCAATTTTATGAAAACAGCTTTTCACTACATGAATATTTCAAATTTTATTTTTAAGGACCCGAGGAACCGCCAACTGATCTACAATTAACATCTGATTTCGAAAATGTTAAACTCACCTGGACGAGTCCGGACAAAGACTCTTGGGCATGTGATAATGTTGAATATGTAATTGATTTCGTCAACACCACGTCACGTGGTATAATGACAGTACCAGCGGATGCACCACCTAAACTCTTGTTGCCATCACTTCCTGGTACCAAATGGGAGATTCGAATGCGTACACAGACGATTGAGGAAGGTCAGAAACCGTCGTACAGTCCATGGAGCGATCGTGCAACCTTGGTCACTCAAGCTCTTCCCGGAGAACTATTCCTTACAGTTGAACCAAAGACACCTACTTCAGCAATGGTTATTTGGGATCTAGCTGACCAGGACCGGAAATGGAACTACGGCGTAGATATTACTTATCGCCTGAAACAATTAGGTGGTTGCATCGAATCACGGAGTGGTAGTCATGAACCGGTGACAAATTACAATGTACAGGATAAACAAATTTTGCTTCATGATCTGACACCTGGTTCAGAGTATGAAGTGGTTGTTACTCCTCGACGTCCACCAACGTTACGATCATCTATCGCAACGCCAAAAACAATACGTCGCTTCAGGACTAAGGCTACCTTTCCATCTGGTCCGCCACGTAATTTGCGTGGTGAAGGTCGTCGTGATACTGAAATTTTCTTCAAATGGGAACCACCGGTGTGTGAGGAACAAAATGGCAAAATAACACAATATGAATATGAGGTAACAGGTGCTGAGGAATGGAATGATATGAAACGTGAAGGTGTAACACCACGTACCAATGCTGCAGTGGATCAGATGAGCCCTGGCTCCACGTATAATATACGTGTGCGAGCATATACCAGTGAAGGACCAGGACCATGGTCAGAACCAATTCAGATTACCACTACAGGTACCGAACTGGGACCACCTCGAGAGCTTACTGCAGTGCATACAAAACCTAAAATTATTCAACTAACTTGGCTTCCACCGTATCCAGAACGAGCACCAGTAGTTGTTTATAAAATTAGGTACAGCCCGCGTGCCGATGATTCTAATCCAGTGGAGATGGAACTTTCCGGTGATCAGTTGAGCTGTACTGGATACAAAAGTCCTCTTATTACTAATGATAATATATGTGCAACAATAAAGTCACTCCAACCGGACACTACCTACCGGTTTGCTGTTCAGGTTTGTGATAACATAAAATTCGAGGTTTGTTAGGAATAAATTGTGTATTTTCATTTATTTATGAGAAAATTCTTCAACTGAAATTTTGATTTCGTTGCAAAACTCCATAATAAGATTTAAAATAAATTCAAAATATGATCCTAAAAATTCTAAATTCAAAAGTTTTTTACTTACATCATTTCTCATTACATTAATTTTTAATCTTTAAGCGTATATTGTTATATTTTTATATTTCTATCTTCAGTTTGAATACTGTAAACTTTTAGGCTCAATCACCGACTGGTAGTTGGGGTGAATGGTCACCAGCATATTTTGCAACCACACGTTCCACTGAAGATGGTCCAATACCTGGAAAATTACGATTGGTATCTGCAGGACACGATAACCTTCGTGTGAACTGGACAGCACCGCCAGCTGTTAAAAATGTTGTGGATCAATATTTGGTACATTTTATTTTATGTAAATTCCAAGAATACTCAAATATTTTTAAAGTTTGATTCAGTTTCTAATTTCTGAATGCTAAATATGAGTTTAATTTTATCAATTTCAGGTTAGCATATCATTAGCAAGTTCTTTCGATAAACATCCAAAACAGTTTACTATACGTGGTGAACAAAATGATTATCATTTTCGTGGTTTAGAACCAGCAACACATTATAATATTACAATACAAGGCTTATCAGAAAGCAAACGAATGTGGTTCATAACGGAAGTTTTTTCAACTACCGATTATGGTATTTACTGCTAATAGTTTTCAATCTCATTTCATTTCTTCCTAAAATAATTTTAAATTTGTTGTAAAAAAAAAATGAAACTAGAAGCCTTAAATAATTTTGGTACAATAATCTTAACTATTTAGTATTTTATTTTTAGGAACTGGTTTACTTTCCTGGCTACCACCGCCAACAGATTTGAAATTGCTAGAAAAATCAGATCGTTTTTTGCATGTAGCATGGAGTCCACCGGAAATTTTTGATCCAGCTTATAAAGATTTGATTACTCATTACTTGGTATATTCCTAAATATAAATCTGCTTTTAAATTTATTCACTTTGCATAATTTTTCCAGTTAAATCTACTGTTTAGGTTATTTTTTATTTATTTTAGAAATATATTCCTTTATGGTTTGCATGTATTTAAATTGGAACAATTGAATTTAATGAAATTTTTAGGTAACAATAGCACCATTTGATTCATATACCGGTAGAACTGGCCGACCACGTAACTACTCAGTACCATATCCTGGTACATCGATCAAGTTTGATAATTTATCACCGAAAACAATTTACAATATTACGGTACAGGCTGGTACTAACAGCGGTTATGGTGAAATATTATGGGGTACCTACAGTACTCTTGCACCAGGAGAAAATCATGTATTACGATTACTGGATCGTACGCCGACATCATTGACCGTTGAATGGGAATCATCATTCCTCGGTGACAGAGGATATATCGTATGTTTTTCTTTTTTTTTCTCTTTACTGTACCAGTTTTTGATGTAATAATTTGATTAAACTTAAATCAGTCCTTAATTTCGATTAATTTCAGTATTTTAGTCGATATAAATACATCTTGAAATTTTCAGCTTTCATGGAAAAGTTTACATTCTGCTTTCAAACATGTTCACATCAATGTAATCCGTTCAGCTGAAATACCTGCTGGTACCACTCAATATACAATCGAAAATCTAGAACCTTCAACAGTTTACAATGTTACTTTGAAAGCACGACCAAGTGGTAAAATAGCATCAGGTGCGTATGCTACTTTACCACCAGGATGGTTCATGGTGCGTAATTTGGTATGGTGCGATCGAACCAATTACGCTCTGTCATTGACCTGGGAACCAGTAAACCTAAATAAAGCAACACACTACCAAGTGCGATATCTGAGACTTAAGGAACATGATGTTATCTGGACAGAAGAAAATGAAGCCAAAGCTGTAGATCTACTTTGTCCCAAAGATGGTTGTAATCGACATTGTTATCTGGTGTTCAATCTTATTCACAATCCAAATGAATATGTTTTCCAAGTACGAGCTAAGGTAAGTTAACCTTATCATTCTCTTTTCTCTTATCACTTATATTATGTATAGAGAATCAGCAGTGCTATTTCATGGTTATTGAAATGCTTAACTTTTATAAGTAATGTTTTCAAAATATCTACTAATCTCATTATCATGTGACAATATATTATTATTGGTCATTTCTGATCATTACTACCACAATATTTATTGTTACTTTCACAACTGCTGATAACCTTAATAACAATCAGTAAGTTGGTGAAGTTAAAAAGTAGCATGAAATTTAAAAGTTGAATATTTCAGGTGAACAACCAATGGAATCGATGGAGAACAGCTGGGAAACCAAGCTTTCTTGAGAAATCGGGACAGAAAAAAGGATGTTGCATCGTACCACCGCCATATATGGTTGAAAATATTGGTTTAGCTGGAACATTTTGGGAAGTGGATATTTCACCGGTTCAATCGCAACCACAAAATGTTTCGTCAGTCTTATATGCATCTTGTCGGCAAATTTAAAAGATTAACATTTCATAATTATACGTTTTAGCGATTGTAGCAACATCAGTTTGAAATTTTTTTTTTTAAATATTAATCTTTTCGTTTGTCAGAAATCATCTTTGATAATTTATAAATGACTTCTTTGGTCTCTTTTATTAGTTATACTCCTATATAATAAATATAACAACAATGCTTCGTTTAGGCGTTACTATGTTGTGGTTGATGAACGTGAACCAGCAGGTAGCACTAATTGGACTGAACTAACTGATAAGATTACGGCAAATAAAATGAAGATACCTTACTATGTAGCAGCATCTTTCAATGCTGATACATTACCTGGACCACGAAAAGTTCGTATTGGTGATGGTTCCGTAATTGGTGGCTACCTTAATTATCCACTGATTAAGGGTAAAAAATATAATTATGAAATTTACTCAGTCTGGGAGCTCAATGGTAAACCAGCTGCTGTAGCACGTCAACGAGGTTAGCTACTTTCAATATTTATATTAAGTATGTCATTTTAATGGCATTCCTTGCTTATATTAAGCATGTCATTTTTTTATGGTACTTTTAACAGGTTTGTTTCTAAGTGAGTAATGGACGTATTATATAAACGTTTGTCACTAAACTGTCGTCTCTTTATAAGTTTCAAATTTTTCACTCTACTGATCGCTCTACCGGATATCTGAAACCATCCAGGATTCTTCACAATTTATTATATACGAACATACATCGATGAACTTTTCCATATTTTCTCGGGACTAATAATGTATACTGTGTTATGGTTACGTGTACTGTAATAACGTAATGCAACTAACAATGATGTATATTGTAATAACGATAATAATATACTATGATAACACTACTAACAATGATGTACACTGTAATAACACTACCAAAAATGGTGTATACTGTAATAACACTACTAACAACGATGCATACTGTACTAACGATAATAACATACTGTAATAACACTACTAACAATGATGTGTACTGTATTAATACTAATAATGTAATGTAACTAACAATAAGGTAATATAACTAATAATAATATATACTGTTTTGTGAATTTGCTAAAAGAGTTGAATGAACTGGTGAAAAAATAGACGGGATGAATGTAGGGAGAAGAATCTACCGAGGAGGTATTCACCATGAAGGAATCTACCGAAAGGGGTTAACCGGAGGAAGAATCTACCAAGGAGGGATTTACCAAAGAGGAATCTGCCAAAGAAGGATCTACTGAAGGAGAAATCTACCGAAAGAGGAATTTAGCAGGGAGGAATTTACCAAAGAGGAATCTACTGAAGGAGAAATCTACCCGAAAGAGGAATCTACTGAAGGAGAAATCTACCCAAAAGAGGAATCTACCATCTTACCGTTTCATATTTCTATTTTCATTCATTCGTTCTAAAGAAAATATTAAAATATAAATTGCAGAAATTAACGTTGAAGTAGTCATTGAAAGACTTCCTACGACTTATGTATTCATATATATGTAAAAAAAACAGCTTATTCTCGAAAGATTAAAATTTTTTAGCTAAATTCTAAGGAGAAGCATGGATGAAAAGAGATCATAAAGGAGTGAGAGAGAGAGAGAGAGAGAGAGAAGAAAAAGAGGAGCACAAGATGATAGAATGGGATAGTTGAAGTATATTTCTGAAAGTTTAACAGATATTATTGATAAGAGATAAGAAATTTCTTTTTTGTTTTTGAAATTTTGTTAAATTTTTGTCAAAATATTAATTATTTCTCAAAACTATTTTTGAGACGATGTCTTTTCTGGACTTAAAATATTCCATCTTGTAAAAAAAGCTATAATTCTATAATGAACAATCTTGAAGTTAAAGAATTATATTTAGTTTTAAAAATGATAGCGTTAAAAAAAGCGAATTATTGGAATGACTTTTTTTTTTGTGAAGATTAGAAAGTATTTGGTTGTGCTGGTATCCAAACATAATGTTTAAATCTTTGGGGACTTTGGTTGACATTTCGTTTTAATTGTTTTTACAGCTGGTTGATAGTACTGATCGATTGTAATGTGTAAAATGCTTAAACGCTTTTCAAAACGTTCGTATTGTAGGTATCACACTGGGATATGATTCTATTTGATATGATAAATTAGGAATTATTGGGATAAGATTATAACTGATTTGATAAAAGAATTATTACGATAAGATTCCATCTGATTTGATTTGATTTTTTTTTTTTTTATAAGTAAGAAAAAATGTACAATAAATCAACGATTTCTTATTGAAAATAAATAAGTTTTGATTATAAGAGATGAAATGTTTTTCTTTGCGGCGTTTTTATTATTATTAGTGTTACTGGCGCAAAAAAAAAAAAAAAAAACGATGAAAAAAGGAAAATTCAAATTGGTGGCTTTGAATAATAATAATAATTTGTGGGAGTTTGGTAATATTTAATTCAACAATCAAATCAGAAATAAAATATTTTATTTAAAAATTTCAAAAAAAAAAGAAGACTAGTACAGCCTGGTACTCTCTCATCATTATTTGTTGCATAATCTGGCTGAATATTGAAATGGGCTTATTATCTGGCAATATCAATTAACTCGACTCATCCTTCCGACCTTTACATTATGAGAGTAGAGAGTAGATCCGATGGTCTAATTTTTTTTTTTTTAATTCTTTTTATTTAATAGAAGAATTCTCGATGAAAAATAAAGTACTTTTTTTTTTTTTGCATATGTTCAAATTAATATCCAAATAATTACAGAGTGATGAAAAAAAAACACAATGAAATGACTAGATAGATAAGGTAAGATTGTTCATAAGTTAAAGTTGAAATTACTGCCTAGAATTAACTCATATGCGCAAATGTTATAACTTGCGGAAGTATAATTTTAATCAATGAACCATTAAATAAAATTTGATAGAAGTAACTAATATTACATATTATTGCAAGAAGAACGAATTGGTCGATTGTTTCCTAAAATAATAAAATGCAAAATGATAGAAGTTGAGAGTAAAGAGAAATTCATAAAAAAATATCGTTAAACGACAAATATCTCTTTTAAAAAAGAAAAAAAAAGAAGCATTAATGATATTTAATTTACCAACGATTTTTAAAATGATTTTTCGTTTCTTTTCTTTTTGATAGCAAATCAGTTTTGTTTCTCTCAAATAATTTTTCCCATTCTCATTTCGATTATCTTAGAAAGTAATCGATCAATTCTTTCTCCTCTCACAACAATAAATAGCATTTTGGTATTTAGAAAAATAAGAAAAAAAATGGAGAAAGAGAAACTTGAATTATATTTTTTATTTGAAAATGATATAACTTATTGTTGTTTAATTTTAAATCTAATATGTGATAATAAATCGAAGAAGATTAATTATACTATAGAAATTAATTTTATATTCAATATTTGTGCTTTCAATATATTCACTCATCTTTTTGAATCCTTTACGACATCTCTAATGTATCACATCCGCATTCCGTTACTTTAATTTCTTCTTCATTAGAAAACTTGTTATCAGTGTAAGGTGATATTAATTGTTAAATTACTGCTAATGAAACTGTATCAATTTTCAAAAAATTAATCAGAATTTTGTTATTCATAAAAAAAAAATTAATATCATTATATATCAATTATATATTCAAGAATTAAAAATTAGGTATTTTTTTTCCTCTCTCTCTCTCTCTCTCTGTTTCTTTATAAATGATTGTTAATTTTTTTTTTTTTTTTTAAATGCCAATGAGAAATGATATATTTAATAGATTTTTTCTTGCTATTAAATGATTTTTAGAAATGAAAAAAAATAAAAATATATTGTAGGAAAGGAAAGAATAAAATTGTAAGAAAAAGGAAAGAAAAAAGTGAAAAAAGTTCACTTTAAAATTACTAATCATTGTTTGCTTATTGCAATGACAAAATTAATATAAGACAAAGCAGACAAATAGCAAACGCTATTAAAATTTTTTAAAAAAAAAAAGGAAAACAAAAAAAGAAAACAAACTGAAATGATTTCATTACTGTTTCGTATATTGTATTATTACTATTGTTATATTTCATTTTTTTTTTTCTTTTTGAATAATATATTAAAACAATGACGTATAAATCTTTTACCATCTTCTTCTCATCATTATCACTAATCATCTTTGATTGGTGATAATGATGAGAAGCAGCTATGGGTGACAATTGTTGATCATTGAGAGTTTGGTGACAACCAGCAACAATATAGTAGTGTGCATTATCCATCTGAACCAATTGGTTTGCTCGTTGAAGTGAAGTGGAGATATCAATTTTGAATTGAACTCGTTTTTCTATTACCCTACTACCTACTTACTTCACAAACTGCATTCCAACAACGATGAGTGTATGGCCTGATGGTACGCCTTTTTTTTTTGAAGTATAAGTTTAATTAGTGGTATTTAATTACAACATAAAATGGTTATATTAGTTAATCAATAAAATTTATTTCAAATTGATCGTTTCTCAGCACTAACAAATTATATGAGTCATTTTTCATTTATGATTCATCCTCAAATGCTTTTCGCTAGCGAAACTGTTTACTCTTAAAGCTATTACATTTTTGTTTTCTTTTTTTTTAAAAAAAAAAAAAAAAAGAAGAATGAAATAAGCAGAGAAAGAGATAACCTTATTCTCTCGAAAGAGAAAGATTTTTATTTCAATTAGCTAAGCAAATCTTTGAAAAAAAAAAAAAAAGTTAAGCATGAATGAAGTGATATGAATTCTATTTTTATAAATGTATTAAATAGAAGTTAGCACTGTTAAAGCTTTCCGATAAATAATTACTGAATCAAATACTAACACATTATATTCCTAGGATTGATATAAGATTATAGGTTTTTCTCATTCATTTCAACTGTTTTTATTTTTATTTTTTTTTTATGTTTTGAAGCACTTGAAAACATTTGAAATTTATTTCTTATCAGTTTTTCTCTTATTTAATTAATTAAAAATTAAAGTGTAAATGGTAAAAAAAATACTTTGTACTACTTCTAAGCTTTTGATTGGTAAACTATCTGTAGTAAACTTATAACTTTTGAAATACTTTCTCTGAATCTATTCAAATTTTTTTTTTCTTTTTTGCTTTTCATTTTATTTTCAAAATCTTCAAATCTATTATAATTGATCTGAAGTGACCTTTTTTTTATGTTATTATAGTTGTAATATTGCTGTGTCATTATAATGAAATGATATTTTTCTTTTTTCTTTATGTATAATACTTTTTGCTAAAACTTTTAGAATGTATTACAATGATTTTTACTCACATATTTTGCTTCACTTTTATTTATTTCCTAATAATTAATTTAAAATAATACTTTCTGATGAAATAAGTAGTGAAACATTCTTTTGGATTATAACACTACAATTCAATTTATGCTGCTTGGAAAATAATTTCCAACAAATTTCCATCAATATTATCCTAAAAATTTTTCAATTTTGTGATTTTTTACAAAATGAATTTAAAAAAAAATTGTTTTTTTTTTTTCTTTTTTAAATTAAAAGGATGAAATTTTAGCTAGTCCGTATGCGATTTCCGGTTGGCCATGGTGGTGGCTATTACTTTTACTTCTTCTGTTACTCCTGCTCATTCTTCTCACATGTTGCCTACTTTGGTGTTTGCAAGGGTAATTTTTTCATCTTTATGAAGAAAAAAGAAAGTTTTCATTTTTCTTTTCTAAAATTTATTATATTTCCGGTAATTCATATCATATTCAATAGTGTAATTTTCCTTAATTTTAACTTATAAAGCAGTGTTTTTTTTTATTTTTTTTTAAATATATATTTAACAATCATTTTAAAATAATTTGATCAAATAGTAACAAAAATCATTTGATCAAATTTAGCATATTCTTAAGAATTCTATTTTAATAGTTAAAATAATACTTATTGAATTTGTATTTCTCTTCTAAATTATCCATTATCAATGAAATTTTCATCTTTCAGTTACTCATCTTGCATTTGAATGAGGGAAAATAAAAATGGAGTAATTATCTTAGAAGCATAATTTATTTTAACTAATTTGTTTATAATCATCTATCATTTATTGCTATCGTATAATCTTAAAATTTTCAAAATCAAAATTAATAAACAAGAAATACAATTTGACCTCAAAATTATAGCATTCTTTCTTTTCATAACATTTTGTAGAATAAAAAGAAAATAAATTGGAAAAAAAAAGTGAATTATATCAATTCAATATCAAAAGAAATGACATTGTGCCACTCAATTATTCATTTATAGCAGAAAAAAAAGTTTTTTTTTTTTCGTCAAATTACTATTATTATATGAAGTGCGATAATTATTGAAGCAATAAAGAATATTTATTATATTTTTTTGTTTAAAAAAAAAATTAAATCTTTTCAATCTCATTTCATTTATTAATGTCATGAAATGATTGATTTATTTTATTAAAAAGAAAAAAAAAAAAGACATATTCGTTTGCTAAATTGCACTAATTGTTGGCAAAAGAAAAAAAAAATTGTCTTTTGAAAATGTGACAAATAAAAAAGATAGGAAAAAAATTTTTGATACAAATATTTTTAAAATTGTTGAAAATTATAATTGACTTCATAGACACAATCATTGCTTACTTCTTTATACTAATTTAATTTGATAATTTTATTTGAATTATTACTATGCATGTTTTAATCTATTACTAGTAAATAGTTTATAAAATAAATTATTCTTGTTGTATTGTGTTATTTATAACTTACTACTGATATTGCATGCTTTCTATCATTTCCTCTTTTCCTCAAATATTAAAATTTTTATTATTATTTGAAAATAAACTGAAATGAGAGATAAAGAAAAAAAAAAAAGAAAACGAAAAAAATTGAATTACAGACGTTATCGAACACGTAAAGAGCGGCGACGTGTGATTGCGTCAAATGGTCAAACAGTTCCATTACTTTCCGCAGACGTAAGTCTTCCGCAACTTACATTAATGTTAAGTATTTTTTTGCGTAATTGAGAAGAATTGCTATTAAATTAGATTCAAAATTTATTTCAAAATTGAATTTGTATTGTTAATAAGAATAAAGTTTATACCAGTAAAAAAAAAAAAAAATGAGAAATGAAATATTTTATTGATATTTCAATTTAGAATATATATTGATAATTTTGAAATTAAAAAAAAAATTTTTTTTTCTTTTTTGTATTAAATTTATTCCTACTTTTAAAACATCTTCTTGTCAAATCCTTTTTTTTTTTTTGTTAACTGTCCAAATATTTCTATGATACTTATATCTGTTAGAATTTCTACTATATTATTGCTTATTTTTTCTTTTTTTTTTTGGTAAATTTTTATGTAATTTAAAATTTGTTTAAATTTTAGAGTAAATTATAATTTTTTAATAAATTTGTTTAATTTCGAATAAATTATTGAAAGAATATTAAAAATAATTTTATGAGAAAAAAATGCAATATTTTTCTAGATCGAGAAAAATGGAATTGAGCAAAATATGCAAGCACTTTCATCACGTGTTGATGATATCCGATCATCACTTGATCAAAAAGCAACAGGTATTAATATTTTACAAAAAAAAAAAATTACCGATTCTTTTTTTTTTGCCAATATGATACTGAATTTTTAAGCTCGTGGAGATTTCGAAGATGGTTATGTACGGGGTTTTCGAGATGCAAATAAATTAGGTACTGCATCAGCAGCACGTCGACGAATGGATGATGATTATGGTAGTAGAGATGATCGATTTCATGAGGGTTATGTGAAAGGATTAAGGTATAAGTAATTTTATTAAATTATTTGAATTTTGTAAAAGTATGAAAGTTATGAAGCATTTTTGAGAATTATTTTAAACTTTAAATGATTAAATAAAACTTTTTTTTCTTGTATTTTTGTTTCTGTTTTTTATGTGATTGATAAGATAATTTTGATATAATAAATATTTTAAAAATGATTATGAAATTAATTGAAAAATTAAAATTTAATATTAGTTATGATTTCAACTAAATGCAACATTTAGTTGAAATTTCAATCAATTTTTTCAAAACTAAGAGTGAGAGAGAGAGTGTTTTAGAATTTTTATTTATATTTATTATAGAGATGCCGGAATGACCGGAATGAGTGCATCAATGCGTAATTTGGCACAACGTGGTCAAGGAGCTGGCTATTCTTCCGGTTATATGCAAGGTTTCCGAGATGGTAACTCAGGTTTCTTTGGTGATCGGATATCTAATAGTTTATTACGAAGGCTAGAAGAACAGTATCCGAATCAGGAAGAATTTCGTACCGGCTATATTGATGGATTCAAGGAAGGTATTGCAAGTCGAACTTCCGGACAACGAGTGAGAATTTAAATATTTTTAAATTTGATATACTCTACAATTTTGTTTGTAATGATATAATTTTATTTATTTTATTATTATATATTAGCCCTTATTTTGCATTTTTCTATTTTATTTCAAATGGCATTTTTATTGCTATGTAATTTTGAAAGAATTAAATTTTTTGTAGAGCTTTGAAGAATCTCGACGTTTGCAAGAGAGTCTTACTAAACTTACTGAAATATTGCAAGACAAATCGAGAGGTGGTGGTGATGAAACGCATACAACTAAGATTTATCATGTTTGTAAGTTTTTTTTTTTTCTTTTTTCTATTTTATTTGTTTCATTACTTAATTAATATTATAATAAGCAGTACAAAATAGTTTCCCATCTTCAATATAGTCGTGAATTCCAAATAGTTACCGGAATTATTCCAATAATTTCTTATTTTTCTTTTTTATATATTTTTTTTTAAATTTCTAAATTTCTTATTTTTTTTAAATTTAAATTTGACTATCTCAGATAATCAACAACCGGACGGTGTTGCTGTATCAGCTTATTCATCTACAACCGGTCGTCAACTGGAGCAAGAATTAGAGGAGCTTACATCTTCTTCGAGAAGATCAACCCTTAGGAGACATTATACAGTCAATTTTTTTCTATAAATAATTATTTGCTGTATATAATGAAATGTTTAATTTAAGAAATTTTGAAACAATAATATAGCATACTTTTTTGTTTTTATTATATTTTTGAAAAGGAATTTTAGAACAAATGTGAAACTTTTTTTTTCTTTAATTTTTTAAATTTTAGCCAGGTGATTATTTGAAATATGGTAGTGAAGCCGAGGCATATGGTAGCTTAGCAAGAAATCGACGCTCACTTTCTGCATCAGCACTTGGTCGAGAGCTTGCTAGAGGTTTTTCTCTTCTCTCTCTCTCTCTCTCCTTTTTTGCAATTTTTTAATGAAAAGATATAATGATTCTTTAAACTGTTAATTGATAGAAATATTTCAAGTTGAAAATTTTGATGTGAAAATTTTCAAATAATTAATTAATTTAATCTAATTCGTTTTTTCACTATCAAATTTAATACTAGTTAAATTCAAAAATTAAAATTTTCATGTGTTTATTCATGTGCGAGTAAAAGTAATAATTACTAAGTGATTTTCAAACAAAAAAAAAAGGAGTAGATAATTTATTTTACTACACCTAAGCACGTGTGGTTTTCTTTTTTTTTTTTTTGAAATTTTCTTTTTCTTTTATTTATTGGCTATTAACCAATGAAATATAAATTTAAGCAATAAAATGACTGTTTCAAATGAAATGCAATTTTATAAATTAAAAGAAACATTTGCAATAAATATTAGAATAATTATGAAATTTATACATTAATAATATTATCATTTCGTTATTTATTACAGTCATTTTGTTGCTTTCTATCGCCAATAATCTTTCATATTCTTTGTTGTTGTTGTTGTTATTATTTCAGGTCTTTCTGGCTAATAAGAATAATTTCTGGCCAATTTATTTTTTAAAGCTTGCTTCTGCTAAAATTCTTATTTTTGAGTTTTTACTTTTTTTTTTATAATTTTCCTTGAAAATAATTTCAGTTTTACTGTTTACTGTGTGCAATACTTACATTTTATATTTCTGTTTGCTGTTTTGTTTGCAGAACAGTCAGAACGTGCTCGTCTGTATTCCGGTACCGGAACATCATATATCAGTCGTGCATCAGCTGCCGAAAGACCCCTTACTGATACATATTCACGTCGCTACACGTATCGTAGTCGTAGCGATATGGGTAGTCCACGTCATTATGCATCGCAAACATTACTGGACGGAACTCGTCCAGGACCTTCAACACCTCACACACGTCGTGATGCACTGCACACTTTACAACGTGAACTTGATACACTATCACGCTCACCGGATCAGTTAACAGCGCGTGGCTATAGCTCCGACACCGGGTACATGAACGATACAATGCGATCACGTACCCGTGCATACTCAAATTATGACTATGGTTAGCATGCACTCCGCCATACCTTTTCTTTTCTTTTTTTTAACGTGACACAAATTATCACGTGACACAATTGTTAAAGCACCACACGTCACCGTACCTACTAAAACACTATAACTTAACCGAAAGCTTTCAATAAGTTAGATAAAGTATTACTCAGATAGGAACCCTTACTTACTCATATATATGTGATAGCTATTGAATTTATCACTTTCTTTTTTTCCCTCTTTTCATCTTTTTCTTAAACTTTCATTTAACGCAAATATAGCAAACAGTTTAATTTTCCACTTATCTAAACGAATCAAAGACGCTCACTTTACCAATTCCGCCACTTACTTTTCTTAAGTTACTTTCCGCCTACATTTGATACTATATATGCTATCATTATTAGCATGATTTGCTGAGTAAGCAAATTTTTTTTTCTCCACCAAAATTTTTTACCTTATATTACAAAAAGTTTTACGTTTCTTTCTCTTTTTTTTTGTAGAGAACAAAATTTTTAATGAAAGGAAATAATTGAGAAGGAAATTAATTTGCAATTCAAAATTAGATAAAACTCGCACTTTTTGCCGATATCAAAAAAAATAGAATCAAAATTTATTACTGTTAATTTATGCATGCTAAGCACTTCATTGTCCATCTTCTTTTTTTCGAGATTTAAATAATATTTTGAAATGATTTTTAATTGTTAGATACATATCGAACATCGAAGAGTGAAATGAGAAGTGCCGAAGCATCTGGCGGTGTCATTGGTTCAAGTAGTGGTGCCTCAGCAGGTGTTGGTTATGGTCCAAGAGCCACCGCTTCTACCTCATTCAGTACTCGTAGAGGAGGTATCTTTGCTAATTGCTGTAATAATTTTTTATTTATAAAATATTACATAGATTTTTATCTAATAATTACTATATATGCTACTAAATGGATTATAAGTTTTACAAAAAAAAAAAAAACGAAAACAAATATATATATTATAAATAGTTAATATTTCATTGATACATAATTGCATAATTTTATTTCATTTTTTTTTTCTTATCAATTATTTATGTTTATTTTTCGTTTTTCTTTTGAAATATTTGAATTGCTTTCTAAAAATTATGACAATTTTGCTTTTTTCACTGCACATTTTTAAAAGTTAAAAAAGTAAACACAAAAAAAGCGAGTCACGTTTGCAGTTTGCACAATGCCAACTTTTTTTTTCTTTTTTTAACTTCTTTTTTTTTTTTTTAATTTTTGATATCAGAAATGATATCGAGAATTGTTTGAGTGTTATTGATATGATAATTCAAAGTGTTTAAGCTTAGTTTTAATTTTAGCTTATGTATTAGATAAGTGTGCTATATTCACAGTAGCTAAATGCTAACGATACTGAAACAGTGAAAAATAAGTTTTTTAGCATTTTAAAATCGATTGCAGCATTAAATCAACAAACAAAAAAAAAAACATCAAAAAACAGAATTGCAATACAAACATGCAAGAAAAGAATAAACAAAAACAAAAAACAAAAAAAGTTGCAGAATAAAATTTGCAGAAAATGAGAGAGGAGCTGGTAGTGGAAGGACAACAGCTTTCTCATCGCATAATTGGCCCGATGATTTAATTGATATTGTCAACGAACCGATGGGACAGACATTGGATCGAATGAAAAAATACAGTAACTCGTTGTCACAGGTTGACAGAGGTACGAGAAACTCGTCGTCTAAGAGTTTTGATTACAATTACAACGAAAAAAAAAAAAAAAAATGGAAAGGATAAAATGAAAATTTTTCTTTTGCTTTAATGAATGCTTCAATTTGCACAATCTGAAATGAATGTTTATAGCTAATTTTTTTTTAAAAATATCTAATGCTTATAATAAGAAAAATTGATTTTTCTTTTTTTCTTTTTTTTTTTTTTTGTTTGTTTTAATTGATATTTAACTAATTGAAATTATGTGGAATTTTTTGCTTTGCATAAGTGTGTGATAGCTTTTGTTGAAATAACCTTTGAAAAATATGATTTTTCCCTCACTAAATATAAATTTTATATAAATTAGAATTTTTTTTAAAGGTATTTTTTTCTTCATTATAAAATTGCGTTAGTTAATTTTTTTTTTTTTTTTTTTTTGATTAAAATATTTTAGAAATATTATTGGGTGCAAAAAAAAAAAAATGAAATTAATTTTTTAATATTTACACAAATAATTTTTTGAATATTTATAGATGGAACAGAAGAAGGTGGTCCAATTCGAGAAAGAGTAGAAGAGCGATATCAGCGCTCATACAAAGAAGTATGTTTGATAATTTTGATGTTATATAATTTAAAACAAAAAAGAGTAAAAATAAAAATGAGAGTGAATTTAATTAATGATATCATTTTTTTTTTCTTTTTGAAGTGGAAAAGATTTTATGTATTTAATTTCATTTTTATTTATTTCATCGATAATTAATATAATATTAGAATATATGATCGAACAATTATTCGGTATTGCATATTTAATAATTATGTAAATTACAACAGAATGTATTGCCGGAAATTTTCCTCATAGGTTAATGATATCATATATCATACTTAAGTATTTGAGTATGGAAAATTTGCCGGAAAATGCCGGAAATTTTTATTATAGAAAATTTTAGTATAATATTTGAGTAATGTATAATTTGAATATAGTTATAAATTTCTCATTTTCGATGACTCTAATTACATAAGCTTTGTTTTGTTTTTATAATATATCTCAAATTTTTATTAATGCACCATCATTCTACTGTAATTTAATCTCATTTTGTTTCATTAAAAATATAAAATTATATATATATATATATAAAATTACTAATTACTAAAAAATATAAAAAATAAAAAATTTAAGAAACTAAAAAATATAAAATCACTAATTGTTTATAAATTTTGTTTTAATTTCAGGAATATACAACTGGAAGACGATAAACTGATATATGGATACATTTGCTAAATAAAATTTGAGGGAAAAAAAAAAAAGAAGAAAAGGCCAGAAGAATAGTCGTTGTTATTATCAGTCTAACATTTCTCTTTTTTTTTTTAAGAAATAATTATTTTAAAATGATATGAATAATAGAATAAAAGTGATAACGGTGCTCGATGATATACTGATATTTCATTTTCAATACTTCCTTATTTCTTCTCATACACATTGTTTTCTTTTCTTTTTGCATTTCTCGAAATGTTATTGCATTCCTATACATACATAGAATTGACCTTTTTGACCTTTTTTTTTTTCTTCTTCTTTAAAACAAATATTTCTTTAAATTACTATAATAGTATATAAATAGTATTTGATAATCTTTTATTTTAATTTAATTTTTTATCAATTTATATAAAAACAAAAACAAAAAAAAAAAAACAAAAACAAAAACGATTCATTCATATATTTGTTATGTATGAATGAAATTTTTTCCACTTTTTTTTCTGATTATTAATGATATTAATTAAAATCATTAATGTTTATAATATTTGTAATGCATAATTAATTAAAAATACACTGTTTACCAAGTATAACTAAGTAATTTTTGTTGTCTTATATACTCCTCATCTAATAATCACTGTCAATTATTATTATTATTTTATTGAAATTTGTACTTTTGCTCACATTTTACTTTCATTAAAAGTTTAATTTTCTTTTTTTTACTTTAAAGGTTTCAACTTTTTTTTTTTTAAATGGAAATTTTATTATTTTAACTTTTTTATTTTGTTTTGCTTTTGTGAACTGTCGCATTTTTGGAAAAACTACGCATAATTTTTTCTTTTTTTTTTTGATATCAGTGTGTTAATTATATGATAATTTTTGATAAGGAATATAGATTAATGTGATATATTATTGTGCTTACTAATTTGATCATATGTGGTCTTTATTTTTTTATTTTTATATTTTTCAACTCAAAATACTGCTGCCAATTCATTCATTAGATTAATTTTTTTCTTTTTTTGGATCTCTGAAGGAGAAAAAAATTGAAAGTTTATTGATTATAAATTGAATTATCATAGTTATATTTAACTGAATTGAAATCATTTTACGAATAAATCAAATATAACTTTAGTGTGCTCTATCTACTGCATAATTTTTTTTTTAATTTTTATTTTTTTTTTTTTTTAAACGAAATAATTGGTATGCTAAGTTACTCTTTTTTTTTTCTTCTTATGGTTCAACAATTTATTTGAATTTGTATGCTTTCTAAATAAAAATGATACGATTGTTTGTTGCACAGAATTATCTTATGAATTATTAATTAATTTGAAAATATATCAGCAGGCAGCATTTGAGCAATCTAAAGATGAAATGATGATTTAGAGCAATGGGAAATTTAAAATTGGATTAATTTAAAATAGTTTTAAAAAGAGTTAATTAATTGAAGAAAAAAGTATAATAAAATCAGGTAACAAACATCGGTGGTGATGACATCGTTAAATTGTCACCAGATTATTCAATTATGAAACATATAATTCCGTCATTAGTTACTATTAAAAGGATAATTAAATTGTTAGTGTTAAATGTAAAAAAAAAAGAAAAAATTTCTGTAAAATATTTATTTCATCTTTTTCTTTTTTTTTTTCTACAGCCTAATTAAATCTAACAAAAAATCTAATTAAGTTTACCTAAATCTAACAAAAAAAAAATTATCGCGCGATTTTGTTGCGCTATAGAAACCAATAATTAATACGAAAGTAATATTTTCTAATGTATAATTATTTGTCAAAATTGATTGTCACCTTGTTTATTGTTCTATGAACTCATTGACCTATTTAAATTATTAGCTTAATCCGTTTGACAATTTTGAGTGATCGCAATGAACTGTTAATACTTCAACAAAGGTCAGTGATAGCTAAATTGAAATATAATAAAATTTTGAAATGATAGAAAACAAAAAGTATTCACTCTTTCCTACTGTTCCTTCTATTAATACCACTTTTTTTTTTCACTCTAACCTAATTTATAATAATTAATTAAAAGAATTTACTCGTAATTTATATGTTAACTTAAATTACTGAAAAAAACATCTAAGCAATGACCAATTTTGATGATTCTTTATTTGTAATTATTATATTCCATTTATTCATTATTTACTACCTTTTATCAACTAATGATAATAGTATCAAAAATATTATAAATTTGTATAAATTATTAAAAAATAATTATAAATAAATGAATCAAATTGTATCAGTTAGCATTTTTGTTTGATTGAAATAATTCGAACGGTATCATTGACACTTCTGCTTCTTCTTTTTTTGTTGAATATTTTTAATAATTATAAAATATATATGTATATATTGAATTCATCTAGTTAATGTTTATTATCATCGATCGAATCTTCGACGACTTACTTTCCTGTTGTTGATGTCTGCTCTGCTCTAAGGTCAACTGAACTGAAGTCACACTCATGTCTTTCCTTCATTACTTTTTATCTGCACATTCTTTTTCTGATCTCTTCTCATTCTGACCTTTTTTATTATTTGTATTTAATTTTGGTTGCATAAGATGATGTTTTTGCCTCCATTTTCTATCTTTCTGATAAGTAAACTACTGTTCTAATTCAAAACAAAGAAAAGTACTTTTTTTTTTTCTGTCTCATTTTAAATTATTTCAATAATATGTTAAAATGTTTAAGTAATACTTAAGCAAACAATGATTATAAAAACTTACTATTGATAATAATTAATTATAAACAATTAATGAAATTAATAAACTTTGCAATTAATAATTATATTATTTTCACTGTATTTTATAGAATGGTAAATTGTCCAATTTGTTTGGAAGCTGATAATGGACTAATTGCATTTGCAGCATTAAAATGTGGCCATGTATTTCATCGACAGTGCATTTCATCGTGGTTAGCGGTTCGTAGAATTATTTTCTTATTTCAGAAATTTTAACAAATTTGAATAATTGCAATTCAGTATTAAAAATGAATATTAGTTGCTAAAGTATTTGTAAAATTCAAAAAAAAAAAAAAAAAATCTTAGTTAAATCGAACAAACATTTAATTTTATTATTTTTTTTTGTTAATTAAAAAAATAGTTAAAATGAGATTTTTAAAAATTTTAGTAGATGATATAAGTATTGAAATAAATATAAGAAAAAAAACGGCAGATTCAAATAATATCTATTAGATAATTTAATCTTAAATATTAAGGACCAATCTTTGTTATTATTTTTTTTTCTTTTTTTAAATCGATTAATCTGTAGATAAATTAATTTTTATTCATCTATAGCTTTCATTGATTAATTTCAGATTGATAAAAATACCAAGATTTGCCCAGTATGCAGAAAATCTGCTAATAGCTTTCTAACTTTATATTTTTTTAGCACGGTTAGTCATTTTATGCTAATTTTGCTTCGCAAATTAAGTTTTATGAATGTGACATAACTTAATTAATTAGCAAATTGTTAATGCTAATAAAATAATCAGCAAATAATAAAAATTAAATTTTTGTAGAATATAAATTTAATGTTTTCAAAAATTCCTATCAAAATATTGCTTTAAAATTAATTAATTTTGATTTAATGAGTGAAATTTTTTTTTAAGGTATATGGTTGAAAAATTAAATTAAATATTTTGCAGCAAACTGACAATTATTCTGAAAGTGAAAAACAAATGGAGAAAAAAGTGTCAAAAAAACGGTATGAATATTTTAAAATTTAGATTTTTTTTCAAAAAACACAAAAAAAAAAGGTAAATACATGAAAACTGGCTTTGAAAAAATCGTTTTTTTTCTTAATTAAAATTATTTAAATTAACATTAACACATTCGTTTCAAAGAAAAAAAACTGTCCGTTAAAGTTTTTTTCAATTTAAAATTTTCTTCTCTCTCATAAATTATTATTATATATATATATATATATAATTACTAATTAAAAAATATAAAATATAAAAAATAAAAAATTTAAGAAATTAAAAAATAAATATATATATATATATATAAAATTTTCTCTTTCTCTCTCTCATAATTATTTTTAATTCAGTTATTAATTAAATTTTATCACTTTATTCAGTTATTAATTAAATTTTGTCACTTTATCAGAATTTATCACATTTAATTTTTTTTAGAAATAAGAAAAATTTTCCAACCCACCAACAATCTAGCATACATCACTACGAGCTTCGATCAATCAGTCATATTTCAAATACTGGCAATCCTTATTGGCTACGAATTCGACGATCATAAAATTTCATTATTTCACAAAATAATACATTACTTAACTTATTGATTATTTCATATTCAGTGCTTTTTAAACATTTCTCATCTTATTTGCTAAGTACTTTTTTTTTTTAGAGAATTTTTTAAATTAACTTTAATATATTGTAAAAATTTTTAATAATTATTGAATAATTTCATTGCAATTACATTAACTGTTTACAGGGAATAATGAATTAATGAATGTTCGCAATAAAAAAACGAATGAAAATAAAAAAAAATTTTTTTTTTTTTTTAAATCGCACTGAACTAGCAAACTTATTTGTATAATTTTCAATGATATCTTTTTTTTTTTTTTTTTGTATAGAACTTACTGATTTCTTCTTTTTGAAATTGTATTTCAAAACGTTAGGAATGGTATAATTAATTGCATTGATATTACTGATATATCACTGATAATGGAAAATGATGATCTCTTGATGGAAAATAATAAATGGAAAATTATGATCTTTCTTTTTCGTTTTTTTTAATTTTTAAATGATAGATTATATGATATTGTAATTTGATACTTAATTGATATCATATTCAGCAATCTCTCAGTGAATGTACCGAGATTTCTTGTAGTGTTCTAACATTCTGCTAGTTTATTTCCATTACTTTATCATTTCAATCCTAATGATAACAATGATTTTACCTCTTCTTTAAACTAATTTTATTCTATTGCCTTTTTTTTTTTTTTTTTTAACTGTAAAAATATAAATTTCAATTATGTGTATGTGCATGTATGTGGTGTGTGTATGTGTATGTCTATGTGTCCGTGAATTTATGCATCTTTTGAAAATCCCAATTTTTGATTATTTATTAGTTGGTTATAACAATTGTGTTCAAATTTAAAAATTATTTTTAAAGTAGTCAGAATTCAGCAAATAGAATGTGAAAAAAAATTTTTTTGGAGACAGAGAAATTCGTCATTTTGCGTCACTTTAGTAACGTTACAAGTTGCTCTAAAACTGTTCATAACCATTTTAAGTTTTATTAAATGATAGGTTTATCTTTTAATGTTTTGTTTAATTTAATTTAAACTATTGTTTAGTAATAGTTTAAATTGATTCTTTTATAGTCGAAAATAGTCACTTAAAGAAAATATTTAAAATATATGTATTATTTAGCAATTGAAGATTGGACGAAAATAATTTTTCAATTTAAATTTCATTTTATTTATCACATTTAGATATTCAGATGAAATAAGGTCAAATGTAACAGTCCAAACAGTTTAGACTTAATGCAAATTAGTATTTGATACTAATGTTTGTTGTTTATATTTTTAATAAATTGAGATTTCAAAAAAAAAAAAAATGTAGATTTGTTGATTTATTTTTCAATTGTTATTTAAAGAATTTTGAACTTAACAATATTCTTCCAATTGATAAATTGGTATTTTCAAAATTTATTCAGTATAATCTTCTTAAATACATTTTTTTTTTTTTTAAATGCACAATGTTTTAGAAGTATTTTAAATTTCAGTATGTCAGAATTAGCTAACTTTTGAAATTAGCTATTACTAGCAATGATTCATAAAATTTTCATCTAAATTTCGAAATTTATTTCTTATTCAAATTTAAATTATTACATTTTAGAAATATTCAAAAAAAAATTTTTTTTTTTTTTTGAATTTTATAACGAACAAAGCAAAAATTGTTTAAATTCCTTATAGTCATTAAATGCCATTTTAAGTAGACATTTCGGCATAATATGCATTTTCACTGCAATTTTCAATTCCATTTAATAGGACAAATCTATGCAACGATTCCTTTTTGTCTCCTCTCGGTCCTTGGTATTGCCAAAAAGTCTAAATGATAATATACATTTGTTCTTGATAATATATGATAATGATAATTGTAGTGATAGCATCAATACTATCACTTTATCACTATTCACATTCATTCTGAGGATTGTACCTTTGACCTTTTGTAAAAGAAGCACAGTTGGCACAAAGGTAAGATGTTTCAGAAACACTTTTTTTTAAAAAAAAAAAACGTTAATAAACGAACAAAATCACTTTTTCGCATCTCTCTGTATACAATTTGAATGAAGAAAAGAGAGAGAGAGAGAGGGAGAGAGAGAGATAGAGAAACAAAGATAAAAAAATTGTAGAAAATTTTTCGATAGAGCTTGTACTATACAAATATAATTGCTATTCAACAGTTGAAATTTTATTCATGATACTTTTTGCTTCTTTTTCTTTCTCTTGTTTTGAAAGAAAATTTCATATAAAAGAGATAAAGAGAGAGAGAGAGAGAGAGAGAAAAAGAGAATGAAAATTTTATTTGAAGGACAAAAAAATGAAAAGAGAAAAAATAAAAACAGAAGAAAAAAGTTTGAATTATTACTGTTTGAATTTATCATTTAGTTATAGCAATTTAATCTTTTTTCAAAATTTAATTTCAAAGTGAAAAAAAAAAAAAAAGAAAGAAAAAAATTGAAAGAAAATGAAACGATTCAGCAACATTACCAATTTATTTCCTTCCGTCTCACTATATCGTACAAAATTTTTCTTTTCTGAAAAATTCTTGTTATCACTGTCGTTTATGCTTCTTTTTTTTTTTTTTTTTCTTTCCAATAATGCAATCAGTTAGATTTATTTTGAAAACTGGTTTGTTTCTTTTTTTTTTTTTTTTTTTTTTTTTTAAATTAAATCTTCAATGAATATTTGTATTGATGTGGCTAATAAGAAAAAGCAAAATGTGCTTTTTGCATTTTTTTTTTTTTCTTTAAATGAGTTAAAAAATGATGAAAAATATTTGTGGCAACAATTGTTCTTTTCCATTCAATTCAATAATTCTAATTTCATCTTCGATCATTCCATGAAAATTTTATTCCGAAATGAAAATTTTACCTGATTGTACACTTTCCTTGTCTCGTTTTCTTCCAAACATTTTATGTGACAGCAATATGTATTGGGTGGGACATTTCAGCTACCTGTTATATACCTTTTTCATAAATATCATTGGTTTTTCAAAAGAGAAATACCTGCTTTATAAAGATGCTGTAAATACTTTTAATGTGAAACAATTTTCTAAAATGACATTTTGTACAGTTTCCATTGTATTGTAACAGTAGGTTAGATGGTAAGGTAAGATGAATAAATGCAAAATAATGAATTGAATAATTTCCTTTTCTTATCAAATTAATCAATCTAATCTTAACATAAAATTTTTATGTTCAAATTTTCTGTATAAAATTAAAATGTTAAAAGTTAGGAAATTGTAATTAAATTTTAGGAAATTAAAAAATATATGATAAAATATAATTTATTTAATATTTGAAAATTTTTCAAGTTAAAACACAAAAAAAAAATTTTTGATCTATATTTTAAAAAAAGAATGAAAAGAAAGAAAGAAACTACAAATATTTTTTTAGCATTTTGGAAAATTTTAGAATTACATTTTGACTGAGAAAATTTTTCATTTTATTTCAGAATTGATAAAAAGTTTAACTTAGCCTGTTTTGGTTGTATTATAAAATGTTATACTCTTTTCATATTATTATCATTTCATCAATTTCAATTTTTTTCTTTCTTAACTCAAAATTTTGATGTCATAGAATTGGAATTGAAAGGCACTTATTTAATTTAGTATTTAATTAAATTACTGTGATAAGATTACAGGGAAAGAATGAGCACCAAGTCAATGATTGGTATTGCAACGGCCAGTTGCGCCTGTATCATTGTCATATCAATGGTCGCTGTTTGTGTAATATTTAATGAAATAAACAATTTGCATGACGATGTTATGGATGAAATGGGCGTCTTTAGAGTTAGTAATTTTATGAATGTCAAATTTCTAATTTAGATTTTCATTTTTTTGTTGTTTTATTTGTTTTACAATTTATAGCAAGTTTATTTAAGAATAGAATTAAGAAAATGTTAATTATTATGTATTTCGTTTTTTTCAAATAACCATTATCAAATTTGAAATGTGATACTATGATAATAGCTATTGAGAATTCATGCGCAAATGATTATGTTTACCGCTAGATTATTTGATCATTTACAGTATTATAAAAAGTTTAGAAGTAGATATATGAAATACTATTAGATGAATTAATTAATTATGATAATTTATGAGTATATGATAATTAAGAAGGATCAAATTCAATATTCTTTCAGACAGTTGCAGATGATACTTGGGAAAGAATAGTAATGCTTCACTTTGGTCCAGGTGGTCGTCGACAAGAAACATTCTCCTCTTTGATTAACCGATACAAACGACAATTCATTCCACCACCACATTGTCGTTCGTTTTCAACTTTTAACATTAAATCAATAAAACAAAGGAAAATTGAATTAAGCCAAGATTGATTTTTTCTTTAAATTCTAGAAATTATTTGGAGATCAGTTCCATTCAGAAATGTGCAGTTTGGATAAAATGATAAAATTTATTATAGAATGTCAAGCGCCAGAATTATGTCCACCGGGACCACCAGGACCACCAGGTGATAAAGGTCTAAGAGGTATTGATGGACCGATTGGCAACGATGGTAGAGACGGTGCCAGTGGTGTATCACTGTTAGCGACATATCACTTTCCTGGTGGTTGCATAGAATGTCCTCCGGGACGACAGGGACCACCTGGACCTAATGGTTTAGAAGGAGATTATGGAGCCACAGGACGTCGTGGATCACTTGGAATACCGGGTAAAAGTGGACAACGTGGACCAGTTGGACCACCAGGTGAAATGGGTGAACCAGGACCTGATGGAGCACCTGGAAGGCCAGGATCACCAGGAAGAGATGGAAAGCGAGGCATTGGACCACAAGGACCGAAAGGACCAACTGGACCAAGAGGACCACCAGGTTTGCCAGGTCCGGATGGAAACAGAGGTGCCGATGGTGAACCAGGAGAACAGGGAATGGAAGGACGACGAGGAAATGATGGTAGAAAAGGCAATGATGGACGTCCTGGAGCGGTATATTTGACATTTTTTTTTAAGAATTTTAAAATTACTTAAATTTTTTACATTGCTGTTCTTTTTAAAATGTTTAATGATGTATCATCACATTTAACTTTTTATGGATAAGTAAGATATTGTTTCGTTCTTCCACTTGACAACTTCATAATTAGCATATAATATTTTAGCTTGGTAGGCCTGGTCTACCAGGACCAGATGCTCATTACTGCCCATGTCCACCACGAAGTTCAGCTTACCTAACGAAGATACATTGACGATAATCGACTCTCTCTCTCTTTATATATACATATATGCTCATTCAAACGGTGACATGGAAATATTAAATTTCTTTTTTCTCAACAAATATTTGTCATTCTGATCAAAGTGACGTGGAATTCAACAATTAACAATAATTGATATGATGAAGCTCAATAAATATGGTGCAAAATAAAACACTCCATTTCGCATAAATTTTCGCCTATTTTTGTTTACACTGTACGCTTTTAATATCAGATAAAAAAAAAAAAACTAATAATGGAAAATTGATTTCATAAAGTATTTGTGATAATTATAAGAGTTTGATGGTGCAAATGTTAGGTAATTAAACAGTAATTAACATAATAACAGCTAATGTTAACATATTTAATTCTTATAATATATTACATTAATACTACTCATTAAGTAAATGTTCAAATTTTCAAAAATTGGTTTATGAAATTCCATTTTTTTTTCTTCTCCAATTTTTTAATGATTTAGCAAAAAATACACAAATTTCATTGGGTTATTAGTAAAAGTAAAGAATTAAAAAAAAAAAAAAAGAAAGAAATGAAGAAGGAACTAAACATTGACCTTTAAACTTAACATGAAAAATCATTTTTTTTTAGACTCTTTGATGGATTTATTGCTATAGATGCTATATGCTTTTTTTTTAAATATTATCTCCCTCAATCATATACAGTGATTAAACTGCTTTACTGATATTTAATGAATTAAATAATTTTTAAATTACATTACTGTTAATTATCAGTAAGATGAATGCAATATCAGCAAAAGAAAATTTCCAACATATCACTCATATATCTATTTTAACTATTATCTTTTCAGAACAATCATTTGTCAAAAATTTTAATCACTTCGTTTTTGTTTTTTGCTCTCTTATCAATAACTAATCATTGAATATTACCAAAAAAAAAACCCTTTTTAAACATATTAAAAGCAACTATTAGATGGATTATTTATAAACAAAAATTAGTACAGTTAAAAAATATCCCTCAAAATTAACAAAATCATCAAACTTTTAAAATAACTTTCAATATTAATACAAAAATCTCTCGGAGGGATCATAATTTTCATATCGATTCGATTCAGGAATTCATTAAATTTAACACAGGACATCTAAACAGAGCGCGATCGTAATATCCTGTAAATTCTCTTGCAAATGTTTAGGTTTTGGGTATGTGCTTGAGGTTTGTTTTATTTCACTCTACACGTGTTATCTTTTAAAATTACCGTACAGAGGTCACGTGCGTAAATTTACTCTCCCATACTTCTAACAGTAATACTCTTTAGAAATTAATAGATTCTGTAAAAAAGTTTTTATTTTGGTGAAAAGGGCCGTGTAATTTCAGCACTAAATTGGTTTCAGTTCTTTCCAATTCAGTGTTTTGTTTTTTTTTCTCTATAATCTAATATACATTTACACTGCATGTATGGATTATTTCCATGTGATTAAACAAGTTAGATTCGATTTGATGGTATTGTTTGCTGTATTTTAATATAGTGATTATATTAAAAATGTTAAATTTTTTAAATCGTTGTCCATTTATTCTTCTATATCTTTTTGCTGTAAAGGTTAAGGGTTTTTTGTAAACGTCTGAAAAAAGCTTAAGCCATTAGAAGTAATCATAGTTTCGTTTGATTTCTCTCATTCTTTCTTTTTTTGAACACAATTTCTTAAAGTTATCATTCTTGTGATTTTCTTCAATGATATATTTTTTGTCATATCGTGTAACAATTGCTTCAATCAGATTTCTTTGAGAACGGCAGAATATGGATGAAGAAGAATTACTGTTGGAAACACCGAGTACATTTGTAAGTTTATGCTCATGTTGCATAGTACCACACGGTATTTTATGCAAAATCTTTTTCAACTTCTTTGGTAAGCGTGAATACTAGTACTACCATATTTATTTATGAATTGACCTTTCTTCTGGGTACAAGCTCGATTGTCGGGTAGTTTGAAATTTGTTGAAAACAGTTCCGTGACTCATTATTATCATTGTCAGGATGTTAGTAACTTAAGCGAGTTGGATGAGTCGGCAATTTTGGGTGATGACGATATTCAAGAGGAAGGAAGCATAAAAGACGAGATTGTGGAACATCATGAAGAAACCGAAGAACTTGATTATGATGAAGATTTGGAAGCCGAAAAAGCACCACGTTTATCGAAGTTCACTTCTGAACGGGTATAACTTCCAATATTTGTTATGTCTTTAACTTTTAAAGTATCTCTTATGATGATACTAGCCTTTGAATTTTAGACGATAATGCAGAAACGTTCTTTGTTGAATGAAGCATCGTCAAAAAGGGATGAGCAAAATCGAAGTGCTCCGACAAACAGTGCGTCAGTCAGCAAATCGGTAACACGTTATACTTTCTTATATTCTCATTATATATCTTTTTTCTTCTTTTCATTCGCGCTTTTTGTGTTGCTGGATATTTTTAGCAATAAGTGTTTAGAATTATATAGGAATTCTCAATTGTAATTCGTTTGTTTTGATTAGGAAGCATATTATATTTTGTCATATTGATACATAATTCCAAGTACTGGTTATTTTTTATCCTGGGTAGGAGAAAACTACCAAAATACTATGTAATTTTAAAGGTTAAGCCGATAAGTTTGGAGGATAACTTGTCTCGATCATCTCAAGTGCATTCGGTGAAGAACACGACAGGCACAACTCGTGCACCGAAAGTTTTCATTAACCCTCATCACAGAGGCGTTCTGAGACCACAAGGATCAACACCACATAGCTGTGAGGACACTTTTTAATTTGATAGTGTTTAATTTTTGATTTGATTTTTTTCGTCTGTTTTCATGAAGCAGTAGGCACAGCTGAAATTTTTGTATATGTCATGAATTTTTTAGATTCCTGTAAGGTGTCTTTTTATGGTAGTTTTAATGTAATGCCCTGTTTTATGTCTCTTGGCGTGCATTTTAGCGGATTGAAGAGTTTGTAGCTCTTATTACATTTTTTAAAGAGGGTACTTTGATGAGACAAAGTCTATATCATTGTAGACTTCCATTAAAATGCTGCAAACAATCAATTTCAGGCTGTTGGAATTTTTGTGTGAGTCTTAGATTCTACAATTGTTATTTATAAGCCTTTTTAATCTTTATTAAACTATTGCAGTACCGTTGCCATGGGAAGCGGCAGTTAGAGTACCTAGTGTACCAGGTTTACGACATCCGGTAGCCCTTCCACTACCAAACAGTGTCACAATGTTGCCACAAGTGTCACATTCAGTCCCTTTTCCTGTAAGTTTTTTTTTTTTTTTTCTGGACACATTGCTAGCATTTTTAAAGGGAAATATCGCTAAGAATGTAAAGTTTGAAATTTGCGACACAGTTAAGACATTTCTTAATATTTATAAAATAACAGTTATGATATTGTGTAATACTTTTGTGGACATTCATCGAGAGTGTTCTTTAACACATGGATTTAAAATGCTAACTATTAACGTTTACCAGCTAGTTGAAGCTATGATTCTTTCGAACAAATTTCATTTAGTTAATCATATTTAGCGTTTCATAGGTTGCTTTGAAGCTTCGGAAATAAGTCGTCTATATACACTATCGAAAGAATTAAATCTTATATTGTCTTAAAATACCCAAAATACATGAGTGATTTCCAAATGCCTCGAACAAATGTCATAGATTTAAAGTGTTTCACCGTAATTAAGACTTGTGATCTTTTAAAACTTTAGTATGTATTTAAATTATTTAGCATTATCCTTCTACATGTATAGTCTGTTAGTTCTAATTTTGACAGATGTTTTAGATTGTTCCATCATCATCCACAGATTTCTCGCGTCCACCACCCCAAATCATGCCACTTCCAAATTATTCAACACCACCTCCATCTGTTTATCCTAGTCAGTTTATGGCAGAGTCTCTTGGCTTAATTCCATCCGTTGGACAGTGGGATCAAATGGTGGAAGGTTTTTTGCGTCGTACAACGGCTCATAGCAGATCTCGTTTCTCACGTTCACCACGTTCTTCCTCTTCTTCACGTTCAAGGTTTATCTCATAGATTACTTTTATTTTTGAGTTATTTTGACTAGGAGTGTTTTTGTGACACTTGCCAAGTTGATTAAATCATCTGTAAAATTTAATACAGTAATACCAGAACTCAGTTAATTAATATAATAAATAATAGGAACAAGTAGAAAATTTTTATTTAAAAGTGCAAGGTACACTATGGTGGTCATTACAGAAACAACTAAATATGAAAACTCTTTCTACGGTAAAAAATTTTATGAGATTTAATTCGTAGGTCGCATTCTTATTCATCGCATTCCTCAAGTTCTACAGTATCTTCGCGTTCTTCATCACGTTCGCCTTATCGCCGAGTTCATTCACGCAGTCGCCGTTCATCTTCACGTCGTCCGTTCAACCATCGTTCAAGGTTGGAATTTCTAATGTTACTGGTCATGTTTCCTAATTGGTGGCATTCAAAACTTCAATATGTATTAAGTTTAGAGGCTTATTATTGAGTTTAGGTTCTATAAGCTTTTTAGTCTAATTGCAAAAAGAAGGTCACGTATACCTTTTATGTATGCTATTTTTTCCTTTTTTTTTCTAATAATATTGATACTCTCAGGAATGAAGTGATACGTCGACGTTCCAGAGACCGTTTGAAAAAATCTGGCGATGGTCATAGAGAGTCGGTATACCATTATGATCGTACTAGAAATCGTGCAAATGATGTAGCGAAGCAGGTCAGTGGATATCTCCGAATTTTGTTGTTTCTAATACTTCAGAGGTACTTTTTTTTTTGTTTTTGAACTCTTAATTGCTTCAGGAAAAGACTATGGAATGCGCGAAAGCAATTGGTTTAGACAGTGAATATTTGACAAAGCTGGAGGAGCAGAAAAAAATGCGCGAAGTGATTTTACGAAAAAAAGAAGAGCGGCGTATTCAAACTGTTCAACGTCTTGGAGGACCAATTTCTGCATCCGACCAGAAGTCTATGCGGCAGTTGAACCGTACCAGTAATTTCGGTGAACGGCGACTTGAGCACAATCGAAGAATGGATGAAGAGCATTCCAGCAGACGAAAATTTGACAGTAGGATGCGAAAAACTAGTGGAATTCGAAATGGAAGAAAGGAGCCTGTGAGTGGTACAAGTAGTGACGTTTCACGAGAAGCCGTTAACGTTAACCGACTAGAAGCATCAGTTTGTGCGGAAAAAGGTGTAGCTACTAATAGTAGTGTCATACAAAAAATGGAACCTGCTGTGGTCGGAAATGATCCCAATATGGAGCAAACGGCTGCAAGAGTTACTGCAGTTACATCAGTTCGTCGTGCTAAGCGAGAAAACGAACAGAATCCGGAGCGAACACGGAAGAAGAAAGCTTATTTGGCTGTTGTTATCAGTTCATTGAATCAGGCTCCGATCAATGTAGACAGAATCAGGATCATTGCTGAGACTATTGGGCCTACTAAGGTATCGAAGTTTTTTATCGTAAACTTTTTAGTAGGGAACTATCTTGATTGAATAGCGAGTTATATATAATTATATAATTAGATTAGTTTATATAAATACAATTAAATTAAGCGCTTACTGAATAAAGGATTCTTCCTCCATGCTTAAAAGAACGAAATCATATTTCGTTGAAATCTTTAGAAAGTGTGGAGATCGTCGGAGAATACCGTATCGCTTATTTTTGAGGAACATGAGAGCGCCAAGAAATTCATGTTTCATTATCACAAGTTTGTTCATTTTTATTATCATATTTTATACTTGCTTTTATCAGATATGTTATGGTATGTTAGTTTAGCATTTCTTCCCGATCAGACTGTGATTGGAAATTTGAGAATTCACTGCAGGACGGCGTACATAGAACAGATGGAAGCATTTTGGAAGAAACATCACGTAGAATTATTTTGATCAGTTAGTAAAGTTTATAGAAGCGTTTGTTGTGTAATGTTCCCTTATGAAGTTTCTGGCGAAATTCCTGTAGCTACTATTATTGTAAAGGTATTTACTATCTTAACTTATTAAAAACAAGTGGTGAGAAGATCTGTGTATCCGTTTATTGCTTTATTTACATCACTTTTAGTCGAGTAATCCACGGTGTACAACTTGCTGTAACGCTACAAAAATTGTTCGCTAATTTGACGGAACTTCCATGATGAATGCCTCGGTTGCCGTTGGTGAGATTTGCTGAAATTCTCTTCAACGCACGAAATGAACATTTTTATTGGGTAGCTATTTATTTTGAGCGTTATCTCTTAAACTATTGGCATTATCATCAAATTTATGAGCTCGAATAGCTACAGTAAGAAAATATTTTATAAAACTAATTCAAATGAGATATCCAAATTGGGTTCCATATCCACTATGTGTGGTTTTTTTTTTTTTCTTTTAATATGGTCTTGTAAAAGAAATAGTGATTGTAGAGTATATTGATAATCGATAAAGTATTATAATCCTTGGTTTTTTTATTTTTGATGTCACTGCTTATATTTATATTCAAATTATTTGCACTAGAGAATAACCGTTCTTATTTTTCGATTTTTGATTCCTGGAAAAGTGTAATTTTGATAATAAGTTTGTTAGTGCTATTTTACTGTTTCAATTATTCCTTAATTGTTTGCATTGATGAACAGTGGATGATTTTATTTTATTATTTTGTTATCCATTTTTCATTTTTTAAACTAGTTTTTTGTTGGTCTTTGACCTTCTTGCAAGTTTTAAAAGCATAATTTTTCCGAAGCTTGAAATCTCTATTTTTTGGGAATTTATCAAGTTCTTGCTTACAACCAACAGTAGTTATTGAATGATGAAGTGTTTACTTGCATTATTATTATTTTTTTTTTTTTTTTTTTTTTTTTTTTTTGCTGCATTTTTTTCTTTGCAGTAGATGTTTGACTTTAATCCTCGTAAATTTTGGAAGTCTAGTGTCTTAAAGCTCACAGTTTCCATTCTATGTTTATTTCAAATGCGTCCTTCTAACAAAATCTCTTTACATTGACAAGTGAGCGATTTAATATATTCTGATGTTTTGATGTTGTATTTTTCTTTCTTTTAGCACGTAAATCATGGTATTTTTTGACTTTACTCCTTACAAATTTCGAAAGCTTAACTTCTCAGCAAGTTACATTCCTCTTCCTATTACTTTATTAAATATTTGTTCCCGATATATTAAACTAAAATATATTTTAAGTAGATCTGGTTGGGTGTTGATTCAAAATGTAATGTTTAACATTTCTGATGATTTACTGCTGGTCATGCGTTTCATCCATAATTTCACGTTGTAACAAGTTGTGTTTTGCGTTTAACTTTAACTTTTTCGTAAAGTATCATGATTTTTGCTCGAATCAAGAAGCATTACTTGTATCTTTCGATTAAGTCGGAATATAATTTGGAGAAAATTGACTTTGTATTGTTTGTTTTTGCTCTTAAAATTCTTGTTATAATTCACAAAAGGGCTTTAGTAATTTCAAAAATGGGTGGACCACTGACTGTAGCTGTGAAATTTGATTGTTCGCTTATTATTCCAAGAAACTGTTCCTTTTCGATTACTGTTGTGGTTGAGAAGCATATTACTATCATATAAAGTATTGTTTCATGTCACGTTCTCTCCCATTCTATTAAACGAAGTTCGAGACTTCGTTATATTTTTGATATATATGTCACTTTCAAATAGAATTGTATTAAAGTTCAACTTTTAATTACATACACTTTTTAAAAGCTAGCTTTTCGGACTTTTGTACGCTGTTAAGAGTACATTGAATAATATGATTATGTATTACCACAATAACTCTGAATATCTAAATAATCGATTTCAGTTAATTGATTTCTTAATGATATAATGGACAATTTTTGCACATATTTACGGGTATAAAGAAATCTCAGTTATCATAACATCTTTTTAATTTTCTCATTCCTCTATGCTGCTATTTTATTACTCTCAGTAATATCACTAGCTCATTGTAATGAGCAAATAAATAATAAATAAAAAATGCTTTTCATTCATGTATTCTTTTTTTATTTGTATACTTTCTTTTCCAAGTACAGTGATACGTACCTCTTGTTGTTCGCGTATTCTTCAAATCAAAAAAGGTAAACTGTAAAATATGTATACGGGTACTAGAATAAAAATGATTTGGTCGTGTTGTTTCTTTAATACACTGAATGCTAATTTCTTCTATTCGATCATTGTTTGATGATTGCAAAAATTAATTGTGCTTCTGGATGAATTGGGGGAAAGTTGAATGAAGGATGTGGTGGAAATTAGGTTATTGCAGAGGAGACACCATCATGATATGTCTTCATATGACCGAAAATTTGCTCATAAATCAAGAGCTTCGGGATTTGCTTCAGTACACAAGAAACCAAGTCTGAATGATAGTTTCATACCAAGAATAATCAGTACGAGTGGTTGTTCGTGGAAATCAAGTTTTTCTTTCCAGGAATAACTGACATTTTCCAGAACTGTCTTGGAGAGGAGCAATAGTGTAATCCGGGCAATTGTGAATATGTAAATTAATATAAAATTCTGTGCTGTAAGTAAAAAAGTCCCATTTGCTGGAACTTGGGATTTTTCATAAGCGATAGTAAAAATTTTACTGACAATAAATAAAAAAATATAAAGTACAGCATTATTCAAACAAAACGACTTCTAAGCCAAGACGAAATGTTCCGCCAGCAACACAATATCAGTATTTAATTCTTTTGGCGATATCGCTGAAATGTTGACATTAATTCCTTTAAGAAGAAAACGGTTGGAAAATTAAAGTCTTGGAACCTCTAGAATTAATGGAAAATAGTGAATATTTAAGATATAGTTCAGTTCAACTTATTTGCTAAATTCGTAACATCTGTCCGCACACCCTTAATCTTTTTTTAAGAAACACATTTTAGATAAGGACTCTTATTCTTGCAATGAATTTATTGAAAATCTTACGATCTATGGCCTTCTATTTTTCGTTTTTCAAGTATTTTAGTTATTTCGGAGAATTCACGATCCAATTTATGCTTTTCTCGATCTGGAGCACTTTTTCTTGTTTTCCGTCCATCATTTGTTTTCACTCCGAACTGATACGCCGCTCTGGAACGCAAATCAAAATATCAAATCGAGACCGTTTAATATGCTTCACAAAGGGACGTGATGTGGCTCATATAAATAATGATACAATAATATAATTACGCTAAGAACTGCCTAAAGATCTAAGGTCTTTCGAGTGACTATGACTATAAGAAAGTATCTTTAACTTGCTGCAAATATAGGATATTAATGGATTTTTTCCTACTTCAGGATTTTCAAATGTCCTACTTTAAATTTAACTTCAGGCATGTCTTACTTCGGCATAGCTTCTTTCGATTCCATATACTTTTCATAGTCTTCGTGATCCTCGAAATCCCAACGTTTCACTGGACCTCGTCTATTTCCCTGTAAAAAACAAAAGTTTAAGAGTCTTTCTATTTAAATCACCTCACATATGGAATTTTAGGCGTCTTTATACTAATCCCAGATATGACTATATGATCAATCAACAGATAAACGGAAACATAAAATGCAAGCATCTCATTTTTACTAACCATATCCATTTTTGAATAATCAGCTTCGTCATCGCTTTCTCCCGCAGCTTCATACATACCACCCGGATAGCATTCAGCATAACCTTCTGTTTCCATAGGCACTCTTTTTTTCTTTTCAGATGGTGCATCATTCTCAACCAATTTCACTACTTCTCGACGTTCACCTCGTCTTTCGTCGTCCCGCGTACGACGTTCCCGATCTCGATCCCGCTCTCTTCCCCTTTCGTAATCACGATTCCTGTCACGATCGCGATTCCTATCTCTGTCACGATCCGGTTCGCGATCATCGAAGTATCTGAATTTAAAATGTTAACTTATATATGCGTTATAACATTTCAAATGTTAACATACGACATTACCGTAAAAATTGAAAAAGTTAACACACATTAGTCTTTTATTTAATCAAAATCTCAATCCGCCTCTTGATCTCTTTCCATATGATTTTAAATCGGTTTCAAAAAACAATGAACAAAGATATATCAATAAGACGAATAACAAGAAATAAATCCTTATTTCAGTTAATTACTTCTCGACGATGAAAGAGGATTACCTCACTTGAAAGTAATGTATTGTTTAAAAAAAAAAAACGTAAAATACACTACTTCAAAACAGTGGTAAATTGATACAAAAATATAAACTGCATGGGAGAAAAGAATGACGATACATCAACACTTACGAAGAAGGTTTTAAACGTTTCCGATCCCGATCACGTCTTTCTCGATCACGATCATTTCTGGAAGCAGCGTAATCACGCTGATCGTCAAATATTGGTTGTGAAGCTATCTTAGTATGCTCATCGTTCGTACCTTCAGTTTTTTTCTTTTTCTTCTGTGTATCGGCGCGCAAATATGATAGAACTTGTGTGAGTTTCTGAAAATTTAGGACAGTTGGAAAAAACTAGGTTAAATAATTGCCCTTTATTACGACAAAATTAAGTACCTGAATAAGCATATTGCTGGTGTTGATATCATGAGTACTTTCTGTTGCGGGACAATCATGAACAGAACGTAGCAATGTAGTAGGCAAATCATTATCTTCCTCCTCCAGATCAATGACGTAAGCCATACGACCCTTCCTAAATTTCAATTATAACATTAAAAAAAATTGTGAAAAAAAAATTAAAACAATAAGGGATAAAATATAGCAACAGTCTTGCCTGAATAATTCATTACACGCAGGAAGTTCATTCTGAAACAATGCTCGATGAATGTTTCGAACCATTCGATTATCTGATTGTGGCTCGCCTTTCTGACTGTCTTTCTAGAACATGGAAAAGATCAGAAAATTCACCAAATTTTCAGTATATTTCGAAAGAATGAAGTAAAGTGTAACAAGAAAAATTATTTTATGGTGAAACTTTTCTTTTTTTATTTGCAGTTAATTTAAGCACATTGTATTTGAAAAAAAAAAGACAAAAAAAAAAAACAAAAAAACAAAGAAAAGACTAGCATATGCAAGAAAGAAATAAACACAAATACATAAAAACCTATAATGTTATGACTTACATTATATTGTGATTCCAATACTTCATCACTTTTCTGTTCTCTCATAGCTATTTCTGAACGAACTTTATGCAGCAATGAATAGTCCAAACCTTTCACTAAATGAGTATGCTCCATATCACCACCAAGATATTTACTTTCCTGCAGATTTATTCCATACATTCATTACGATTTACGAGCTTGTAACTTTCCATCAAATTGCATTTTATTGCTTCAATAACAAAAGATGAAGATTCTTGCAAAAAAATCTCTAAACATCTCAGAAACTTGGAATAAAAATTAAGCAGTAAATTACCTGAATTGCCTGTTTCCTACGTTGTGCTGCATCAACTGTTGCCCTTACATCACCAGGTACTGCTCGGTATGCATTATTTGCATGTAAATCATCAATAGTATCATCTTTTCCAACTCCCTTTCGTCTTTCTTCCGCTCGGTCACGATAATTTTTTAAAATCTCATTTAAATTTGATGGTCCTGTAACACCAATTTTTTTTGCTTTATATGCCAGAAGCGATGTGAAATCATTAATAAATGATCCAAACAAGGATTAGTTAATTTTGCAATCTTATATCGCTTCAACTGACAGAATTAATATATTTATACAAACCAAAAATATCGTCTTCGTCATCAATACTACTCCGTTCCCTTTGTTTCTTGGCCTTGGTACCTGTATTGTGGCTTCTTTTCGAACTGAAAGCAAAATATATTTGTTGTGTAGTTTTGAGTAACCAAACGGTTTACTCATTCAAAATAATCCTTCGACTATCGTTTCATAAACAAATACAAGGAATTATGATATTAACCAATAACAAAATACAAACTCTTTTCTCTGTCTGACATCTGCTTTTTTTTTTTTGTCTTGACCTTTCCTTCTAACTGATAGATAGTTAGAAGAAGTATGTTAACAAAATAACTAACTCAACAGCTTGTCGATGGCTGAATGAATGAGTAGTTTGTGTCTGTGGCCCTCCATTTGCATTTGTGTTTGTTTGAGCTACCTTCTTCGTCAAAAGTTGGCGAAAATCTTCATTACGTAACGTTGCCATGGTCCCATTTCGTCTAAATGAATAACACAGTCAGTAATTTTTTAATTATGCTTCAATAAGAAAAAAAAACTTTACCCAGTTGAGGATGAAGTGCCCAAAAGCTCTTTCAAATCTGTTTCCATAGGTGAGGTAATTCAGTTTCTGAAAGAAGAATGATTATTTTAACAAGCGTAAACATACGTGAACTCACAATTATGTAAAATCCAATACAAACTTTAGCAACTTCACAGCAAATTCAGCATTAGGTTGAAATTTCAAACACCACAGAGAAAAAAAATGAGATGAGAAAGTTCACAAATGTGAGAGAGCATTACAAGTGAAAAGAAGCATACGAAACACATGAAGAAAATGTTGGCTACTAGTTTTGAAACCTTCAGTAACTCTTCACTTTTGAGATTTAGTTTATGCTACACGTACAATATTAAGAGTATCAGACAACGATAGTAGAAGTAATATTATTGACATGAGAAAAAAACATTTCAACATAGACAGTGGGTTTTAATAGTGAGTTGGTAGAAGTGAATTAAAGATTGGAGAGAGATTACGCAATCGGAAGAGATTATGACGATTGATGGATGATGAAAATAGCGAATGTTATTGGTGGTAAGAGATGGAAAGGTTAATTAATTAATTAGTTAAATAAAAGGAACAAATTAATAGACTTTCTGAAGAGAAATAGCAGAATTCGGGATGGTAAACATAATCCGAGAATACTTCTAAATGTATGTATTCTGCATGATGCGTCAATGGTATACAATTTGCGCCTAAATTAATGAAATAGGAAATGTACTATAATTGAATTGAATTAAATAAGCAATAGTTTTGATTTTCGTTCTAAGAAATTTTTGAAAAGATTTTCTTTTCTTTTTTTTTTTTTTTTTTGATCAATCAAATTTCTTCCTTTTAGTGCTATTTAACGAACACTCTAATCGATCAAAATATATGCAATAATCAATACTAACATCAAATTATATAAATAATCTTCGCTTTTATTTTATATAAGAAACTACAAAATTAGGCGAAAAAAATTATGAAAAAAATGAAAATAAAAAAAAATGAAATTCAGGAAAGTTTTATAATTGTATCATATTTGAAATAATACTTTAAATGTTACAAAGCTAAATTATGAATTGAGAATTTATAAATTCTATAAATTACATAACAATCTATAAAGCACTAATATCAATTTCTAGTTTTTTATTTAAAAAAGAGGAGAAAAAGTACTATGAAATTACGTGAATGATTTTACTAATTGTTTGCTAGGATTTGTAACGTAGGGATTATTAATTAATTAATTAAAAACACATTATATATATATATTTCACTAAGATTTCATCTCAATAAAAAATTTTTATGTGCACCAATGAGGAAGTGAAATGCTATAACAGCTTATTTCTTTTTTTTCCTGTTGTTTCTTGAATCTTTTAGGACATTTAATTAACAAACGATGACAATAGTAAGTCAACAATAGAGATAAAATTAACATTAATGAAACTTAGGTAAAATTTTGCAATTTGTTCATGCTGTATTTCAAATTATTTATTGACAAATATCTCTCTGCAATAACTTTAAAATAAAAATGAAAATGCATTAATAAATGAAATGACAATAAGCAATACAATACTATGTGATAATTCAATGATTGGTGAATGTTTACCAATAAATGAATCCGGAACGAAAATACTTTTCTGATATTTGGTTAACGTTTCTGAAATTTCTAGGATATAATTTTCATTCATCTTTACCAATTCATATTTTTCTCTTATTTTTTTTTTTATTAATCATTTAAAAAAAAAAAAAAAAAGTAACTTTCTATTACATACCGTATGATCGGAATTTCGGTTGTTGCATATCAGTGGCATCACCGATCCTTTTCCATATTGCTTCAGTGTTATTAGTAACCTGAACTTATCATACATAATTCATAACATGTTTTATTATTCTGATATATTCCGATATATTCAGTTTTATTACATTCTTACACTGCACAATCCGGAATTAGCATTTTGTTCAACGTTACAATCATTTCGGAAAGAATTTGTATTACTTTCTTAAGATATATCCGTTTTGTTTAATGCTCAAATATTCTATATATTATTTCATTTAATTATTAAAAAATTTTTTTATTGGAATGTTTAATTAATAATTTGAAATTGATTATTTTAAAGTCTTACAGGTAATCGCATTCGTAACATAGTGAAATGGACAAATGCTATACTTCGATTTTTTCCTGTTCCTTTTCCGATTCTACATTTAGGTTCCGGTATAATTTGAACATGTTTCAAACCTTCCGACTCATCATACGGTTTACTTCGTAGTATTCCACCACCATGATACCAAATACGGAAATAATTTTTTTGACGCAGTAATTTACTGCATGCTACCTATGTTGTTAGCAATAAATGCTATAAAATGCTAAGTAATAGAGTAAATTAATTATTCGGAAAAGCATTTTAGACTATTCTAATGCAAATTTGCTAATTTACATTCTGATTTTTGCATCTTTCGAATGTTTAAATATTAGTGAAAAATTAATTTCTAAATGTGAGAGACAAAGAAAACTTAATGATAACAAATTAAAGTGTGTATAACTGACCAAAAGAATAACATTTTGATTAAGATGATCAGTGGGAAAAATATTGTGAACAGTAAGTTCCTCTTTTGAATTTGACATAGCAGCAAGTTGAAAGCTATAAATAATCGTTCATCATATATATTTTTATTATTCACACTGTTAAAAAAAGTTTTTAAAAAAAAAATCTTAGACGATATTTTATTATATTTTTTACTGATAGCATACAATTCAAATGATAAGTTGAAAATCAAAATATGGAGACATATAATTGTACATCAAGTGGCTTTTTTCTTTTTTAATTTTCTGATTGAAAAAAAAAATAATAACTTACTTACAATCCGTATTTACTTTTGCTACCTGTATGACAACAAATTCATTTCGTGCTGCTTTGTTAAATTTTACAGTTTTATAAAAATCTCCTCTTTGAAATGAAGATTTCCGACAGAAATGTCGATACTGAAGTGAAAATTTAATGCTATTAAAAGATTCCTCAATGACGTTACAATGTTATATAGCAAAATGCTAATATATGAATGTATAGCACAACTAGTGTTTATCCAATCAAGTAATATTAATTAATTAATTTGCCATCAGTTTCAACCATCAGTTTAAAAATTCTGTCAATTTTTTTAAATTTAACTTTAATTTACAGCTACATTATTACAATACTTTTAGTCAAATCATCTAAGAATTCAAACAGTTTAAATAAATATCAAAATTTTAATCTTTTTGCAAACCTCTTCATCTTGTATTAAATTTAAATCTTCATGTGCCACAAAATGCTTTGTCTTTTGTATCGTACAGCTAATAGCAATAAGAAAGAGAACTGAAAAGTTTTCTTTACGATTTTTGTTTTTGTAAGCGGAAAAAATTTTAAGTTTTGAAACGATAATGAAAATTCATTACAAATCGAATTTAAATTCTGCAATGGTTTTGAAAAAAAAAAAAAAAAAAAACAAGATTGAATTTAAAAAAATCAGTCATTAAAAATCGAATTTTGAAAAAAAAAAACAAGACTGAGACATATTTTAATTATAAATAAAAATTAGGGTACTATTAAGACGTTAAGTGTTATATTTGATAATTAAAAATACGTCAAACTGTAATAAAACTATTAATGACATTTCATTATAACTATCCGAGTTAAACTACTAACCATACATAGCGTCTGCAAAGACTAAAATGATTGTAAAAACATAAAAATGAAATTTTTAAAAATGAAAAAAAAATTTCTTTTTTAATTCAAAATATATTAAATTACGACAAAGGTTTTTATGATTGAATAGAATCTGATGTTCATATTTATGCATAAACAATAAGTAAAAATTATATTGCATATTATACAATACAATTTCAAATATTTTGCTTCAAATCAATTCATTTCTTTTTTTTCTTGTTAAATTGAACTTTCATTATTGCTATGAAATGAAGTTCATATCAATCATTTCAATTATTCATCCTGTTGTTTTTCTTTTTTATAGCAAATAAATAGCCTTTATGATTTCATAGTTTATTTCAATTTTTTTTTTTTTCTAAATCTATTTACTATTTTGGTTAAATTGCAAACAAAATCATACGAATGACAATTTATGATTTAGATATTTTCCCAAATATAACTTAAGTATAACAATTTATAACTCAAATATATAAATATAAATAATTTCACATTTATTTAAATTTTACATAACGCAACATAATTTCACAAATTTTTTGATGTTTGATGATTTATGATGATATTATCATTGTTACGTGATATTTAATTACAAATGATCGAAAGTAATCTGTTATAAGAAGATTTCAATGCTTCACTTTTGATATTATAACATCGATAACAGATTGTAGATGATTGGTCAAATCTACAAATTTGCTTAAAAACAAAAAGAACAAAGCAGATTGATAGGCGCCAGCTTATCTGATTGTCCTTACTAACATCAAATAATTACTGTTGTGTATAAAAAAAAAAAAAAAAAGAGAGAAAAATTTAACCACTTTGCAATATGTTTTATATATTATGTTAAGAAGAAATAAGAAGCGCATATGTACTGTAACAAATTTATGATAAGGAGCGTTAATGGACAGTAAAGAGGGCCACCGACTGTGATAATAAGTGTCGCATGGAGGATGAAATATTTTAGGAAGAGGCAAAAATGGTAACCAAAATATTATTTGTAACGGATGAATAAACAAATTGAAAAATGAAATGATCTTTTCTTTTTTTTTACATCAAACTAAATGCACTAATGAAGCGGAATGAAATGATAATATTGTCATTAGTATCGGAAAAGATTAAAAGTTATTTCATTGGAAGAATTTATCGGAAACTGGAAAATAATGAATTCCAAATGGAAATACCATTAGAAAAATATTATTAAATGAAATAAAAGAAGAATTTTTAGGAAATGAATTTCATCTGAAATATTAACGCTTCAGAAGAATTTATTTAAGTTTTTCACTAATGGTTTCGAATAATCTTATGAACATGTCTTACTAAAAAGAAGTATTCTTGAAGAAATTGATTTTTCCTTTTATTTTCCAGTTTTTTTTTTTAATTTAATCGGAAATAAATTTCAGTGCCAAAAATAATTACTATTCTAATTGTCTCTTTAACCTATTAATCTCTCCATATACTTTCATCATATCAAAAGAATTCTACTTCGAGGTGAATTTATAAAACTTTTAACATATTATTTTGTTTTAAACTTCAATCCTCTTTTTTAAAGATTACTATTTGAAGGAAAGAAAAAAATGAACCAATTTTAAAAAAAAAGCTAAATGAAAAAGTAAGGTTATAAAGGCAAAAGAGAATATTTGATGAGAAAGCTGAACTTTCTTAATTAATTAATGCCATTTTAATGTAACGGAACATCAATGCTAATTAGCTCAACATCACTTTTTATCACTTAAAATAGTAACGAAAATTGAATGAAAGTTCTGTCGGCGCTAATCTGTCATCGATCATTCACAAACAGTTGCGCACATTTTTTTTTTTTTTTTTTATTTTTGATAATCTGCTACATTCCTCTATAAAACCATAGTACCGCTCTTTGATCAACAATAAGCAATCGGAATGGTAGTTCTGTCATAAATTATAAAGAAGAAAATAACATTTATATCTTTAAATGAAGCATTCTGTTATTTGTTACATCATCGTACCATATTCAAAAGTACTATGATAGTTACAAATTTCAATAATCTTTTTTTTTCTTCAATTTTTTTAGTTTATAGTTTATAATCATATCTTTATCTTTTAGTTTTTAAATATTTAAATATCAATAAAACCTAGAAAAACAAAACTTTTCTTTAAATCAAATAATTAAAGATTCTTTCAATTTCTTGATTGTTAAATTTAAAAAAAGAAGAGTGAAATTCATAAGTAAAATTATCAGTACTATCTTTTTTAATGGTTTTCTAAAAAAAAAAAAAAAAAAAAGAATCTAATGACAAAATAAAAAGAAATCATGGAAAAGAGAAACGAAGTGATATGATAAAATTATCAAAAATTAGCTCAGTGAAAAATTTTTAGCAAATATTATTGTAATCAAAAAAACAAACAAACAAAAAGCAAAAAATTTAATCTTTTTCATTTCAAATTCTTGTTTACATGCAATTTTGATTAAATTAATAATGCAAAAAATTTATTACATTCTTTTTGCTATTTCATATTTATTTTATTGAAGTGAAAATGATAATTACCGTATGCTATATAAACTTTATCACTTCGTTTGCACCACTCAGATTATCAGGAAGGGGTGGAGTTCTACCATAAAACTGCTAACGTATACAACAGACGACAAAAAATTCTTTTAATAGAAATACAACTCAATCTTTGATTGGTGCTTGTCTTTTTCCTTTCAATCTTATTTAGTCTTTTTTTTTTTTTACTTTACTTTATCTTACTTATACATTTAATAGGTTATTAAATGATAAAAAATTTAATTTCATAAGTCTAAAATTACAAATTTAGTTTATCATTTAGCGAATCATTCACGTACTATTTGCATATACATATTTTTTTTCACTTAGTAATAAATAATTTTCTATTTTTTCTTTCAAAAATGTTTGGAATTGAAAATGAAACATATAGAAATAAAATTTTAGGAGAGGATATCATTATCAAAAGAAATGCTTTATTTCAAGTGGAAAATGTGATCCAAAAGTCTAATTTTCTTTCAAAAAAGTTTTCAAAAGTATAACATTTCATATTAAGTATTAGTTATTATTTTATTCTAGCTTATCAATAATTTTGGTAAATGATAACGATTGTAATATAATTATAAATTTTAATTTTAGGATTAAAAGGAGAAATATTTAAATATGATAAATTATGAATGATATTTTTATACAACAGAGAGAAGATTTGACTATGAGTAATGGAAAAATTCGGATTGCTATATCACATCGAAAATTATGGGAAGAATTTAACCGTAATATAAATGAAATGATTTTGACAAGTAAGGGAAGGTAGTGTAATGTTCGTTTGTTTTTTATGAATAATCAATTAAAGATATATGAAAATTAATGGAAAAGAAAAAAATTGATGGATTATTTCATTTTATTTCAGTTTTTTTTTTTTTTTTCGAAAATTATTCTCGAAATAAGGTTAATAATAAATTTCAATATTCATAAAATATTATTCAGGTTTATTTTTTCTCTTTAGATGCATCTATCCTCGAATTGGATATTCTGTAGAAGGTTTAGAACCGAAAACAATGTATCTTATATGTCTTAAAATATGTCGAACTGATCGTGCCAGGTTAATTATTATTTGATAGCTATTGCATAAATGAATTAATATATCTTCAAATCATTAAGAAAAAAAAAAAACATAAGTCTATTTTTTATAAAATATCAGAATTTTTTTTACTGAAATAAAATTTTAAATAAATTTAATTAGTCTATTAATTAAAGATACAAGTATACAGCCGGTGAATGGCATATGATTGCTACGGGAGAACCTGAAAATGAAGCAAAATATATTTATCCAGATAATGGATCAACACAACTTGGACAATACTGGATGAGTAATGGTATTCGTTTTGGTAAACTTAAAATTACAAACAGTACCAAAGATTGCTCTTCAAATGTTAGTTTAATTTGTTAATAATCAAAATTTCATTTTTTTCACTCATATTTAAAACTTATGATGAAGATATAAAAATTTAATTATGAAAAAATCTAATATATTTATAAATTATTTCTTAAAATATTTATACTAACAACTTTCTATTAAGTGATAAATATTTTTTACTGCTATATTTCATGTCATCACTTGTCATTTTGCAAATAAATCCATCAAAATGAGCAATTTGAAGAGATATATGAATGTTGTAAAGTGTTTATTAAATGACATACAATGAATAAGATTTATGTATGTGTGTGTGTGTGTGTGTATGTGTATGTATGTGTATGTGTCATTATGAGCATTAAAGTTACTGATAAAAATCAACAATGGCGCCTTACAGCGATCATAATAAAGCGATAACTAGGTGAGGATGTCCAACTGATAAATATCTTTGCTTTTCACCTTACCTAACTTTTTTTTTATTCTCTCCCTCTCTTTCTTTCCCTTTCTCTCTCTAAATGATTCTTTCGGGAAGAATCATTGAACATTTCACGGTTATATCAAAAACGAATACTATGATATAGCATTTAACCGACGTAGAAATTATATATTGTTATAAGCTAATGTAAGTTTTTTTGTTTAAAAAATTTTGTAACAAAAAGTCATTAACTATTTAACATATCATTGCTTATATTAATTTATAAATAAAAAGGAATTATAATAATAATAATAATATTAATATTAATAACAATAACAATAATAATAATATTAATAATAAAAATAACAATAATAATAATGCAGGGACGAGAGATAGTTTTTAGATTTTTTGTGATAGTAATAATACGTGATTAACGTAGTTTATTTTTTCTGTTTAGGTACTTCTCACGTCAATGCATAAATATCGTCCCATTCTTTACATATATAAAGTCTATGCAACACCAGCATTATGTTTCGATGGTTCAACAATATTAACTAATCAATATCAGTTGGTTAAAACTTTTACCGATCAAATTATGGAATTTATAGCTGTTACTGCATATCAGAATCAACGAATTATAGAAATGAAAAAGATACACAATAGTTATGCACGTGGACAACGTGGTGGTACCATTAAGAATAGCAATAATTTTACTACTGGTTAGTTTAACTCTAATTTATTGACAATTTTATAATATTTAACAATAATCTTATTTGATAATTGATCACGACGAAATTAGGAATTACATTTATTAAAAGGATATTTGAAAAAAATAAATAAATAAAAATAAATTTATTTACATTAAGATAAAATAGAATATTAATAAATTAACATTTATTAGTATCATTTCATTATAGAGCTCAATGATGCTAATACTACCATTTCATTGACGAGTGACCATTGTCCATTACGCTTAGCTATCAGTCCGTTGAATAAATATAAACCATATTGGACGAACAGATCAAATTATTTTACAAAACAGCGAACAATTCCACATTCAATTCATCTTCTATCTTCTAATTGTAATTCATTAACAACAACAACAACAGCAACCTCTCCGATTAGATCATATTCATTAGATGCTACTAACAATTCCAACTATCCATTATCTAGCTATGCTAATCATCAAAATTCTTTTGCTAATTTCATTTCAAATAATTCTGGAAATATACCTATTTCAAATCACTCAAAATCATCAACAACAATAGAACAACGGAATTTTTTAAATCCATCAGATTTTACAACATTAAATTTACCAAGCATGTGGAATTATAACACTTTATGGCATCATTTTTCACTACCATATCCATCGCTTGTAACAACGCATAATCCTTCTTCTTCCTCTTATATTTAAATAATCTATTGAATTTCTAGTAAAAAAAGATAAATGATATTGAAGCTGAATCATTTATTATTATAATAAATTTACGGGCTTATTATTATTCATACTAATTTATGCATTTAATTAATGATTCATGATTAATATATTTTATTTGTACAATATACTGTAATAAATATACCACTCTGTATTTTGAAATTAAATGATAAAAGGAATGAAAATGATAAGAAAGGTAAAAGGTTTTAACGATTTGTTAAATATTTTTCCCTTCTTTCTTTCTTCCTTCCTCTCTTCTCCTTCCTCTTCCCTTTCTCTCTCTCTCTCTCTCTCTCTCTTTCATTCATAGTATCCTAATGATAAGATGCAAAATGTTAAATATCTGAAAGATTGTATTGCATATGTATGAAATGAAAGAGATATTTGATGTAATCAAAGTGATGAGATGTAAATGTTTCTGGCAAATGACAAATGTTTCTTTCTTTTCATTTTACAATAATTGATAGTAGTACTGTAATCATAGTAATGTTAAGTAACTGTAAGTTGAGATTTCTTTGATTGCTAGGAATGATTAGCGAATTAGATATTTACAACAACTGAAAGTAAGAGATTAAGTCAGAATGATATAACCTAATAACAGTAACGGTAATATATTTATCGGCATCATCAAAATGATCTTTCATTTGAGAGAGGAAGAGAGAGAGAAAGAGGAAGAGAAAGAGAGAGAGGGAAAGAGGAACATTGAACCGTAACCTTTCCTTGCTGTAAAATACTGTGTCATAGTATGAATTTCATTATTATTTCAATGAGATTTTAAGAAAATAAATATTTTCGTACTTTAAAAAAAAAAAAAGAAAAAACCATTATTGGTAAAATTTACAAAGTATCCATTACTTTTATCTATAAATTTGCTATATCATCAATAAAAGTAATTATTTCTCATTCAAAATCCATTGCAAAAAACAGTAGAAATTTTAATTTTATTCCAACTTTTATTATAATACTACTTTAACTCATCCATATTCTTTGATTAACTTCTTTACTCTTCAATAGTAATACTAATACTAACATTTTGTAATATTTCATTTTGGCAAGATGAATAATAACAACAAATTAGATTTGTACGGCGAATAGTTTCAGAACAACAAAAGAAAGGGAATTACCAAAAAGGGGGAAAAGAAGAAAGATGCTTGGTTATCTGGCGAAGAGCTTAATTATATGATGCTTTAATCAACTACCCGAACTGTTGCTTTTGACCTGATACTACTTTTATCGCACCGCTTCGCGCAACTGCTCCTTCTAATGCTTAAGTTTAAGTTACCCATAATCACAAGCAATATGAAAGTTAAGCTTCATTATGAACAAAAGTGAGACCGATATTCACACCAGATACGAACATCGTTGTGCTTCAAAAAGATATATATTATTTAATCAACCCTCGAACTCTAACTATCGCTCCTTTTTAGTATTTGCTATAAATAAAGGGAATTTATACAAGCTTTGAACTATTCTAATAAATGATAACAATAGCATGGTACCATCAATGTACTCACTCCTTGCAATTCATCAATGTACTCACTCCGTTCAAGACCTTATGTATTATAAAAGTTTATGTCATATGACATCTTCAATAAAAATTAGATCCTGTTCAGATTAACTAATATCAGATAGTAAATAACCAAATTCTACGGTCAACGATCCAACGAAACTAACTAACGAACATCGCAGAAAATTATAATTTGTCTTTTCTCCAATGATATTTTTCATATAGTATGGTCTAAAACAAAAAACTTGTCGCTAAACATGTCTTTGATGGTATCCTGATGTTGCTATAAGCATCATTAAAGTTAGAAATTAAAAAAGAAAAAAAAGTTATCAAATACAATAGAAAAATAAAATCACATCAACAGTACAATGCTCTAATCTATAAAGAAATCATAGAGAGATCATAAATTCAACAAATAAGCAAAAGAAGAGCACACTAACACGATTGCAAAAAAGTGAGAATCATAACCTGATAACCACGAATTTTTACGTAATTATACAAATTTTTCATTGAATATAGTAACTCCAATAATTAGGATGAAGTGGGATCACTCTGTTAAGGACTACCATGGTCTTTTACTTTAATAATTTGAGGATGTTAAATTGCAGATAGTTCTGATTAAGTTGAAAATGTTTTATTTTTCTTAATAAAAAATGCACTAGTAAAGAGTTGATGCAATACTGTCAGATACACTGGTTGAACTACTCGAATGGCTATGTTGTTGTAGAAAAAGGCTTGGAATCCAGTACTGGATAGTGTCTGCTGATTGACTATCAATCCAAGCAATTCCTTCTTTCATTAAATGCTCCAGCACTACATCAGCACGCCGCTCATCCCAGCGCAGACGATCCATAATAAGTTCCTGAAAATAATTGAGTTTCAAACAGTCCAAACTGAAATCACTAATTTCGAATCAATGTAGTAAAAAATTTAACCTACCGAGTGACCAAAAGCAAATCTTAGACTAAACTTAGAAAACAAACTTTTCATTCACAAATAAAAGTAGATTCAAATTATGAATTTAGCACAAATATTATTAGTGGTATGAAAACACAACGAATTTCAAGTCATACAAAATCATTTTCACCAAAATTCACTTTTGTTACATAAGCAGCATCCTCAGCCAACTGTAAAACTCGTGAATCATCCATGCTAAGTTCACCAGGCACACTTTGCACCAAAAATCGTCCACTTCCTAACGCAATTAATTCAAAACCATTACCAAGTACTTTCAGTTTGTCAACAGCACGTAAAATGTCGTCTCTAAATTGTCACTAAATTAAACTTTAAAAAGAAATTATTTTGTTAGATTTACAAGTCATATATAACTATGTTTTGAGGAAAATTTACTCCATGTACTGAATGAACCCAACAGGTTTCCATCCCAGTACCTTATTTTTTGATTCTCATTCTTCACCACAATTCAAAATATATAGGGAAACGCATACGTAGTGATAGCATCACGTCGTGTTCGTGCTCGTGATCGCAGCAATCGATTTCTCAGTTCCTCTACCGTCATAACGCCACCATTTATGTGACTGGTTGACATACAAACTTCAACAATTTGAACAGCCAATTCATAATAAAAATCACCGACACCAAGTTTCTCAGCCCAAAAACCTTTACTAGCTGAAAAAAAAAAAAACAATTTTTACTACTTTTCCTAAAGAAAAATAGCCAAAAAATCTAATTCTAGTTTAATGTACTAAACTCTGGCATTCGGACCATACCGTGGGTCGAAAATCATAATTTCCCTTTTCACGTTAATTCTTATGTTTCAGCTTTATTTAAGAAACGTGATCCAAGTTATGAAGATCCCCGTCGAACAGAGACAAAATAATTCTTATTGTCTTGCAAACATATATCACAATTGAACTGTTAAACAAAGCTTAACAGACCTTAAACATTATCGACTATAATTAAGATTAAAAACGCAAAATTTTTACAGTAAAATGCAATGAATAAAATTCCAGTGCAAAAAAAAAAAGAACGTCTTAGCATCATTTCTCTAATTATTTGTTCTCAATAACAGCTCTGTTAACTTACAAGCAAGTGGATCAACACCAACTGACGCACACATATCCTGAAAGTGTCGACGAAAGTGGGAATTTCGACGAATTTCATCGCGATGTTTGTGGGCAAATTCCTCTAATTTTGTTTGAAAAATTGCAAGTTCCTGCGAAAATTGATTTAATTGTTCACTTGCTAGTTCGGAACCTTTTGCTTGAAATTTTGCCTGAAAATACTGGTGTTTCGTTGGTAGCACAAATACTCAACCAATAAATAAAATTCCATAAATCTAGCAATTTACGCTATAACTTATAATAATCAAATAAACAAGATACAAACCTGAAGATCCTTCTTCTGCTGCACTGCACCTACTCCAACACCGCGTCGACGTGTTGCCATTTATTTTGTGACTAGCTATACGCATGAAATAAATAACCAAATGGTATACAAAAAATGAATAAATAATAACCAAGTGCAACAAATTAATTTGCAAATCAAGCAATAAAATACATCGTTTCACGTTAAATATTTATAATTAAAGATATTGAATTAATCAGCATTTCCTAACTAAGCTTCCTAAAACAAAGGGTTGGGATTTGATTAAAAAATTGAAATGTCATACATTTTTTGCTAGTTTCTGTCTAAAAATGAAGGATTGAAGTGATTTAATCATCAGGAACGGAACGTATCACTTAAACAAGAAGGAATAAATAAGTAAAGCCGAAAATCTAATCACATAACTTTGGTATATGAAGCTGCGAAATCATTGTTTTGCTGGTAGTAGCAGCTCAATATTATTTGGCGTTGAAGACAGAGAATGGCAATTTAGCGTGGGGTACGTCGTGGGGTACGTCGTGGGGTACGTCTGATCGATTGCTGTGCAACGTTAAAAACGGAACATAATAGCTGTGTATGTCAAGTGATAAAGAGGGGAGAAAGGCATTGCAAAAATTAGTAAGTAATTCTCGTACGTGTATTGAAAGTATCGTTTTGCCGTGTATTTCCTTCCCTTTGTTTCTCTACCATTAAGCAGTTAAAAAAAAATGGGCAATAAAAGTGATTAATCTTCATTTCAACAGTGCTTTATTTCACAGCAACTAGTTTGTGCTGTATCACTGTTGAAATATTCAATTCCCCAAGTAACAGATATTGATTTTATTTTTTCATCACAACATTCAGGAAACGGATGCATCTAACATTGCGATGTGCATTTCAAGCAGGAAAAAGCTTGCGACATGTGGTAAATGGTCAATGGGTCACTTCGCATTATCTAAAATGTCCAAGAGAAAAGGATGTTCGTTGGGCTAGGATTGATATGAAACGAGAAGTGGAAAGTTATGATATTGTTATTGTGGGTGCTGGACCAGCTGGTTTATCATCGGCTATTCGTTTTAAGCAACTTTCGAAAGAGAAGAATATTGGTTAGTGTTGTTTTAGATAATGTTTCTAGGACTTTTCTTTTTGAACTGTTTTCTTCAAAATTCATTTCCAGGTAAACGACTAAAGAGTTGCATTGGTTTTCTTGAAATTACCTTCCACAACAGTTCTCTCTTTTATCTTCTATCTTACTCACTGTTTCGTACTTACTTTATTTAAATATTGGCACCTTTTAATCGTCATTATTTTCACCATACTTTTACTTCATAGTAATAGTGAGATCTGTTTCGTTTTTGCTTTTGCCATAATTGTTTGAACAAACGTAACCAGTTCATCGGCACCATTGTGCAAGTATCAAAAACTTACCGTATAGGAATATTTCAGTTTTGGATTTTCAGTGTTTGAGTATAGTATTCCAGATATTCGCGTTTGTGTGGTTGAGAAAGGAGCTGAAGTTGGTGCGCACACATTATCTGGTGCAGTGATTGATATTCGAGCCTTAAATGAACTTTTTCCGAATTGGAAAGAAATGGGTGCTCCTGTCTACCAGAAAGTTACTGTAAGTACTATTTTGTTTACAACCATCTCTTTTCAATATATCCTTATTTTTTCGGAAAAATTTACATCCGTTTTCCAATTTTTATAGTCTCAGTCGATGGCGATTTTGACAAGAAATGGTCGATATGGATTACCTTTTGTTCGCGGAAGTCCACTTGATAATATAGGGAACTATATTGTCAGGTAAGTTATGTTTATTTGTAATTACTTTTCAAATTTCGATTGTCTGAGACATAAAATGAACGTGCACTTGAATTTATTTGAAATATAGGTTAGGCCATCTGGTGAAATGGCTTGGCGAAAGAGCAATAGAATTGGGAGTAGAAATTTATCCGGGAATAGCGGCTCAGGAAATTCTATTTCATGAAGATGAAAGTGTAAAGGGCGTTGCAACAGCTGACGTTGGAATAATGAAGGATGGTGCACCAAAGGTTTTTTGAATCCTTTATATTGCTGATTGTTTATAATTACTTGACTCTCAGCGAAGATCATAGATGGTAAAGAATTTGGAATCTGAAATGTGTTTTTATAAAATATACTAAGTGAACAACTGCAATATTAGGTTTATTAAATAATTAAAAACAAAAAACTTATAACAAGATTATTCGTGTTTTGTATTTAAGTCATTCCATCGTTTTTAGAAAAATTTTCAACGGGGCATGGAATTGCAAGCAAAATGTACAATATTTGCTGAAGGTTGCCGTGGACATCTTTCCAATTTTATAATGGAAAAGGTAAGTTTTTTCTGTAATCCTGAGTTAAAACTACAGTTTAGTCAAATACGTCAAAGCATTTTTTTTTTTTTTTTTTCAATCCTAGTACCGCTTGCAAGAAGAATGCGATCCAATGACTTATGGTCTTGGTTTCAAAGAATTATGGTTAATAGATAAATCAAAGCACACTCCTGGCTATGTGGAACATACCATCGGATATCCACTGGTGGGTTTGAATTTTTATTCAAACATTTTTGTTGTTAAAGATATTTTACGAACTAACTTAAAAATAGTGATTTATACAATGTTTTCTAGGATCTTCAAAGCCATGGTGGATCGTTCATGTATCACATCGAAGACAATGGTCAGCCTCTTGTTTCTCTCGGCCTTATAATTGGTCTAGATTACAAGAATCCTCATACAAATTTGTATCAGGTAAGTCCATTTCATGAAATGAATGAAGATTTGGTAAACGATAGGTTATTCGGTTATTATTGTGATCTCAAATTTTTTTTTTTAAATTTTTTAATTTTAAAATTTACTCCTTCTTTCTTCTTGAAAATTTGCTTTTAGGAATTCCAGTTGTTCAAGTCTCATCCATCCATTCGTCATTATCTCGAAGGTGGGGAGCGAATTGCATATGGTGCTAGAACAGTGAATGAAGGAGGATATCAAACAGTACCTCAGCTAACTGTGCCTGGTGGATGTTTGGTTGGTTGTGCAGCAGGGCTGATGAATCCAGCAAAGATTAAAGGTGTTCATAATGCCATGAAAAGTGGTATGATCGCAGCGGAAGCAATATTCGAGGATCTAGGTCCACACACACGAAGTAAAGCCTATTCGATTATTTGTCCCAAACATTACAACAACAATGAATTTTAATTTCATTTGTTTATTTTTACTTTTTTTTTTTTCCGAGATTTCAGCAGTAATTCCGGAAGATTTCGAGCCAGAACTATACAAAAGCTACGTAATTAAAGAAATGCAACGAATGCGCAATGTTCGTCCGTCTTTCAGTAGTCGTTTCGGATGGATAGTTGGCTTACCTTATACTGCATTTTTTTATATGTTACTACGTGGAAATGAACCATGGACCTTCAAAAATAAAATTGAAGACTGGTTTCAGACAGATTCAGCGTGGAAAGTAAGTATTTTGCAGCAATTAATATTTCAAGATTCAAAATGTTACTTTTAAATCAAAAATCAATTAGTTGACTTTCACACACCGTATAGACTTCTATTTGATATTTGTTCCATCCGTCCTATGATGCGAGTGTCAAATTATAGTAAATTCTGTGATACTATTTACAATATTATTACTCAAAATTTGAAATTAGTAGAGTTAAGAACACTTTTAATTGTCTCTTTGATGCATTTGTGATCACAGATTCAAATTTTTATAATAATGGTCTGAGTTAAGAAGTTTATTTTTCTTTTTTTGAATACTTTGTAACTTGATTCATATCTCCTAGAGAATTATTTATATAATTATGTAGATCTGGTTCATGGTCGTTTTACTTGCAGTCGAAATCTATTAACTACCCGAAACCTGACGGCAAAGTGACATTTGATATTCTGTCTTCAGTGGCTTTGACTGGCACAAATCATGAAGAAAATCAGCCTTCTCATCTGTTATTGAGAAATGATGCCGATGCTGAGTTAACTACATGGCGTAGGTTTGCTGGCATGACTGAACGGTTCTGTCCGGCAGGTATGCAAATTCGTTGATTTGTTAGTGTAATCTTTAATTATACTGTTGGCTTTTTTCTAGCGAAACACGATATTAATTATGTTTAAAATCAAAAAGATATTAAATAATACATAATTCTAGAAAAATGAAAGATATTAAATAATAATATATATATTATATAATAATAAGGATATTAAATAATATATAATTCTAGAAAAATGAAAGATATTAAATAATAATATATTATATAATAATAAGGATATTAAATAATATATAATTCTAGAAAAAAAAAATGTCTTATATTTTACTATTTTTAGGACCTTAATAGTTGGTGTAGAATTTTTGTAATTTTAATAATTATAATTCATGCTGTTCTCATTTTCGATTATACAGATTCTGGACATCAGTAGTGAAAATATATAAACTTTTGAAGTTTCTTTAGTGGCTGATTCAATATGTTCTGATTAAAGGATAGTGCCCTAATAATGATGGAATTATTGTGGTCTTTGCAAATATTTATTTTAACACTATTGCAATGTTTAGGTGTTTATGAATATGTGCCATGCGAAACTAAAGTCGATACAAGAAGGCTTCAAATAAATTTCCAGAATTGTATTCACTGTAAAACATGTGATATCAAGGAACCACGCAATAATATTCAATGGGTTGCACCAGAAGGTAAATTTGTCGATATTAAGTCCTCGTATTCTCTTAGTCTAAAAAATTTTGCAGCGTAGCATCTGAAAGTCTGAAAGTGCTTAATACACAACAATAAAGGCATTTAAATTCATCCATAATGAAATTAAATGTGTTTGTACATTATTTCTCATTTTTTGCAATAATGCATAGAATCGTACAAATATATTTGTAATGCGCTATTAACGTAGATTAATTTGTAATAAATCTTATATATCAATATAGAAATAAGAATGATGATATTACACAAAAACACTCCTAAAACTAATTGAAATGAAAGTTCCTCAAGCGATGAGTAGTGTATTAACTTCTTTTCAATCTCTTCCTTTGAGTCTTTTGAAATAAAATGCTTAACTTGTAATTTACCATTAATTATTAGTGAATGTTTCATGATAGATGCTATAAAGATCACATATATCTGAGAAAAATATTTAAATCTTTTGAGTTACATATGGATAGTAGATAGTGCTTATCCATAAAAATGACAATTCTTCATTCTATGAAAACTAATTACATTTTTAGGAAATGAAGGTTGAAGAAATCTCTTTTACAACTTGTTTTTTGTCTTGTACATGATCTTCACTTTTTTATAAACACATTTACAAGATAAGCAAAATTATTTCTTTCCGATCTTCAGGAGGCAATGGTCCGAAGTACAATGGGATGTAATGGTCAGAATTACTGAGATATCCTGACTAAAATACTTCAGTTTTATTTTGAGAAATTTTGAATACAATTTTAACGATCAATTTGTATCCCGGTGCTTTTGCTGCTTTTAGGTTAAATTTGATTCAGTATGATATATTTTGTTATTTCTTATTGATGCGGTCTTTCATTACCGAACTTTGTTGTCTTTTAGTTATTTCTCTTTTTATGTAGTATATAGAAGACTTCTGATTACGTTTAGTCTGTAAATCTCTTCGAGACGAGTGCCTTTAAATCGTTGCTTCAAATTTAGCAGTTGTCCTGTAGAAATAAAATTAGACGTAATTTTATGATTTGGAAGATAATAGCAGGAAATAGTGGAATATCCTTACGGAAGTCATGTTTTTGCTCTGATTAGCATTTCACTGTCTAAATTGCTGGTATTAAACTTACTGTAACTTTAAACTTATATATGATAATTGCTTGCATTATGGAATTTTCTTATTTATTGATTTGAACTTTGTATTCTGGTAAGCTTCAAGCATGATTTCTATTGTATTTTCAAATTACTTTGTGCAAATTGTCTCGGAAGATTAAAACTTGTTCATTTGTCTCTAAAAGCATAATAGGGATGATGAATTATTTATTAGCAAACAGGATAGCAGATTTAAGAACAGTAAGAAATATTAGATTGCCCATTTCTTTTAAACAGATCTTAATTAATTATCGATGACGATCAACTAACCTAGCGCTGTTTAGTTTAATATATCAAACAATGCTTTTAGATTCAAAATTCGGTGTGATTTAAGTAGCTTATTTCAAATGTACACCGAAGAAGTTAGGAATTAGCTAACTATTAGTTTTTGCAGTGTATGCAATTGATAATCTTTTTCATTTAAATTTCTGAAAACATTATTATTATTGAAGATTTATGGTTATCTATGTTATTGATTCTGAGGAGCTATCTTGCTAGCAAATTAAAAAAAAAATGGCATGGAATAGCTGGAGAAAGTTATTATTTTTATTAATTATTATTAATAATAATCATTATTATTGGTAGTGATGTTAAGATAGACTTGCTCTTCAAATATAATTAATTATGACTGATAGTGAATAACAGATGTGTAATATCGTTATAACTAATTGAAACTAGTTTAAGAGAGGTTGATTGGCTGACACTCTTTAATTTAACCATGAAAAAAATAAAGAAACTGAAAATAATATTTCATTGTTATGTCTCTATGTCTTTATCATTTTCATTTAAAATAATTTGTAAAATTTCATAAAGAATAAAAAGATTAGACATAGTTTAATTAAAATACGATCAGTGATCATTTACTAAATTATTAGTGCGACTAAATAACGAATGCTTAAAATGACGTAACAGCATCTTTTCTTTACATTTCTTTGATTTGTTTTATTAAATAAAATTAATTTAATGCTTCCTTCCATTAATATGCAATGGAAAAATTCTATTATTAATTGTTGTTGACATATATAAATGAGGTTGAACAATTTACCTAACTAATTGATACTTTAGGCTTGAGAGAGTAAATTTGGCATCTTATTATTCTTAATTTTGGACTATAATTTGTTTACTCTTTTTGCCAAAAGCTAAGTAAAACTATTAAGTAATTAAATAATTATAAAAGAATCAAAAAAATAAAACTTTTGATTCTTCCATAATTCAGTAAATAGTTGTAAACGTATGTTAGAGATTTAAATTGATAAATAATATCTAGTCATTCTCTTTAAAAGTTTTAATTTTCAATTGATCTTTGAGACAAAATGATTGAAAAAGAAAAAATAGAAGAAGAAGAAACAAAAATATTCTAGAAATAACTAATCATGATTTAAAATATGATTGCTATTGCTATTTCGTATTAAATTACTGATTTGATTGACAATGTAAATACAATGATATAGCTTCAGTGTTGCTAATTTTTGCTGAATAAAATTTTAATCAAATATTAAAATTCATTTTTAAATTCTTTAAATTCAAAGGTTTTAAAGTATGAACTTAGAATGATATGGTCTATTAATTGATTTATAAAATAAATTATAAAGCTTTTAAGGATTAATTTCGGAATTTCACTCAAAAAGCTGTTGCGTTTTCTCTTTTTTTTTCTGTCCAATCTTTTATTCAAGTCTAATTGAATGAAAAAGAAGTATTTAAGATAAATTAAATAAATTTCAAAATTGGCTATCTTTTCTTGGCCTAATTTCAACTGATAACATTTGTGGCAAAGAAAATTTTTTACTGTTCTATCATAATTTGAAATGTATACTAGAAAAGTGATTAGCTGAATGAAAAAAATTCCCATCAGCTAAATTTAAATCGTTTATTAATTATTTTTTGAAGAATTAAATTTTCATTAATCAATAAGACTACAATTTTTGAAAAAAAAGCAGTACGGCAAATTATTTTTAATAGTATTGAAATAAAAGATATAACTTATTATTGCAAATGTTACACTATCATATGTTCAGGTGGTATCGACTTCTATTTTATTTTATTTTAATTTTATTTATTTATTTTTTTTTTTTGTTTATGTGTAAAATATTTTTTGTAATCATGGATTTTTCAGATTTCAGCTACTTTTTTTTTGTACTCTTTTCATCATTTTGTTTTTTTTTTTTTCATCTCATTATTTTACTAAATTTCGTTCAATTATTAAATATTTAGAAAATCTGTTGAGCTTTTCCAAAATCATTAGAATCTTAATAGCAATTTTTAATATGTTCAAACTAAATTTAATTTTAGCTAAACACATGGTATCATTGAAATGTTAGTTTTAAAAGCATGAATAATTCTACAGCTATTTTGTTTCAATTGTAAGTTATGTCTTCAATCACATTTCTTATTATGAGTAAATTTAAATTTATTACTGCGCTATTGCAAATTCATTACGATAAGCTAACAGTTAATTAACATCATTTTATTAGAGAAAATAGGAGGTGACAAAGGCAAATCTTTTAAATTACTCACATTAAAACCACTATTAATTGAAAGTTTTATTAATTTTGCAGATGAATTTTTGCGCAAAACTTAATTCAAAAGCGAATTTTAATATTTAAACTATAAAATGACCACTCTATATATGACCAGCTCTGGGACAATGCATATAGCATAATCAATTAAGTTCAAAAAATTGCTATTTTTAGTAGTTTTGGCACTTAATTAAAATTAAAATTGATAATCTAGAATCAATTTTCTTGTCTAATATGCAAAAACCATTACAAATTTTGAAATTTTTAAAAAATTCAAAATTTAAATTTGAAATAAAATTTAATTTTTATTCCTTAAAATGAATTAAAACCCTGATTAATTGAAAGTTTTATTAATTTCGCTGATGAAGTTTTGCGCAAAACTTAATTACAAAAGCCTATTTTAATATTTAAACTATAAAATGTTTGGTTACAAACAAATTTAAATAAATCGCTGACTTTGTGAATAATTATTGAGATAATTGCTGTTGTGCTAATAATTTTAATTATGCTATGTCTCATTAATAATATTACTTTTTATAACAACACTATTATTGTTATTATTATATTTATATTATTATTATTGTATTTATCCTGGTACTATAATTCCTTTTTAAATTATCAAAATTAATGAAAAGTTGAAAAAAATTTGCTATTACTATTCATTTTTTGAATTATTTCTAAAATTTTACATATTATGCTACTTCACTAATGATGTTACCCAACACATTAAACTGATTATAATATTGATTGATGAAAATAAATTTAAAGATTGTTTGTCATTTTTAATGACAATATTAGGAAATATTTGGAAAAGAATATAAAATATTTGAATAATAGTAATATTTACAATGTACAATAAAAAATGCATGGAAATGAATAGCATTAATAAATGTGAGAAATACAATAACCAAGATAAGAAATTTTCTCAGAATATATTAAGCATTTGAGAAAGACAAAATTATCCGCGTCTAATAGAAATGGAAGAAAAGCAATATTATGCATGTTGAATTTAAGTCATTTAATTAATTAATTAAAATTAATTAAAAAGTAATACTATGCAAAAATTCTTTTATTAGCTTTTTTATAAATGTATGCTTTTATATTACAAATAGCACTTTCCGCGTTCAAATATTCAACTTCGAATGTTTACATCTCGCTTTCAATCAAAAATTTTGTGCCATTTCTATGTAATCAAAAATCACAGTGTTAAAGTGAAAATATAAACTGACTGGTGTATTCTGATAATAACACCGAATAGGTTGTTTCGTTTTTGATTTGTACAGGTGCACACCTTTTCGAGTATTTCCTGAATTACATCTGAGTTGTGAATCTCTCAGATATTGTCACGTTGTACCAAGAAAGTGAGTAATTAATTGAAGTTCTTCCTCTCGGAACGAACTGAACTACTACGGTCACGGATGTTTCGTAATACACTTTTACGTGTGTTCCATTTCAGATTAATAAGCATTTATATTATTTGGCAGATAAATAATGCAAGTTAAAAGCTGTTAGTATCATGGAACTTGGGGTTAGCGATATTTATAGCTTAAAGTCGAATTGGATTTTAGTATGCTCAAGTACTTACTTTGTTTGTTATTATAGTTATTATAGAGGATTTATTGTAATGATTTTATTGCTGGCAATCACAATATATATGTATTTATCTATAGCAACAATACAGTGATAATTTCGTAAAGTACGAATAAGATGAATAACTTGATGTGGCACTTTAAATTAAAATGTGTTGTGAATTCTGAGAATTCATGTAGATTTGTGGGGAGAGGTTAGGATAGTGGAAACCTTTATTGGTAACTAAAATATAATATAGTAGTAATGAATACATACAGAAATAATGAATACAGAAATTAATGAATACATGAATACAGAATAATGAATACAGATAAATAATGAATACATAATGAATACAGAAATTAAGTATAAGTAGAAGAATAGAGAAGGATAATTCGTGTAGAGTGGAGCTTTGCAGTATGTAAAAGTTATATAAAGAGGGGAAGAGAGAGATGTATGGAAGGAAGTCATTCGTCTTATTTTTTTTCTTATCTTTCTTCGTCTTATCTCTTCAATTATTCCCTCCGATTACGACTGTCTAATCAATATGTTTTTAGCTAATTTATAATCATCCGTTATAAGTTGATCCTGTATCGTTGGTCAGGATTGTAACCATTGAATTTCTCCCTTATTGTTTTTTTTTTTTTTTTATGAATTTAAGAATCCATGCTGATATTCTTACTCTTACTAACCTTACTAATCTTACACTTACTAAAACGACTAGCGCCTACAACTTTGAAATTTCCTTTCATAACAGTTCCCTTAGTAACTATTGCGACAAAAATTCCGCTTTTTTCTTCATGTCCAAAATTTCCATCGAAGTTATATTCCAACTACGACCAGTTGTTCTCCTATTTTCTCAGCCATGATGGTTCTTTCCACCATATTTCTTAATTCAGTTTGGTCGGCGAGTTCTGGATCCAATGTTATACATATTTAGATTCCGACCATAACCATAATGAAACAATGGTGCATTTTCGAGTTCAAACTGATTTAATACAAATTGGGTAGCTCATATTAATTCCAGTTGGTGTATAATGATACCTTTAACTGATACGATTTGAGACTTAGCAAATATCAAGAATGTTTTAATTCCTTGAGTGTTTATATATTGCTGCCATGCTTGATGCATCTGTGAAGACATGAAGTTGTGTTTACTCTGAAAAGGGTGTGTCACAAATCTTGGTAGCTCCTTTATATCTACTGAACCATTCTCTTATTAAAGATTCTCATATTTCCTTATCTTTTTTGTTTATAGGCTGATGCCAGGCGTTGTTTTTTCTCCATAAAATCTGAAGAATTTGAATTGTATCATAGATGGAATAAGGGATCCTATTGGATCACATTGAGATGCTACGATTTGTAAAACTGTCCTTTTTATTAAGTTTTTATTGTTCCAAGATTTTAGGGTGATTTAACCTTTTGGGGATTCGATCGTGCTCAGTAATGATTTTATTGAATTCATTGAATTAAAAGATTTTATTGAATTAAAAGAAATTCTCGAGTGTTCATTGAGGCCTCTCTGAAGATACATTTGGTTTCATCGCAAGGTTTGAGTAATTCTTGAGTTCCCTTAGCTGGTAATTTATAAAATAGTCACATTCATATATAGTATTAACATACAGCTCCATTAATACAGCAGCGTTCAGATTTCTTCATATACTTTTCCATCTCACATAACTGAAATAAACGGAATTTTAACAATCGAAATTTTATTTAAATTGACTGGAAGCATTACACTGATAGTGATACATTGAACAAAAGTCGAATAATACTTTTCAGGAAAACAAAAGTTTATCAAAAATTACTTAGAACTTTAGCAAAGATTCAATATAAGGCTCAATTAAATTGTAAAATTTGTGCACCATTCTGTTGATAGCACCAGAAATGCCATGCAGCCTCTCATTCTTGCGCACCTTATCGTATTTCTTCTGAAGTATTCGCGAATTGTTGATTGCTTTCTGTTACGACTAGAATGAACACTTTAGGTGTCACCTTCCTAAAAAAGACCAAAAGAAATGAAAAGTTTGCTGATTTGGCTTAATAGAGAAAATAACTGCTTCTTTTCATTGCTTTTTCTGCATCGCACCATTTACTGAATTTTGTATTACTGTACAACGATCACGGATATTTCTTAACATATTTCCATGTGCATTAATTTCAAATTCACAAACATATTTAAATTATCAATAGACTATCGAAATTAACGATGAGCTCCGATGCAACCCTTCAAGCATTCAATTCATACTCAACATTGAAAAATTTTCCTCAGCGTTTGCACTGAGGCTGAGGTCGATGTGTTTTCTGACATGGATGTTTGCAAAACATTTTTTTGCACATTTCATTTCTGGTTGACAAAAGGATTTAAAATGTTGTCAAATTTACGTAACAAGACCTGCGGTTCAGCGCCTCTTGCGAATGTTGAAAGAATTTTGCCACAATTTTTGTACTGAGGTTTAAACCTGTGGGTTCCCAAATGCCTACATAGTGATAACTTGTGCCGGATAATTTACATTCATAAAAAAAAAGGTTTTTTGAGATGTGTATTGTTATATGTTCTTTTTATGCGTTATGTATTCGTCGTAATTCATCGCTTTGACAGCACCCCAACATAACTCGCAATTTTCCTTATCTGAAAAGTTCCCTACGTAGTAAACCTGTCGTTATTCAAATAGCAAAAATTGCAAAACAAATAATTTAAAATTTTTTGAAGCAAAGTCAATATTTGAATCACAGCTTTTGTCTCCACTTCGAATGGATTAATTTTCGAATATTAAATTAATATTCGAATGGAAGTTTTGATTTTAGATTCATTAGCTATTAGTTTAGCAGGAAAATAGAATGAAAGGGAAAAAGTATGAATAATGATATGAATGAAACATTAAAAACCACTTGGACCTTTGGTCGTTTAATTCCAACCAATCTGAGATAAAAACTTTTATTCGAATATTTCTGTCATTTCAACAATTCAGTATTTCATCTTGCTCTTCATTTCAATGACACAAATCATTTGGTTCAGCTTTCTGCTTTGGATCGCTTCGGCTGAGAATGGAAGTATCTCTCTACTAAACCTCGATATCGATGATAATATATGGGATGACTGTAGCAATGGGTACTTCTCAAATAGTTTCAATATCCTTGATAACAGCAATTTGGAATCGATTCTGGGTTCAGATATGGATGCTCATAACAGCAAACTAGGAAATTCTGCTGACAATTTGCAGGATAGCATTTCATCTGATTTTTCGCACCTCGATTTTACTGATTTGGAGAAAACTAAACATAGAAGCAATGAGGATTCCAAAATCGAAACCGTTCCAATCACAACAGGAAATTATCAGTTGCGAGAATTGCCGAGAACAGATGGCAAGAATATGAACAGTAGCAATTCGATAAACACTGAGAAATCCGAAATAAAAACTGATCTCGTTACTGAAAAAAACTTGGACTTATTTGTTCTGCAAAATCCTACCATTACAGGTAACATTAATTTAATATACGCTCACAATTTAATTTCATAATCAGTTCTCAAATTACATTAAATAATTCCAAACGAAGTAATGGAATGCGTTAATTGCAAAATACACATGTTGTGGCGCTTTTCAGATGAAGAAAATTACAAGTGTCCCCATATCGGATGTACTATGAAAACGAAAAGTCGTAAGAAATACATAGCTCACAGGAAAACACACCCCGAACCCTTTATTTATGAATGCAAAGTGTCCGGTTGTGGGTTAACATTCAATAATCCATCATCATTCTACAGTCATCAGCAAACACACGCACCCAGGACTGAGTGCGAAAACTGTGGCAAAATTTTCAGCTGTAAGAATAATCTGAGCACTCACAGGAAGTACTGCACGAAAATCATACGTTAGTTTTTCATATTTAACAAGATTTAAACACGTTTAGCTGTCAGAAATGAAATGCACGTACTGAGAAACAATGTGCTGAGAAACATCCGTTATATAGGAAAAAAACAGAAAAGAATCAAGAAGTTCCTGATTTTATCGTCACAGAAAATTTTCAATTAATTATTTCTTTAAACGCATAAAAAAAAAAACAAAGTAAAAAACTATAACCTAAGTCATTTGAAGTAAATTATCACAGACATTTTTATGATCAGTTTCCAAACTGTGTAAATTAATTAACAACTGGTATGATAGAATTGTAAAAACAAATGTTATACGAGAATTTTTCAGATGAGGAAAATCACGAGTGTCCCCATGTCGGATGTAGTATGAAAACGAAGAGTCGCAAAGAATACATAGCTCACATTAAAACGCATCCCAAACCTTTTATTTATGAATGCAAAGTGTCTGGTTGTGAGTTAACATTTAATCACCAATCATCGTTGTTCAGTCATCGGCAAACACACAAACCTAAGCCTGAATGCGAAAACTGTGGCAGAATTTTCAGCTGTAAGAATAATCTGAACTGTCACAGGAAACATTGTACGAAAACTCCATGTTAGTTCCGCAAATTTAGCAAAATTTTAAACAAAGAAATAGATTATTCTCGTTTATGTTCAACATAAAAAATGATAAGCAGTACTTGTTCTAAGAATCCAATAAATTTAGAAGTTACTTTCCTAAGAGGTTTTCTGGTTTTACGTGAAATTGTGGACATAAACAGTAAAGAATGGAGAACTTGATCTGATCTTATCGTAGCGGAAAATTTACAATTACATTTTTTGTTTAAATACATGAAGAAACAAGTAAAGATTGTAACCTAAGTTATTTGAAGTATATTATGACAGACATTTTTATGATCAGTTTCCAAACTGTGTAAATTAATTAACAACTGGTATGATAGAATTGTAAAAACAAATGTTATACGAGAATTTTTCAGATGAGGAAAATCACGAGTGTCCCCATGTCGGATGTAGTATGAAAACGAAGAGTCGCAAAGAATACATAGCTCACATTAAAACGCATCCCAAACCTTTTATTTATGAATGCAAAGTGTCTGGTTGTGAGTTAACATTTAATCACCAATCATCGTTGTTCAGTCATCGGCAAACACACAAACCTAAGCCTGAATGCGAAAACTGTGGCAGAATTTTCAGCTGTAAGAATAATCTGAACTGTCACAGGAAACATTGTACGAAAACTCCATGTTAGTTCCGCAAATTTAGCAAAATTTTAAACAAAGAAATAGATTATTCTCGTTTATGTTCAACATAAAAAATGATAAGCAGTACTTGTTCTAAGAATCCAATAAATTTAGAAGTTACTTTCCTAAGAGGTTTTCTGGTTTTACGTGAAATTGTGGACATAAACAGTAAAGAATGGAGAACTTGATCTGATCTTATCGTAGCGGAAAATTTACAATTACATTTTTTGTTTAAATACATGAAGAAACAAGTAAAGATTGTAACCTAAGTTATTTGAAGTATATTATGACAGACATTTTTATGATTAGTTCCAAACTGCGTAAATTAATTAATAATTAGTATGATAAAACTGTAAAAACAATGTTATAAGGTAAATTCAGATAAGAAAAATTATGAGTGTCCCCATGTCGGATGTACAATGAAAACAAAGAATCGCAAGGAATACGTAACTCACAAGAAAACGCATCCCAAACCTTTTATTTATGAATGCAAAGTGTTCGGTTGCGGACGAACATTCGATAATGCAGCATCATTGTGCACACACATGCAAACACACCGACCTAAACTTCAGTGCAGAGACTGTGGCAAATTCTTTACTTATATGAATAATTTGTACACTCACAGGAAGAGTTGCGCGGAAGTTCCACGTTAGTTTCACAAATTTGGCAAAATTTTAAACACTTTTGTTTACCTGAAGTGGAATACACAGCTAAGAAATACAAAAATAAACAGGTATTTCGATATTTATTCAATATCAACAGAAAAAACCTAGTTGGTTTAACATAAGAAACGACAACCAGTTAGTAACAACTACTGCTGTATGAATGACCCCATAGATTTACTACAAATTGGTATGACAAAACCGAAAAAATAAACATAAGGGAGCTTTTCAGATAAGGAAAATTACGAGTGTCCTTATGTTGGGTGTACTGTGAAAATGAATAATTACAGTCAATATATGGCTCACAGGAAAACGCATCCTGAACCTTTCATTTATGAATGTAAAGTATCCGGCTGTAAGAGAACATTCAACCACAAATCATCATTCTCTTTCCATCAGAGAACCCACAAGCCTAAACTTCAATGCGAAAATTGTGGCAAATTTTTCGGCTCTGAGATTTATTTCAACACTCACAAGAAACGCTGCATTGCAGATACTGTTAGTTCTGTAAATTTAGCAAAATCCTAAGCACTTTGTCAACCGAAAGTGAAATGTGAGCAAAAATGAGTTGCGAAACATTCGTGTCCGTGGTATAATAAAATAAAATTCTTTTGCACGATGCACAAAGACATATTAAAATGCATTTCATTGGTTGTTCCTACAAGAAACTGTTTAGTTCTTTGAAAATATTCATTGTAGGAGTGAAAAAAGAGATACACAATTCTGGCATAAATTAGGAGTGACATAGAAAGGTACTGTCATCAACATGCTGCGGACAATTTTTTGATGACATTGTGATATTTATCTTTACTTTTTTTTTAACCTATATTTCATTGGAAACAGCATGTTTTAACAGAGATACGTAAAGATTCAAGGTTGAATATTCGAAAATATAGAAACAATTTGAGCATTGCTTTTTTTAGCCAAAAAATATTTTTTTAAAGCTGGGGTCATTTTCATTGAACAAAGATTATTTAAATCTGAAAGAGAAACGAAACTGATGTTTGTTTCATACTCCGCAAATTTATTCAGATCCTGCCTAGTAATCCGTAAATGCTGAATATTTAAATTTCTAATTCAGTTCATTTGCAACTTTGAGACCTATCAAACCTTTGATTTCAGCGATTACATTTAAATGTATAATTTTCTTTCATTAAACTATGAATACTAAAATGTCTCGCAGAGATAAAATACAATGTCATTAGCAGAAACAGAAAAAGTTTCAAGTAATTTTCTTATCGACACTTCTTATTTACTTGTAATTTGCAATGTTTCATTTTTTGAGGCTTTGTAAGATTTTTAAATTTCATCGGCAACTATTGTTATGTATTTCAGTGATCTCTTTGTTTCAGTCGTATGCGTTCGATTAATTTTACTATTTTGGCCTTTAATATTTTGCTCAGAAAAGCTAATTATACGTCCATTTACAGGAACATATAATGTTTGTTCCCTTAAATTTGATGTTTGTTGTTGAAAGAATTGAAATTTTTTATCATCAACATTTTCAAAGCCAAATTATTTTCATTTCAATGCAATCGATTCTATTTTATTTTCTTAATCATCTAACGAATTGATAAAAAAATATAACAAATATTTGCTGCATGATTAATTAACTCTTTGATTAAATGATATTGTGAGATGCATTTTCACCCAAAAGATGCCGCTGCTACTCAAAATAGAATATCCGTGGAGTTGCAATATCTGGTGGTATCAGAGCTTGTATCACCGATACAATCATAATAGCACTGACATACAACTCTATTGATATATAGCAACGCCCGGATTGTTTCATATATTTTTGAGAGTTCCACAAAACTGAAATAAACGGAATTTTAACAATCGAAACAATCGAAATTTTTATTTAAATTGACTGGAAGCATTACACTGATAGTGATACATTGAACAAAAGTCGAATAATACCTTTCAGGAAAACAAAAGTTTATCAAAAATTACTTAGAACTTTAGCAAAGATTCAATATAAGGCTCAATTAAATTGTAAAATTTGTGCACCATTCTGTTGATAGCACCAGAAATGCCATGCAGCCTCTCATTCTTGCGCACCTTATCGTATTTCTTCTGAAGTATTCGCGAATTGTTGATTGCTTTCTGTTACGACTAGAATGAACACTTTAGGTGTCACCTTCCTAAAAAAGACCAAAAGAAATGAAAAGTTTGCTGATTTGGCTTAATAGAGAAAATAACTGCTTCTTTTCATTGCTTTTTCTGCATCGCACCATTTACTGAATTTTGTATTACTGTACAACGATCACGGATATTTCTTAACATATTTCCATGTGCATTAATTTCAAATTCACAAACATATTTAAATTATCAATAGACTATCGAAATTAACGATGAGCTCCGATGCAACCCTTCAAGCATTCAATTCATACTCAACATTGAAAAATTTTCCTCAGCGTTTGCACTGAGGCTGAGGTCGATGTGTTTTCTGACATGGATGTTTGCAAAACATTTTTTTGCACATTTCATTTCTGGTTGACAAAAGGATTTAAAATGTTGCCTATGTTATCAAAATAGTCTCATCAGATAGTATTTAAACTAACTTTAATCACGTTTTTTACTAAGTTTTGCATATATTTACAGAAGACGTAATTATAAATCTTGCATTATGGTGAGATCAATTTAAGTCCCTTATTTTTCATTACTTACGTCTGCAGTTTTCCAAAATACAGTAGAGAAAAAAGCCTTCTAAAAAAAAAATTTCTTTTCAATTTATTGGACTATTAGAATAGCATAAGTTATTGCATGTTAATTACTTATTTTTCTATATTCAGTGTGAGCGATATGGATCTCTTTATTGAATTTGGTAAAATATTGTAAATATTAAATAAAAAATGAAATAAAAAAAAGATCATATCAAAACAAATGGTTTGGTGTAGCTTGGCCTGATAAAGAAAATGAAATGCATTTCTTTGGCAAATTACAGCTACAGATGTTGTCGCGAAACTCAAAATAAGTCTCGCTTACCTGCAGATAACCTACAAAATATAGACTGTATTAATCTGTATTAATCTATTTTGTCTTAATTGAACATCTTTCAAAGAAATATAAAATCACATTTAAGCCATCATTATTCATTCCAACATTCATCCTCCTATTGTTGTTGAACTTATCTGCTTATCAAAAATTTTTAACTGCTAGCAAAGATTATGTGCCTTGTTTAATACATTAAAAACTATTCCTTTTTTCCAAATCAAATTTGCTTGCAATATCGAAATACTATAAAAGTTTTCTAATCTAACAGTCATTCTTTGACAATATAAAAACCTGTCTCCCATTATATAAAGAATTAAGATTATCGGATAAATTTATTCATTTAGTCATTTTCATCTCATTCGTAAAGTCACAAAGAATAAATAACTCACAGGAAAACACACCTCAAACTCACAGTTCATATAATTCCTTTAAATTCCCCATCAACTTATTCATCTTCATTTTATTCGTAGACACTTTACAAATTAATAAGGTATTGTTGCTATTATAGATTAATACTTTTGCACATTGGTTGCTAGCGAATAAAATCGTTACAGACCTTCCACTCAATGCGTTCAATGCATTCGTTTATATCAGTTATAATAATAGTTGTTCTAACGAATTAAACTGAATTCAAGCTAACAAAAATCAGAATCTCTATTGTTTATGCAAGTAAAAAATGAATTTTAGAATTTATTTACTTGTTTCAAATTCCAAAAACTCTTACAAATTGCAGGATTTCCATAGTAAAAAAAGAAAATTAAAAAAAAAAATTAATTTTAATTCTAAGAATGAATTAAAACTGTGACTCGTTGAAATTTTAATAAATTTCGCTAATGAAATATTGTCCAAAACTTAATTATTAAAGTTTTTTTTATTACTTAAACTATCAGATGACCAGCCCCGGTGCAATGCATATAAAATAATCAATTAAATTGAAAGTACATATTTTTTTTAATGAATTGCTATTATTAGTTGTTTAGCACTTAATTTAAATTAAATTTGGCAGTAGTAGAATTTATTTCCTTGTTTAATATGCAAAACTCTTACAAATTGTAGGATTTTCATTAAAATGATAATTTAGATTTGAAATAAAAATTAATTTTAATTGTAAAAATGAATTAAAACTATGACTAGTTGATGGTCTTAAAGAAACTATTGACGGAAGTTACAATGTGGAGTCTCTCGGAAAGTAAACTTTTCTTTCGCTCTTTGCCGATTTTTCACGTCAGACTTTCATTTATTTAGCGATATAATAAAAATTAGAGTACTAAAAATGTGAATATTTCTTCAGCATTAAACTTTGCAGAAATTTCGATCTCCTATTTCTAATGTCATACGATTTACACGGTAGTTGGGAGAAGAACGTCGATTTACACGGAAAATTGCATCCAACAAAGGGAGAAGTTTCCGGAATTGGCATATTTAATACTGTTAGTTTGTGAAGTGCATAAAAATTTCTCATGTTTACCCGTTTGTATGAAAACGAATTCACCATTGCTCCAGGAGTTTGCTGCGGACTATTGGGCAAGTAAGGGTATGCCGAAATAGAAAATTATCATTGGAATTCCGATGTACGCTCAGAGATGGAAGTTGTTGCATGCAAAATGGATTATGAGGATCAAAAATATATCTAAGATATAGATGAAACAAAACACAATTCGATTGGAATGTGCATGACTCTTCGTGTTAATAACTTTTACAAAACTTCCTTTCTGGTATTAATTTGCATTTTTATTTAGAATATATATCAATCAAAAAAGTCCTTTTAAAATAGCATTTGTGATCAGGAAAAAGTCATATCCTGGCAGTTTTCAAAAATACCCCTCATTACATAATTATGAAGTTTAGAAAAGTTGTGCTGAAGTCTTCAGAGAAGCAATTTCGATTCGAAATACTGATTTCTACTAGGAAAAAATATACATATAATTAGTCTTACAGCTTTTAGCTTTATTATTTACTCACCGAAGACAGATATTTTTAACTTAAGTGACTAT